TTTAGTAAGTCCTGTAACCCTATCCTATCCGTCTAAATGCTACGCATTCCCCCAGTTTGAATAACTGCAGAGCATTTTCGTATGCAGCATGGATCGTAAAGGGTATCTACAATGTCGGTTTTTAAGCGAACCTTCCTTTTTGATTTTTGTTTTTTTTAGCATTTGTGCCTCAAGCGATAGATGTTTGTCCCGGATTGAGCCAGGAGTGATGGTTGAGGGAGCGGGCCAGGGAGTAGTTGAGAAGGAGGAAGTAGAGGGTGGGGAGGAGGAGGGTGAGGGTCGTGTATAATTTATTGTTGTTGTGCCAACCCCTGAAAAGCGCGTCCTGATCTCGGATACACATAGTCATGGTCCCAGGTACACCCGGACACTGTCCCGAACACCAATGCCTTTGCATACCTCACACACATTTATTCTCTGTCTCTCTCGTTCTCTCTCCCTCTTTCGCTTTCTGTACAGGGGCACGTGCGCGATCACGATCGCACCCCAACCTTTTTGAGAGTGCTCGAATTTGTAGGGAAATTTTCAATTTCGCTTTTCAGTCCGCTCGCTGCCGATGTCCATTGTTCCACATCCAGAGCGCAGACTGGACGAGCTCTGAACTGGCAGCGGCACTGGGACGGAACGGGGCCGGGAACGGGAACGGGACCGCGCCACTCCACATCACAATCGCACACGTTTGGCGCATGCCACCACCGCCGCAGAGTTTTCCCGAAAGGGAAGGGAAAGCAGTCCGGGACACAGGGAACCAGATGATGGCTGGGCTGCCCAAAAGTATGCTTCGATTTCCGACTTGATCATGACCGATCCTCACTTCAATCAGAATGAAGGAATCAGCAGATGAAATTATCTATCGTCCACAGATATAGCTCCAACAAGCGATCGCCTTACATCGTCTCCAAAAAAGATGATCAATCCGATTGAAGAAATCAATATATCGACCATTATGAGTAGCTTCCAAGTCTTCTTTCCAGCTCAGTGATTGATGATCTAGAATCCAACTCTTTAATCCGAATCGAAAATTGCATTACCCGATCAATGCAATTTCCTTCGGGGCGCAATAGTACCTCAGAGTACCTCACAGGCAGAGACAGAGTCTCGATGGATCGCATGGAGTTTGATTTTACCCCACGTAAAGTTCTTCCACTTGGTCCTGACACTTTACGTCTGAGCTGCTGGTTGATCCCGAAGTTATTTCGAGCAAGGACTTCCGCTTCAAGTTTCCTCAGCCTGTCGGAGCACTCATAAATTCATGTTCCTGAGACTCCAGAGCAATCAAAAACTCAAAAAAAAAAAACAAAAAGGAAAGGAAAGGAGGAATAGAAAAAGGCGATTTATGTACGCACAACTGCGCACAGATGCCAAAGGCAAATGAATGAAAAACAGGAGCGAGGATCGGATGGAATGGAATGGGATGGGATGGGTTTAGTTCGGTAAGGATCGCTACCGAGCGAGGCACTTGAGTCGACGACAAGTACCAGACACGCTGCGCACTACAGACAGGACATGAGGGGACTTGGGACTCACTCATTCACTCGGCGCCTTCCTCCGGTTACACGAAACTAAAGCTAATTTGATGCCAAAGGGGGATCAAAGTCAAAGTGCTGTGAATGCTTTGCCTGATTGATTTACGATTGCCGAGTGTGAACCCAGAAAGGGAGAGAGACTGAAGAATGAATCCCCTGGAATCTCTGATGGTCTGAGTCCTGTTTATCCACTGCTTTCACTCCCATTTCAAATTTCTCTCATCATCTATATTCATATTTCCCTGGGACTGGGACTGCGACTGCGAATGCCTTTCTCCAATGTTCGTTTTCCCATTCATTTTCTCTCTCTCTCCACTTTCTGTGTGGTTCCCATTGAAATCGATGCGTTTTCCTTTCGGCCCGGCCTGAATGCAAATAAGTCCCGATCCCGAATTGAATCCCAAGATCGAAATTAGTTTTTGTTTGCCCAAATTGTTGTATTTTCTCAAGCCGCCAAAGATGAAAGTCAGAATGGACTGAATGAATGGTGGAATTTAATATATTAGTCCTTGGACAGGATGTGTGCCTTACCCATGACTTACTTTCGGAACACATAGCTTATACAATTTTGTTAACATTAAAATATTTATCTTGAGATATTCCAAAATTGAACTTTGATTCCCAACCGTTTTTTGCCAGTGTAGAATATAGCCAACACTCCCTTGGAGAACTTGCCAGATTTGGCTCTGTGTGTTCCTTCTCTGCATTCCATTTGGGAGAGTTGTGCTGCATTAATACGATTTTCAACCCCCTGAAGGCCTGCCAGAAATCAGACAAATTATAATTCCGTAGAGGGTTGCACAGGACCCGAATAAAAAATTATACAATATTATTTATTTATGACTATTATTCTTCTTTTTATTATAATTGCAGCGACACAAAGCTCTTATATGTTGTTCAGGCATTCCTGTATATACCTCCGATTCGGGGTAGGGGCTTGGCGGGCATCTCTAGGCGTGTCGTGTCGTGTCGTCAAAGTGGGATGGAACCAAGTCAAAGCGTCCTCATCGAACAACAATGCAGGCGCAGGGGATCGAAGGAGCCAAGGACTATGCGGAGCACGCACACAACTGTTGACTCTGGTGGCTGGCAGGAACCAGCAGCAGAAACAAGGATCTACAGCCGATTCATCCAGGCGAAACCGGTAGTCAAAATCCTCTGCTACTGCTACTGCTACTGCCGCTGCCTCTGATCCTCCTCAAGCCGTTTCCTTGAACTTTTCAAGTGAACTCAAGTTTATAAATTGTGTAGCAAGTACACACACATTCAGAGTACAGAAACAGAGTGAGACCGAAAGAGAGGGAGACAGAGAGTGAGCGAGAGCTAAGGATACTCGTCAGGATCAGGTCTATAAGCAACTACCTGGCCTAACCGAAGAAAACAACAAAAAAAAACCCCACCCATAAAGAAAAAGTTTTTCAGCAACAGCCGAACAATTTTTGTACTGCAATCGATCCACTCCCTGTCCTACAAACTAGTTTCAGAGACACAGACTTAAGCGTCGAGATCTTGCCAAAAACCAACACCAAAGGAAACCGAAAATTATTTTCCCACCAGACAGACAGACAACAAACTAATTGCCCCACGGCCCGTACTCGGAACTCAAACTGAAGCTGGAAGTGGAACTCTTTATAGACCACATCTTAGGAAGAACGCTATTTTGATGTTGATGGGAAGATGGTTTTGGGATTGCCCTTAGACTCTTTCGAATCTTGTCAATTTTAATTAGGATTTATGGCCATACAAATTTTCCATTTGCCAAGATCGGTGTTCTCTTGCCTCGGTACTCTCTGTCTCCTTTAATTTCCCTTAATTAGCTCGACAATTGGCAAATGATTTTGCACAATGCCCTTCGATGATTAGCCAAAGACGCAAGCCCTCATTTTCTCCCTGCTTCTGGATAGTTTGAGGGTCCCACAGACAATTCCTGAGATTCTCATGGGATTAAGCGTGAAAATCTTGTCCGTATGATTTAGTGGAAAGTTAGGAGAAAGTGCCATTTCTCTGATTTCATTTGATATATGGGTTTTCTTATGGCTTGGAAAAACTTTGTTGGATTTCAGGCATATCTTTAGGGGTTTGCCGAACTCTCTTTTGGAGAAAAGTCATCCATAGATTCATGAATTTATTTTTGGTAAAAGATTTTTATATACAAATGTATTTTTGGTAAATGTTGGTACAATTTCTCGTTCTCAGAATAGAACATAAATCTTCTCTTCATTGAAAGAGTTTTAGTAGTTTATATAACTGTGGTGTTTCGATTTTAAATGGATTTACAATCATTAAAATACCTAAAATAACGGTTAAACTTTTCGAAATCTAACGGGACTTTTCTTCTTGGTAATTGTCTGAACCGATATTCAGCGATTCGAAACCGAAGTTTCCAGAGAGACTTTTGTTTTTCTGTCAATGTTGCAACAAGGTGATCTATGGGCCTGTGTCTACGTGCGTGATTGTGTGGGAATTTAAGGTGGTGATTGCGCCCTGCCTCTGGTGGCTGTGGCGCCCCAGGTACTGGCCTCGCGACCAGGGCTGCCAAAGCTGCCTTGCTGGCCTTTGCTTAGGGCTATAGTATCCGTACATAATATTATATATCATACATATAGCGAGGGGCGGTATATAAGCAGTCTGCCTCATAAGGAGCACATAAAGAGAGGAGAGAGTAGGAGAGTGGAGAGTGCAGAGAGGAGCTCTGAAGTTGGGCTGCGCTGCTCTGGAAACCACCCTTGTCCAGGTGGAGTGGAAGAATGGTTTTTGCAGGGGCTCGAAACATCGATCAGATGTTAGTTTTCCCAAAAGTCTGAGGTGAGCCCCTTTGTCTGTGTGCAGCACTGGATGGACTGGATGGATGTGTGTGCGTGTGCCTGCAAGTGTGCGTGCGAGTGTGGATCAAGGGAAGGACACCCTACCCTATAAGGGATCTACGAGTGGCTACGAGCAGGGGATGAAAAGTCATACCTCTAGTACGAGTGAGCGAGCTGCCGCTTGTTGTTTTCATTTCATTATGCTTTACATAAGCGACTGGCTGGAATGGGGGAAGGACATGAGGTGTGCGAGGGATGTGAGGGATACGAGGGATACGAGGGACACGACACACGAAGGATACGTTATATTTTACTGTGGCGGCATTGCTGTGGCATTGTGTGTGCGCGCCATCAGTCAGTCAACGAAGTCATTTCCGCTGGCAGCGCTGCTCAGCCAACGCCGGCGTTCCGTTCCGTTCCGTGACAGTTCAGTTTTTGGAGTTGTGCCGCCAGATATCGGGGCACGCGACACAGAACGCTACCAGCTGTCCTGACGCAAGGACACACATTCTAGCACCGCACGACAACGACTAACACTACGACCACGAGCAGGAGCACTAGCAATAGCACGAGCAGGAGCACCACTAGCCACCAGCCAAGGGAACCACGTGCAACCGCATCCTCTACTCAAGCCACCACGGAGCCAAAAGGTAAAAGCCCCACTGCTCCAATGGCTGCCCTCAGCTTTAGCCCCTCACCACCGCCGCAGACAGCAGCCAAGTCCACTGCCGCCAGCTCGTCCGCCTCCAAGGAAAATAGCATCCAGCCACTGGGGTCCAGCAAGCCATTCGGCAAGATCACCGTCCATAATGTGCTCAGCGAGAGCGGGGCCAATGCCCTGCAGCAGCACATTGCCAACCAGAACACGATCATCCGCAAGATCCGCGACTTTGGAATGCTTGGAGCGGTCCAGAGTGCCGCCGCCTCCGCCACAACCAACTCGGGAACCTTGGGCCAACGCAAGCGACCCCTGGGGGAGTCCAAACAGAACTCTCAGAACTCCCAGAACAGTCTGAATAGTCTGATCACCCCGAGCAAACCGCCGGCAACGACAACTGGCAATGCCAAGCGCAGCAAGCTGAGCAAGAAGAGCCAGGAGAAGGCGGCCAAGACGGCGAGCAGCCACACACCGGCCACGGCCAAGCTGGAACCCACTGTTGCGTCCGCGTCTCCGTCCCTGGAGCTGGACGCCAAGGCGGCTGGTACGCCCGGACGCAAGGGCCTGCCGATGCCACAGGCGGTGGCGCGACGCAATGCACGGGAACGGAACCGCGTCAAGCAGGTCAACAATGGTTTCGCTTTGCTCCGGGAGCGCATACCCGAGGAGGTATCCGAGGCTTTTGAGGCCCAGGGTGCTGGCCGGGGGGCCAGCAAGAAGCTGTCCAAGGTGGAGACACTGCGCATGGCCGTGGAGTACATCCGGAGTCTGGAGAAGCAGCTGGGCTTCGATTTTCCGCCCCTGGGCTGCCATGCCAACAGCTCGAGCAGCGGAGACGACAGCTTCATGTTCATCAAGGATGAGTTTGATGGTCTGGACGAGCACTTTGATGACTCCCTGAGCAACTACGAAATGGAGGAGGCTGCCGCAGGAGCAGTAGCCACCAGCCAGCAGCAGCACGAGCAGACAGAGCACCCACCAGGACATCAGGACACCAACACGGACCTGCTACCCAGTCTAACGACACTGAATGGGCTGCAGTACTTGCGGATACCGGGGACCAACACCTACCAGCTGGTGACCCCGAACATGCTGGGCAGCAGCTCCAGCCTGGACGAGGAGCATTTCGGTGCCTTAATTGACACAAATTGCCTGAGCAGCAATGCCAGTCCCGATCCCGATCCCCCTGCTGCCATGGCACTGCCTGCGATTGCAGCTGCACAAAGCGGTTCGACCTTATCGCGATCGCCCGTGCCACCATCACCAGCAGCGGCAGCAACCGAGGCAGCGACAGGGGCAGCCACAAGCACAAGCAGTCCCTGCACATCCCCAACACAGCGAGGCAGTTCATCAATGGCTCAACCACCGAGCTGCATTGGGCCCGAGACAGTTCTGGTTTCACCTGTCGCCGTTGCTAATGAACTCCTGTTGCAGGCGTGTGCCGCCCAGCTGCAGCAGCAACTGATCAAACAGGAATACGCCAACAGCAGGGCCAGCACGAACACCAACACCAACACCAACAGCAATGCCAATGCCAATGCCAATGGAAGTTCTCCGACAACATCCCTGAACTATTCACAGGACCAGGCCCAAATGCTGTGCTCCCCCCTCCTGCCCGCCTTCTACGATCAGGAGCCCGTTAGCTTCTACGACAATGTGGTGGTGGGGCTGCCCAGTTTCAAGAAGGAATTCAACGAAATGCTCCACCAGGAGCAAACGGGAGCCACGGCAGTAGGATCAGTCGGATCAGTCGGAGTCGGGGGCTGTCTCTCCGACGAGAGCATGATCGATGCCATCGACTGGTGGGAGGCGCATACACCTAAATCGGAGACGGGACCGGCATCCAACTCCAACGACACATCAGCAGTGCTCATGTGATCGATATAAAGATCAGTATATATACGTATCTGTATAGTTATAGCGGAATTTTGTACGTTTTTTTTGTTTCTCCTGTGGATCCTTGACTGAGTCATTGTGTACATATATATCTAGTAGAAAGGGAGACGAGACGAGATCCAGAGAGAACGAGTTGCCTGGCGCCTGGTATACTTAGTCATCTAGTGATATAAACCAAAACAACTAACCAAATCTTCCCCAATTAGCCTCCCCTCACAAGCCCTTCCCCGCACAATAGTTAAACCTGAATTTAGGATAAAGATATATCCTTCTTTATTTGGGATTCCTAGAGCTAAGAACTTCACTTTTTATTATTTTTTTTTTTTGCCTGTTTAGTTCGGTAAGAATAATTTTTTTCATAGACCTAATTGAATGCCTCTTAATGTTGAATGATAAGTTGGGATATATACATACACATATGTACATACATAAAATGCAAATATATATATGAACAATTTTGAAAAATCAAAACTCAATTATTAATGGAAGAAAGCGGATCAATGAGCAGCCACTCAATGGAGTGACTATAATCGTTTCATGTTAAAAAAGGAAACATTACAATTTAGGACTTAGGTCATAGGTAAGTCAATGTGCTTATAAAAACACTTTTGTGATCAGAAGTAGACATGAAAGAGCTTTAGTGACTCTTGCCGGCATATAGAAACCTTGCAGAATATTTTTAGAGATATTTGATTGATCGCTTGCTAGCAAAGGAAATTGTTAAAGTCCCTAATAGATATTTATTTATCTTCAGAGTTCTTTTTCGACAGCATTCAATGGGAGTACAATTACTCCCAAGTTGATCAAAGAGCAGTTCCCAGCGCTGATCCTGCGAAACAGATCAGATGTCTAACAGCAGCTACGGTTCCTATAAAGTCCCTCCCAATGGCGGCCCAACATGCACAGTCATCGCAGGGGAGCGTCTGGCACGGAATCGGAATCGGAGTCTGACCCATCCCGTTCCACAGTGAATACAAAAAAAGAGTGGAATGGATTCAGCATATCATGTTCATTTTCATAAGCGGCCAAGCATGCAAGGACACAGCGCTTGATGGATAGATAGAGAAAGAGACAGAGAGAGCGGCAGCGGGAGAGCGAAAAAGATAGAGATACATTTGCATATCAGGAAGGGAGGCAGGCAGGCGCTATGACATGAGCTGGTAAGGCACTGCGCTTGAGTGCGCCGCTTACTTAATATTCAAATGAGCCTCATGTCCTGCCATGTCCTGATAAATGACAGTGGCATATGCCCACAGAGACCGGCCGTAAGCCACCAGGGACTGCAACGTGGGAATGGAACTGGGAAATTGAAATTCGTAAGCATATCCTGCAAGTGTCCGGGATTCGTTTCGTAACGGTACAATTTAAACATGCCCCTAATGACAGTGTAATTAAAAATGCAGTAACCTCAGGGATCGCGACTGCATATTGATGAGGGCTCTGATCTGGCAAGGCAACCGCAAAAGGTCGATCAAATTTTGAGGCATTCCCATCAAAATGAAGGTCCATTGATCTTGGTTGCACTTTGGATTTGCATAGCTTTAAGTACCCGTAAAGAAGATTTTTTTGGGAACTGATTGACAGATTCTGAAAGTGTTGGGCATGCGTAAGATCAGGCTTAAGGTAAAGATGAAAGCCAAGATTTTGTATATTGTTTAATTTCTGGATTTATCTGGGAGGGCATCTTTTTAATGGCTTCCTATTATCATGGGTTTAACATAGCATAAAAAAGGACCATATTCAAAGCATTAATGGAACTTTTCTGGAATGATCTACTAATCTTTTCAAAGTGAGGATCATTAAAACACTTTCACAGGCTCTCTTGGTCCTCTGTAATACTTTTAAGAGTGTTTGTGAAAAAGATAGGAGTACTCAGATCGATCTTCGATAATTATATTATTATTAATAATAAGATATTGGAAAAATATATACTCGCATATCTCGGAAGACTGATCACAGGAGGAAGATCTCACCCCAACCCCAACCCACACGTGAATCCCTGCACATTTCCCACCCTCATCCTGACTTGGCGCTAGACACTCGGCTAATTGTATGCAGTCGGCATTGTCCTGTGACTCGGTGTCTCCTGCTCCGCCTCATCTTTCGGACAGCTGCCAGGACTCGGGGCACAAAAACGGGAGAAAATAAGCAGAAAAACCCGCCAATCCAAAGGATAAATGATGCAAAATTATCCAAGACGAACTCCACACAAGCACACGCACACACATGCAGGGGAAAACAATGAGGAAAATCAATTGAAAATCGTTTGCCCATAAAGATACTCAAGGCCCTTGGGCGATGCCCAAGAAGAACCTTCTTGGCCTGTGCTCAACATGGAATGGGGGAACGACGCAAGCCGTGCATCTGCATCTGCAGTTCCCAAACCGATCTGTACCGTTCGGTGCGGTTCGGTTCGGTTCGGATTCGATTCGATCAGACCTTGGGTAATAGGAGTGTGGGTTTCTCTATACCATGTGTGTCTGTATGTCTGTGTGGGTTAGCTGAGGATCAGTCCTGTGCGCCTACAACCCCCTCGAGTGTCCCATCAATGGCATCTACCAGTTTCCAGTTTCCCGTTTCCAGTTGCCAGCCGAATATTTTCTATTCCCTATCCCCTATTCCTCTGCCCCGATCCCGATCCCAGCCAGGTGTGTTTGCCCAGGCTCGTTCTCGAGATACATTTTCCTTTCGTCTCCTTCAACTTTTTCTTTGTGGGTGCCCTGTCCTGGCGGTAACTGTTCGCCGATCTGCCGTTAGCAGTGAAAATCTGCTAGCTCCTAGCTCCTAGCACCGTTCTGCACCGTTATGATTATTAAATATTGGTCCCAGGTAATGCGACACGCCCTGCCACTCTCTCCCTCGCCCTATCGTACACCTTCGATTTTGTTTCTCGTATTTCAATTTTCCATTCGATTCCCAAAAATCAATTTCAAACTCCGTTAGTTGGGCCTCTTTTTTGTTTTGAATTTGTGAATGGAAAAGGCTTAGGACAGATGAATGCTCTGTTGCTCCTGCTCACCCCTACCCCTACCCGTTCCCGATCGGAACTCGTGTCCTTCGCAGCCCGGATTCGGTTACATAGCTCTGGGCGCTGGGCTCTCCTCTCGGCTCTGCTCCTTTGGCTGCTTTTGATTTTTCCCGTATGGCAAGTACAGTTATGCGATCGGTTCACGCCCCCGTGGGAGAGTCGAAGCCGCACATGTCACCATTGAATATTCATAAATCATTTCGTGTAATAACTCATTATTATAATGCCCCCACCACCGGGGATACGATCCGTTCCCGTTCCCGTTGCCGTTGCCGATCCCGCTCTTGATCTGTGCTCACTTAGCGTGTGCGCATGCGCATGCCCCTGAGTTGATTGGGTTCCATCCCGTGCCCCTCCTGTCACCGGCTCGGGGCATATTACATTACCATTGCCAGACCCACAGCCAGAGCCAGAGCAACAGCCAGAGCCAAACCCATAGCCAGGTGCTACACGCAGATCGAGCTTGGGGCCAAGCACGCGCTGGCTGCCTGGCATTTCGATTGTAATTATGACAGATAACAAGTACTTGGGTACTTGGGGGATTGGATTAGGTGATATATTGCTGATTATTAATACAAACTCAAATTGAAGAATTACCAATATATGTATGTATGATCTGCTATCATAGCCGTTCTACATTTATACATTAAGTTTCCGCAAATAACTTGTAAAAAGAAGCCCAATAGATGATTGTTGTCAAAAGCACAAATCCACCTTAGTTTAGGGGATACATATGTGTATAATGATTACCCACCCCACCCCACTAATAAGTGCTCCATTAAAATTATCTGTGACCTGCAAGAATCCATCGTGAACTAAAAATATATCATTACAGAGACGAAACTGATAAACGAGTGGGAAAGTTGTTAGCCGCGGCAAGGAACGCGGCTCTTTTTGTCTACCCATTACTCAATCAGTATACATGTGAGCTTATGGTTTATGTAATCCATACACTGACTCTTTTGGTATCGCTGTTCTTAAAAGGGACGAATTGATTTGTGTTTAATGAGGAGAAGTGGGATCTCTCCGCGGTTTCTCCCAACACTTGAGAAAAAAAGAGGAACCACGACCGATTGTTATATTCCAATGATAAGTTTTAGCATAATTAACATGTGTATTGTGATATGATATTGTTAAGAGATCTCAGCTTGGCTTCGTACTGAGGCAACCACTAGAACATGTTCAATAACAGTTGATTGATTCATTGATTGGCTGACTGAACAGCGAGCCATCTCAAAAGGAATCTGGCTCATAGATCAGCTCGTGCTCACGGTAGTGTTCATTCATACATTCATTCATTCATATCTTAAGACTTCTTGCTACTTGCTTCAAGTGTCTGATCCGTTGATCCTCGGGTTTCGGCTTTCGGCTTGAGAGTTTTTCATTCAGTGATCAGTGGCTTTGATGTGATTTCTTAACCCAGTTTCCTAGATGCCTGGGCCAAGAGTTAAGGCTCATTTAGGCATTACCCAGCGGAGACTTAGCTGCTCTGCGTGGCTCCGATCTGCGCTGGCAATTACAATATTTGGCATATCCCTGAAGAGGACATACTTAAGCTCTTTCAGGCATTCCCCTCCTCTAGTCTGTGCTCCTTGGAGTGGACGCACTTCAAGCCACAATGAGGCACTTAAGTGTGCGCTTTGTGTCTAAGACCTTAAGCGCTTAAACCGCAAATGGAAAACAGGTCAAGAGGATGAGAGCACAGTCCGGCTGGGACAACAGTCCGGTTAACACTTTCCAGAACCGCTTAGCCCGAGCTGACGGTTCACCTAAGCCCTCCGCCCACCTTAAACCATAAAGAGATGATCTTGCGCATTGCGGCTGACAGAAATTGAGTTTGAGTTAATTTCATTCATGACTCCGAGTTCTGGTACCATATTGTCCTCATTTCAACATTGGAACGGGCAATGCCCCAATGAATGGCATAAGGACAACATCTGTTGCCGCTGTAGAAACTGATTCTATTACCGACTGAAACGGGAACAGTTGCCCCAAGCCTGGCCGCACATGTTTTCCAGGACATTTTCCATTTCCCTGATGTCAGTGTCTGTCTCCACGTGTGTCCCAGCCCAGCACTCTTTCTTGCTTTCTATTCGTTTTCTCGTGTTTTGACTAATGCACTCGGGGTGGCCGTGCTGTGTGAGAGCCTGGGCAGAGCTCACCTCCCGGCATTGAGTCATCAAACGCTCGGTTCTATGACCAGCAGAATTTTGACAGCTCTTGGCCATTCAATGACAGCACTCCAGGAAGCGTTTTCAGTTCTCTGCAGTTTTGCATTGCATTGATTGAGTCGTCGTTGTCCTTGCCAACGGCCCTTCTTGTTGGGCCGCTCTTGTTGTCGAGCTCATTGGCCGGCTTTGTTCGCTTCCACTTCCCCTGAAGCTGCATTGAACTTGACAAAATGAGAATCGGGCCGGGTCCTCGCTCCCTGGCCAGGTGTGGGGTCCTTCAGGGAAGCACTCACAATGAGGTCGCCACTCTCCAGGCGAATGGCCACACGAAGCGAAGGCATCCCGGAAACAGTTCAATCATTGCAGACCAAGTGATTCAATCTCTGGGCTATATCCTGGATCAAAGTGGAGTAGGATGTGGAAATCATTGCGAATCAGCCGCTCAAGATGTGGCTCGAAGTTTGGAAGCATACTTTTCTTACAAAAATCTATGGAAAGTTCCTTGAGTGCTAATAAATCTATCGGTCTTATGCTGACTTTTGTTAAGCTCTGCAATAGTATACTTACCTTATACGAATATATGGATAAAAACCAACCCAAAAAATGTATCCGCCATCTTCTATCCTTAATTAATTGTAGAAAAATGCTTGCTTGCCGTAAATGGACACGATTTATTGAGTCGCATAGACTTCGCCATTACTACAGGTACCATTGATCTTCTTCTTCTTTTATGGATCTAGTTATTCCTTGTATGAAGCGCTAAAAGAACAGAGATTCTGCAGCTTTTTTTTTGTTTTTCTTACCTATTGTTTTTTTTAATATATGATTTGGCGAGCATTGTAGGTATTTTGAGCTTGAATATTGGGCAGTTTAACAGTCCTCGTAGTAAATAGTAAACAAAATAGTAGAAGAACAAAATCTTTACGGGTATCATAATGTTCCTACCACGGAATCATATGTCTACGATCATCTCTCACTCCAGGCATTCATTCAGTTTTATTCCCATTTGAAGCAGATCTTATATCTTCGATATTTGAATTCTCTTTCGACCCCCCAATGGTCGAAGAAAACGTGAATTAAAAAGAAAATACGACTTCCCTTCCAGCACATGCCAAACGAGACGAATCTGGCAGAGAATAGACTATAAAAATTTCAATTTTATGGAATGTGGTTGCCATTTGCCATTAGCCATTAGCCCAATGAATGGCAGTGGCAGTACGGCGGTCATCAAAGCGCCTCGAGTGTCACGCATGAGGGACATCCGAGCCTGTCCTAAAAGGGTTTCACCCGCCATAAAAAACTAAACGAATGTACACAAACATCCGGCTGGCAGCCTCCAAAAAATGGCAATGGTCCTGGCATTGGATTACAGATGATCGAACCATCGAACCATCGAACCGTCGAGCCATCGGATGGACGGAGAGACACAGGTACAAACGCAATTAAATTGGTAACCGTAGCCGTTGGCGGCGGGTCGGTGTCGGTGTCGGCGCTATTTGCCTAGCGCAAAAAAGGACAATGACCAAACAGAATCGATGTGTGTGCGGAAGGACCTGCTGCATGTCCTTTTCGTCTCGCTATGCGGCATGCGGTATGTTCGGATGCTGCGCCCCGAACGGGTTCATTAATCGTGTTTGGCAACTGTGAAAACGGGAAAGGAAGAGCGGAAGAAACCGAAAGGATTTCCGCTTTCTTCCCATCTCGTTTCATCTCGTTTCGTTTCGTTTCGTAATCCGATGCTCGTTAATCGAGCGAAACGGAAGATCGGCTAGGACCAAAAGTGAAAGCCGACTCCCTCCCAATCGGGTATCCAGTTAATCATTCAACTGCGGCAAGAGGAAGCAATGACAAGGCGAAAATACCGCCAAAAAACACACACACACAAAAAGCGCATAAGTCCATAAGATCTTTTGCATAAGATGCGCTGGAAAGACCAGAGATCCCATTGCGATAAGCTGCTCTCGATTGGCGGACAATGGCATTTTCATTTGTCAGCCTCTCCGATCGGTGCGATTAATCGCATTACAAATCGCCGCTGCACGACATGCGAGCCCCCACGAAATGAGGTGTCGACTTAAGTGAGCGAAGGGCAGCAATCTCCATCTCCATCCCCATGTCCCTCTGCCTCTGCCTCTCCTCTATCGATCGATGCTGCGATCAGTGTAATGCTAACAAATATGCGTGGCTCCCAGACAATCCCGCAACCGGAAAGGAAAACCACAATGGTTCGCCCAGGCCCAAGCTCCAGCCCAGGCCCAGGCCCAAGCCTCTGTCCTTGGTCGAGGCCCCGGGGCGGCATCAATATTTTGACAGTGCCATCGATTTGCGGCTGTAGATTGCCTCGCATTAGCGCATTACCCCAATGAGGGGCAAAATATGCAGCTCTTTGTCATTGCAGCAGGTTGAATGCAGGCACATTATCTTCCATATTTCGAAGACTGGTTCCCAAGACCAAATGTTTTATGGATTATATGGCCCTTGAGCTCTGTGTGTTCCTTCTGCAGAGATCGCTATGGGAAAGCCAATTATCTTGATGGTACTCATATAAAGAGTTCCATACCTTAGCAGAAAACTGTAGGTCAGAACACTTTATACTTTATAAGACTTTTGTCACATCTATAAGTATGTTTCCCAATAATATTGGACCTCACCACAGTACCCCGTTAAAAAAATCAACTAGAATATCTTCAATTATAATTTTTGCAGCTCAATTGGCTGCTTGCGATGGCGTAAGTATATTTTTCATATTTTTTGGGTTTCATTCAAACCATGTGACTTAATAAATATTACAGTAGACAAAAAAATCACACTACTTGGCTAGGCAAAAAAAAAAAAGATTGGAAACGCTAAAGAAGGGAAAGAATATTAAGACACATGTGAGACACATCTGCGTAGAATAGTGGATTAGGATTATGGATATATACGCGCACCACCAGCGTTATGACCAACAAAAAAGGTATAGTAAAGATATAACAAAAAGTTGGAGCGATGGATGATGGACGATGGAAAGTGGAACATTCCCATCACTCACGGGGTTGACTCTCTGGCTAACTGGCGGCTTCTAACTGTTCGGTTTCGGATCTGTTCGGTTCGGTTCGGTTCGCTTGGGCTCTGGGATTCATCGTCCAGCATATGTACAGAGTTGGATCGTCTGGGGGCCTTGTTGGTGGTGGTGGTGTTCCAGGTATAGATGACCTAAGCGACAGTCGCGTACTTGCGCTTCTCCAGGGAGATGTTGAAGCCATTCTCGAGCTTGAGAATGATGTCGGCCTGCAGCTTGAAGTCCGCCTCCGTATCGGTTGAGTGGACAATGTAGTTGCGCACGATGGTGGAGAGCAGTACCTTCAGCTTGAGCATCGCGTACTTGCGGCCCACACAGCTGCGGGGTCCGGCACTGAACGGAATAAACGAGTAGTAGTGCCTGTTGGCCATGCGCTCGGGCAGGAAGTTGTCCGGATCGAACTTGGTCGGGTTGGGGTAGATGTCGGCACGACGGTGCACGCAGTACTGCAGGACGATGACGGTGGTGCCCTTGGGTACGGTGTAGGGGCCGCTAGCCAGCTTGAGATCGTAGTCCAGGCGGCGAGCGATCAGGGGTACTGGGGGGTACAAGCGCAGAGTCTCGAGAATGACGCGCTCCAGGTACTTCATCTCGTTGGTGTCGGCAAAGGTGCAGTCGCGCAGCATGTTGTCGCCAAAGATGGCCTTCTGCTCGGCAAAGACCTTCTCCTGGATGTCCTTGTGGATGCCCATCATGCAGAGGGCAAAGCTGGAGCCGGCCGAGGTGGTATCGTGACCCTCGAACATAATGGTGTTCACCTCATCGATGATGTCCTTCTCGTTCCACTCGATATCGGGGTTCTTTGCCATCTCGACCATGGCATCGAGGAGGGCCAGACGGCGCTTGGCGCCGACATCGTTCTCATCGATGTCATCGAGATCGTCGCGAAGTCCCTCCTTCTTGGTGGCCGGTGTCGAAACAGCCTGCACCTCGTCGACAATGGCGCGCGACTCCTCCTGGAAGTTCTGCTTTCGGTCCTTCACCACCTTGCTGGTCATGCCCAGAATGATGTTCATCATGCGGTCGCCCTTCTCGCGCAACTTGGTAAACTTATAGATCGAATCCAGACGGTACAGAAGCTTGACCTGGCGCTTGTGGATGATGTCGCACATGTCAACCACGGCCTGGGCATACTCGAAGCTCTTGTTGCCCTCGGGCAGCTTCTTCACACCCATGGCGGTGGAGAGCAGGATGTCGACGGTGGTGGTGGACATGTAGTCGTGCACATCAAAGGACTTGCCGGTCTCGAGGCCCATGCGACCCACAACCGACTTGGAGTGGTCCACAAAGGTGGGCACAAAGCTCTTCAGAATGCTCTGATGGAAGGTGGGGGCAATCATCTTGCGATGGTGGCGCCAGTGGTGTCCGTTGCTGATCAGCAGGCCATCGCCGAACCATGGCTTGAAGTAGCGATACTCCTCGGCCTTGGTCAAATGCTGGTGCCCGCTCAGGATCAGCTCAATGTCGTTGGGATTGGTGAGGAAGACAAGGAGGACATTGCCCAGCCAAGCCTTCATCGTCTCGCCATACTTATTCAGGTAGCCGAGTCCCACATTCAAGATCTCTGCATTGCTCAGGCCAGCGACCATGTGAGCTTGTCCCAACAGCGGCAATCCTGGCGGCGACGGTATGTTGGCCACCATGCGGTACTCCCGTGTATTCCGGCGCCAGTACTCGTACAATCCCAGGGCCACTATGGTGCCCACCAGGGTGGTGAGCATGGGGCTGAAGCCGAGTCCCGATGTCGATGTGGCCGCATGTTGCAGCGTCTCCTGCACAGTGTCCACTGTCATTGTTGCTCCGTGTCCTTATGGTCTGCCTTCCTTGGGTGATTCCTAGTCTGCTAATCCTCTAGTTCTAGTTCTAGATGGCACTGGTGCGGCTCGCTTTCAGTGCTCAACTGTGGGGCTAGACAGGCCGATGGCTCAATTTTATGCCCACCGGCCACCTACCTCGGACTGTGGACGTAATCGCTTGGGGCTTGGGGCACGCCAAGAGTCAAGCATATTCTGTATTGCGGCGCATCGATTGGCGGCTGGCGGCGAATTAGCAAACCAAATCCCATCCATGTCACGTAGCCATTCAGTGCCGCTGTTGTCCGCTCGAAGCGATTGCCCTTTGGAAGCGCTTGCCCGGCTCGTCATTGCCAGCCATGGGTCGATCAATCGGTCGGTCAATCACGAGCTGATTGATTGCCACACGGCCATTGAAAGTGAGCGCGCACACTCTCTTCCGCCTGCTTCCTGCGGAAGTGCTCAGGAGGGCGGCAGGATGCTCGCCAGATTCCGTCCTGGCTGTGAATGGGTATGCAAAGTGGTTAACGACTGACTGACTGCCTACCTGTGCGCACTCACGTGTATGATTTACCTGCTGCCGCTGCTGCTCCTGCTGCAGAACGGAAGTGGGTGATCTGCCTCGACTGCTGTTCCCCTTTCGGGCTGATCCTGGTCCTCTGCCTGATCCAGTGTTTTGCTTTCGCTTTTCATTAAATTCAATTTCGGGGCTTTTGTCCGCAACACCTGAACAAAAATGCAAAACAAAAAAAGTATAAAAAAAAAACAAAGGCCATGGAACTGCAGACAAAAGGAAGGAAGCTGTCGCTTTTATTATCCTCCAGCTACTGCTCCTGTAAGGAATACCTCCGCCGCCGCCGCCGCCGCCCACTCCTACTCCTGCTCCTGGTGCTGTTTGCCATGAGGATCTCCATGATCCGTCTCTGGTGTTTATTATTTCAAGTGATCCCTTTTACTATTTATTTTCATTGGCAATTGGATTATTTCTACGTTCAGCAGAGCGCGTGTTCAGGGCGTGTGTGTTCTCCTTTGAGATTGGGTTCAACCTAAAGGTTATTATGTAAACATAGCTCCACTCTTCAAATAAAACAATGCTTTTACCACGGGGCTATCTCTAACAATCTGTTGTAGATTGTCACCCGAAAAGCAGACTGTAATTTATACGATTTTTCCCAATTTTGAGATATTCAAATAAGTTCAGATTAAAAAGTCTTATGTCGATAGAACATCGGTTCAAATGGCATAAAATACTAGAGGCAGTTTATTCAGTCGGTAGGTACCAAGCGCATTCAATATTAATGGAATTAAACTTAATAACAAAAAAGCTTTATTTCAGGACTTAAAGCATAGAATGAATATATAGTGAATACTTTTTGATTTTTAGGTTTCTTTTGAAAGATCAATTTCTTTTTTGGCTGTACTCCCCAGCGTCTGGCACCTCGTCAAATCCATCCGGGAGTGTCTGGGACCATGAAGCCACCGCTGTCTTCGGCGACAATGGTTCAGGCGTCGTAGGGCTCCAGAAGAGCTTCCGTCGTATATTAGAATTGTGATTTTCTACCCGCTTCTTGTTGCTGTACCTGATATACATTCGGCCTCGATTCTCCGTACTGTAGTCGCTTTCCTGGTCCCCGGGAAACAGACTTAGGGGTTCGCTCTCCAAACTCCGGCAGCTCCACCAGATCGAAGGACCGTGGGCAATCCTCTTCTTGGCGCGATCTGCACTGCGCTCCACGAACTCGTCGTAGATCTTATCTCCTTCCAATCCACAAAGGGATTCAGAACCATATTAAGGTACCCTACGATATTTGTCATCCAGTTTTTTCTTTTGTATTTAAAAGGTAAAAATAGTTTTATTGCATTTTTGATTGAAAGGTCTTCTCAAAACCATTTAAATTCAAAGAATTACAATGAACTTTAATCGAATTGTTTTAGACATGGATTTGTAATGGTTTCTGTGGATTTTGTGTGTCGCTTTGTTGTTCTTTTTTTGTTTGACTAAATAAATTACATGGTTGTGTGAGGAGCATGCGTGTGTTGTTTTAGTTTCTGCTCTTTCTTATGACGTAACTGATTTACACAACTTGATATATGCTAATTAATTTATGTATATGAATACGTACATATATAGATGTATATTTAGATATATGCTAAATATATGCAGGTGACTTTTATCGATTTGCAGTGATAGCAAAACCAAACGTATATATGTATATCCATGTAGGAGTTATGCATGCATGTATGTATGTATGTAATAATAGAAGATAATGATAAAAAAATACAATATATAATCGTTTGATTTTACATAAAATTATGTTCTTTTTTTTTATAACGGAATCGCGCATTACAAGCTAAACAATGTCTTTTATCGATTGAATGAATTCTGTTTTCGACCATTAACGGTCACAAAAACACGCCCCAAAAAAAAGCGAATAAAATATAAAAAATATAAAATATAAAACTCAGACGGGGGGCACAACAAATGACTTACGATGACAAGGAACAAAGCGTACAAAACAGACGGGGTACGGAGGACTGGGGACAAGGGAAAGTGATATACAGTGATACAGTGGGACAGTGGGACAGTGGGACGCGAATAGAAGTGAGAGCTGAGCACAAATGACACAAGACTTCGTTAGGCAAGGCACGTGCCCCCAACCCGCCCTCGTATTGGCTGGGAGACACGGCGCTCGGGAGTATGGCATACATGAAGCAAAAACATAAAACATAGAATAAAACTGATTAAAATATAAGCAAGAAAAGTAAAAGGGACTAGGAGGTCAACATGTAAGCATATTTTACACAAGTCAAAGGTCAAACCGAGAAATCCGCATAATTGGTTCGGATTTGGATTAAGTTTAGGATAAGGGGGAAGTATGGGGAGTAGGAGAAGGCGCCTACGTTGTCTCACTGAGATGCACACAGTGGGCATCCTGCATCAATTGCGTGAGTCTCTGCGTAAACGTTGGAATGTCCTGCAAGAGGGGAAACAATTTTAAAACTTTCCCCGTAGAATCGAAGTAGATTGGACAACGCTTTAGACTTACACTTGTCTGGCAGATCTCCTCGAGCACTGTCTGTGCCACCGGCAGCGAGGCATGGGCAAAACTCTCGAGCAACTGTCTGCGATCCACCTGGCCCATGGCATACAGCGCCTGGGCAATCATATCAAAGTGCAGGCTACCCTCGCCACTCAGCAGCAAATTGAGCAGGGCCCGCTGAAACGAGGCCAGCAGCTGCTCCTTGAACAGGGCTCGCTGGTACAGACGACTGCGCTCGTTCACATTCTGCATGGAGAAGAGCACGCTGCGCACGTTGCTGGGATCTGTGCCGCTGACCAGCATCTGACCGTAGGCATTCAGTATGGCCATAAAGTGTGCCGGATGCAGATTGTCGCTGCAATTGAAATTGTTCGAGCCGCCACCACTAGCGCCACCACTATGACCGTTTGACAGTTGGTTCTTGTAGAAGAACTGCCACTTACAGGTAAGCACGCTGTAGGCACAGAGAGAGAGAATGGATTCGTTGACAATAAGAATGTATCTTTACGAAAGGAAATTTCTCACCTGTCGAACAGGGCGTAGAGTAGGCTGGTAATCTCGCTGCTATCGGTGGCCGCATTCTGTTGCTGCAGCAACGGCAGTATCTGCTGTGTGCTAAAGTCCAGAATCGAGGGCAGCAGACCCAACGAGGCGCTGCCCGGCTGTTCCACAATGAGCTTAAACATTTGCAGAATCTTTTCCATCACAGCCAGGCGGCTCAGCGTCAGTTGTTCCCTTTTTTTTTAAGGGGAGGAAGGGTGACCCGAACGAAAACGAAAGAAAGAGAAAGGGTTAGCCTGAATTGAAAAGAGATGGGAATAGTATGGTGCTATGGCCAACCTGCTGCTGACACTGATAAACAGGGTGATCATCTCCTTGATGAACTGGGCGCCCAGGTGAGTGGGCAACGAGCGCAGCATGCTCAGGCTGAACTCGGCCACCGTGATGGCCATGGCAATGCTGCTCAGGCCATAGCTATTGAAGATCGTCAAAGCCTTGTTAAGGATGGGCTGCAAATTAAGCAGAAAGATAGAGATAAAGATGAGCTGGTTTTTGGGCTCCTTCGTTAGTTCCTGCATCCCACCTTGAAAGTGCTGGCCAACATGTCCTTGGCATTCCCACCGGTGGCCTTGAAGTACTCGATGAGTGATGTGAATGTGCCAAGCAGAGTGAGCGTGGTGGCCGTCACCTTGCTTTCGCCAGCCAGGCTCAGATCCAGCTCGAGAAAGTTCTGGGCCAGGCCCTGGATGTACTCGCGCAGCATCCACTGGCGCCTCTGGTAGTCCTGCTGCTGCTCGGGCACACACTTCCAGGGCAGCACCATATAGCTCACTAAACTGATGTGCACATTGATGCAGACCTGGCGCGGCAGTTGCGTGCCCAGTCGTGGCCCCGCCTGCAGCAGGCTCTGGATCTGCGGAATATCCAGCAGGCACTTGGGCCGTATCACAGTTGAGATGAAGAGCAGCAGCTCGCTGGCTGCCTGCTGCACAATGGGCGAGGCGGCCGACAGCGAGTTATTGAAGGCAAAGATGCTACCCAATATGGCGAAGAGGCGATGCAGCAGCTCCTCGCTGCTCATCGCCTTCGACAGCGGGAAGATGCTGCGTATGGCCAGCAGAACTTGAGCGTAGCTAGAAGATTAAAGCACTTGAGCACGTGGGCACTTGAGAGGCATGCAAATGAATGTCAATGATTTCTTACAGGTTATCCAAATCAGTCTGAAAGGTGGCCTTGTCCATATCTGTTCCTCCGATGCGATTGCTGGCCAAAAGCTGCAGCGTCTGCAACAGGCTGTCGGAGAGCATTTGCAGCTGGGCCTCCATCTCGTCGGCCACACCCGGAGCGGCCGTCGATGTGTCCATCAGCGGGGCCAAACGCACCACCGCCTGGCAGACGGTGGCAAAATCGCGCAGAATCTCTCCTACATTGGCATGCTTCAGCTTTCGGGCGGCCTCATAGGAGCGACTGCTGCCATGGTCAAGGGCATGCTCCAGCGACATTAGATACATCTGCGGACGCGACCAGTGGGCAAAGACTTGTGCGAAGACAATGTGAGCGCCCCGGGTGCTTGCCAAGAGGGCGAGGCACTCGAAGCATTGATCAAGGAACTGCTGCCACTCGGTGGTGGGGGTCTGTCCCACCAGGGGAGGAGAAAGAATCAGTTGGATCAATTGGATTGAATGGGATTGAATGGACAAACATACATCATCCTCCATGAGCTCGTTGTCCAGCACCTCTAGCTCGGGCTTATTCGCCTCGAACTGTGTGCGTCGCATGATCTCATCGACCAGTTGCGTGAACACTTGATTAAAGCGCGTTATCTTCGCCGGCTGCTGGGCAATAGCCTTAATAATCGGCGACCAGATGTCCAGTTTCTCCGTAAAGTCCAGGGCGCCATGCACTGCGGATAGGATGGATAACAAGAAATAGTTGTACGCATTTTCTTATCAAAAAGGGAGAGAGTAGAGGAGAGTCTTACATTCTGTGGTGCAGCCGTAAAGCTGATTAAGAAATGTCTCGAGCACCTCCGGCTCCTGCATCAGCTTTCCCGCATACTTCGTGGTGTAGAGGCGCAATAGTTCCCGCAACTTGTCGCTGTACATCTCGCTCTGCTGCTTGTTGACGTTGTGCTGCTCCAGTAGACTGCTAACGCCGCCCATCAGGGTACCTGCATAGGGTAGCGGCTTCTGCAGGTAGAGCAGCTCGTTCAGCACTGAGAGGGCGGCCAAGGAGATGGGCTCGTTGGCGGGTCGCCATTGTGATAGATCGAGTATGCTCATGAGGAAGTACTCCGAGATCAGTTCAGTGCGTATCCAGGAGACCAAATGTTGCACACAGCCGAGAAGCTCCAAAATAGAGGAACTGCAATGGACCCACAGACCCAATTGGACACAAATGGATAAATTAATGAATGCACATTGCTCCGCTTCCGCGAATACATCTTGAATATCGTATCTGTTGGCTCTGCTGGATGGGAGGAATATACCTCCTATCCAGCAACATACCTTAGTTGATTGTCATTTGGCAGCGCTGAGGTTAGACTAAAGTCCATGAGGGTGTTTGGTATGGTCGATTGGATGTCTTTGCCGTTGATGTGGCAGACGGCGATTAGTAAATATTTGGTGACTAAGTCCATTACATCGGGTATACACATGGAAATGCTGAAACACACGACACACCCAAAAACAGATGGTAGAGGAGTGGTCAATGGCCAATGGCCAATGCCAATGCAGAGGGATTAGTGCACAATTCAGATCCGGGACATCCGGTACAGATCATGGACAAGAACAAAAATGTGAGTGATGCAGGATGCAGGAATCACAGGCACTCAGGCACTTACCAGGAGTAGAAGTACTGTTTCCATTCGGTGGTCAGGTCGCCGCGATTACTCACCACCTCCTCGGACGTGACGCGCAACAGATTGATCCCAAGGGCAAAGCGGGTCTTTGTCAGCTCCATGCAATGCTGCATGTAGTTGGGATCTTGTTCGGGGAACTCGCGTTTCCCCATCAGTGCAATTAGCTGCGCCAGCGTATCTCGATGCCGTCGCGCCCCATTCAGCATGCCTAGCTGGGCGTAGGTGTTCCACAGAGTTTCGCGCAACTGTGCTCGATCCGAGGGCGTTAGCTGGGCCCAGCGACGCGTTATCGTATGCTCCAGCGTGGAGGTGCTGAAGAACCAGAGGAACTGGTTATCCGTAAAGCTGTTGCCGGCGGTGGCCACACGCAGGCACAGCTGCCATGCCTCCGGCTGCGACTTGAAGGCCAACAGATTGGTCTCAATTTCACGTTTGCGTGCATTGCTCGTCGTTGGCTGATAAAACTCGTGCAGCAGCACCTCCACCGTCGACATGGATGCAGCATGCTGTCCAAGAAAAGGAGTAGTTTGGATCAACACCAGTACCATTGGCCAGTCCGAGCACGGTGGGCGGCGGATGGGAGGAGGCTATGACTTGGACTTACCATTTTTTGATATTTGTGGACGACACGTAAGTGCGCGCGACCCCCCCGCGGTTGTGTGTAATGTACTTGGTGATTGCGCTTTCAGTCCCTGGGTGGATTTGTGTACATCAGCAGTCGGCGACAGGAAATTTCATGTTTTCTTTGTGTATAGTAGTCGCGAATAGTATCAGTGTGACCGCGGACTTATCGATAAAATGTACCGTCTGACCCTCAGAAATATACCAAAATATACCATCTCATTTTAAAAATATACCGTAAATATTCATACGAATTCAAGTTAAATTATACATATTCCTCGATTTTGATATTCCGTGGAATATTAATAGCTACCTAGATCTCTCAGCCCTGCCCACATAATTTTATCCTATTGATGAATAAATTTTCTACAAGATTAACTACTTTTAAGTACTCGCATGTATTGTATTTTGACTTAAACACGGTTTACAAAGAGAGCCTTACCCGATTCGAGTTCGGCTATCGATACTATCGACTGGATACGAGTGTTGCGCGCCAAATAGAAATTGTTTGAAAGTGAATGAGCGACAGTGTAATCTAGCACTGAATCTAGTGCTATTAGGCGCACGTCACATTGGCAGTCTATCGATAGACTATCGTATTCAGTTGAAGTCGCATATTTGAAATTTAGAGAAAAAAACACACAAAGCTCTCCATAACTGAAATCTATTTATAACAATTCGAATTGCTGTACTGGAGAAGAACATACATCTTATTGTTCCCTAAATTTATTTGGATAAACTCCAGGTAAGTCCATCGCTTGGACGTACAGAAAAGTTCAAGTTTTCACATGACCGCCTGTCATCTATATCGTCAAACGGCGAAACTCGTTTCCTAAAAAAAAAGCGCCAAATATTTGCCAAAATCGACTGGGTCGCAGAAGTGATTTAAATACATTTGTTCAATAACTTTTTGACATTACTATCTCGACTTTGAAAGTTTTGATCCACAAAAGCCCACTAAAAACCTAAGCACATCCTAGCAATCACCAAGGCAAGCAAGTTGAAAAGTCTCAATTATTTGTGTACTTTTTGATATGAAAAATAACAGAACAAAGGCTTTCTGATTTTGGCACAAAAATTCAGTTATTTCTTTCTTTTCTACAAAGCACATATTCAAATATTGAAATCGCGTTCACCTACACTTGCACTAACGCGATAAGCTTCTCCGTTTTGCAACACTCAATTTTGCCCTGTGCTGAAATAAGTTATTTTTGGCGTTTTTCTTAAATATTCCGGTCCGGCGCCAGTTATGCAGCAGGCCAAATCAGTGAAACGCTCCCGTTCGCCCACTGAGGATACTTTGAACAATAATAAAACTCAAAGCAAGGTTCTAGTCACACAGAAAATAAGCGACGCTTCTGATCCGGAAAAAATGAAGCAAGTTCATGGTAAACAAACTATAAATTTAACCGGCAAAAGCGCCGCACATAACACATAATAAACCAAAATGGTTTCCCGCCCCATTCCACTTGCAGAAAAAACTAGAAAGCTGTTGTTTGCTGGCGCCGTTGCTGCAGCTGCAGCATCTCCGAGCTCTGACGGCACTCCGGCTAACGGTGCCACCACCAATGCTGGAAACGGTACAAACGCTCCATCGACGGGGCAACATATGCTATATGGAATCACAGGCAACGGCAACATTTCAATTCGAAACATGGCGATTGATATCGTAAATCCTCGCCTGGAGCGCAAGCGCTCTCGCTGCTGCCAGCGTCAGACCCTAATACACGACCGTTGTGGCAACTGCACTGATTACTTGTGCGAAGAGTGCGGCTACTCCTGCCGCGAGTGTTCCAAGTTCATTTGCCGCGCATGCGTTACTGTATTGTGAGTACATGCGTGTGTTTTTGCTTATGTGCTTGCACTATACAAGTATGCCAATCGTTTTCACTGTATTTTCTTTTGCCCAAGCAGTGGTAATCATTTTGATGAGGCCGATGATCCGTTGTGCGAGCGATGCCAAATGTATTGTGCTTAGGCAATACGGAAATCGGACTGGTTCCTTCCCTTCCACATATAACACACTACACATCTACAGACTGATTCTGGTTTAAGCTCCGGGGGAAGTTTAAACAATATAAGCTGGATTCAAGCAGCTCCAACACACATACACAAACACACCACGCTAAAAACGATTCCAATATTCCTGTGTTCACCTTCTATGTATGTATATTCCAGAGCAACTAGTTGTTAACAAATAAATACATTTATTCAAAACCTGGTCATTGAATCCCCCGCAAAGCCACTGGACACTATACAAAGAACGCTAAAACACATTTCCAAAGAATAAGTATCACCTTCTCATGATGCTTGACCAGGCATTTTTTTTACAATTTTCTAAGACACGTGGTTCCGTTTCTTTTTTTTTTGTTGGCTTCCAATATGGCGGTACTCGGTACAACCTGTCAGAGTGTGTGTGCGCCGCATCTACGTCTTAACCTCAAAGTTTACAGAAATTGTAATGGAATCCTTTTGCAGGCTGAGAAAATGGAGTCCCTGCTGTATGACATTTCCGCGCGCAAAATGCTCGAAAAATTGAGGTTGACTAAAAATGATGATTAAATGGCGAAAAGGCCACGTGGCTGACGATGGTGGCAAAATGGAGTCCATGGAACGTTTGCGCTTGCTCCGTGGCATTGCTTTGATTTTGTCAAAATCAAATGCATATCAAGCGTACATTCATAAATATATATTTATTGTGTGGGAAGTGGATTGCTCGTCGATATTTTAATATATTTTTGTATTTTCTTATTGGGAGACCTTTTCTTGTAGAGGCCCAACGCATTGGCAATGAACAACAAGTGCATTTGCACCTTCGACATACATATGCAGATATTTTTGATCCACTTGCAAAGGAATCTGCCGAATGCTATGCACTAAGGCAGAATCCTAGTCCTGAGCAGGAATTAGGGATAGATGCCAGCTTTGTCTATGTCTGATTATTGGTTTATTCTCTATTAATTTATATTCACGTGCTAATGTAGAGATAAATGTATTTTGTGGAACAACAACAGAAAAGAAATGAAGATTTTCTTCCTTACTTTACACCTTTCCCCTGAACTTGTGATACTTGTCGTGGTCCTTGAGCAGTCTGGTGTACATGTTCGTCCCCGCTGTGGTGTTGTGCCGCAGGATAAACTGACCCGACCGGTGGTCGCTTATACCAATCAACTCGTGGCACACGCGCTCCATGTTCACTTTGACCTGCAACACAAAAAGGACATGCCAATTATCAACAATCTCTCTCTCTCTCTCTAAACATCAATTTGCGATACGAACCTTCTCAAAGATGGTGGTTGGGCGCTCCGTTTCCACCATCTGATTGATGGTGAATGTCAGAAGAAACGGTGCGACTCGCTTCAAGGGCAGCGACTGTGTGGCCCCAATGCTGGCCATCACCGTGGCCAGCTTGAGGCCGAGCTCGGCCAGTCCGTCTAGCTCCAACTCGGTGAGGTCCTGGGCCCTCTGTCGACCGGACCGATAGCCGACAATTGCCTTTACCAGAGTCTCACAGACAGCGGACAGCTGGCCAGCCCGATCGGACACCAGGTTCGCATGCTGACGCAGCAGCACCACACAGTTGTCGGTGAGCGCCGCATAGAGCTGGTTAAAGTCGTTCCAGTTGCCGCCGCGTTCGATAAATTGATCGATGGCCACCACACTCATGGTGCCGAACAGGTATTCCAGGGACTCGTTTGTCAGCGGCACTGTCCGATTGTTGGCCAAGTTGCGCTGAGCCTCCAGCAGGATGAGGGCGAAGCTCTTGCTGTTGTGGGTATTGTCCTTCAGCCGGCCGGCCACGTTGGTGCTGACAATCTCAAAATGTTTGTTGATCATCTACCGGGGGCACAAAAGAAAGGCAGGTTATCAGGGAATGAGAGATCCCCAGCCCAGTGCTGGACTTACCGCTCCCTTGATGGTGCTCACAGAGCATTTGGCGATGAAGGATAGTATGGTTAGGACATTTTGCAGCTCGGTCCGGTGGCTCGGGCTCAGGGGCGTTGGTAAACCCTGCACCTCCGAGGTGAGCATGCGCAGCAGGACCAACAGATCCTCTTTGGTCTTGTAGCCAATGATCAGCGGGAAGGCCAGCTCTAGGCAGTTGACATCCAGGGCCGCAATATCGCCCGCAGCTATATCTGAGTAGAGCTGCTTCCAATAGCTACTCAGCACGAATTCGACTTCGTCTGGATCAAAATGCAGCTTCTGGCGATGGGAGATGGCCACATTAAGCAGCCTCAAAGCATGTGGATTCTTGTAGTTTAGCTGCAGGGAACAGGGAGCAAAGTGTACAGTCAGTTAATAGAGGATCTTTGATTCCTCTTTCAAGCGACTCTCACCGAGTGTCCAATGTAGATCTTGCAGATGCGTCGAAAGTCCTCATCTATGGGTTGCACGTCCTGCGCCGCCTCAACCTTCGTCGCTTTCTGGGCGTCCTCTGAGGCGGCCGCCTTCTTCTGCTTGTCTGCCCGATTGATGCAGCTGCTGACATAGGTGCCATAGCTTTTGATTGTTTCATCCACAAACGATTTGTAGTCGGACGTTTCCTTCTTCTTTGTTGGCCGGAACTTGTGCGCCACAATCTGGCCAAAGATCTCCAGCAGCGGCTGCACCTGTCGCTGCATATGCTTGGCATGGGGTCCTGTGGCGGCTGCTGTCGTTTCAATGGCCAGCAGTAGGAAACGTAACCCCTCCGCGGGCAGCTTCATGGTGCCGCCCAGCTCTTCCGTGATGTACTGTGAGCAGCTGGCGAGGAAGGCCTCGCTGCCAGCCGCGTGAAGGCGGATGCAGCGAGAAAAGAGCGTCTCGTAGAACTTCCAGCCAGTCGCGGAGGTGGTGGGCACCAACGAGAGCAGCTCCCGCAGCTGTGGAAAGTGACTGCAGATGGGCAACGGCTGACCAAAGTGCATCAGATCTGTTGAATGCAGAGAGTTGCAGATGCCGATTAAATGAAAATGGAAATGGGGATCATCATTCCCATTACTTACCTATCAGTTGCTCCAGCACATCTATGGCCTGCTGCTGCTGGTCGCTGCGACTCAAATCATGATAAAGGGCGAGCAGCGTCAGCCAGAGACGGAACTTAATCTTACTGGGCAGCTCGTTGTGATGTTGCCCTTGCAGAAACTCAATCAACTGCTGCGACGGGGGCAATTTCAACTCCTTGCCGGGCGCTGCCTTCTTGTGAATGGTAGCCGCCAGGTGAGCCTCCTCTGGCAGCTCTTCCAGCTTCAGTTTGGCCAGCAGCGACCCCTTGACATTGGCTGTTCGTAGGACCGCTGCATAATCGATCAGTTGCTGTAGACAGAGCAGCTCTACGCACTCAGCATCCTCCATGACGGTGTCCCGATCCAGGTCGTTCAGCCTCTGTTGGAGGCGCAGCTGCTTTTGTTGCCGCGAGAGCGTGTGCAGCTGCTGGTTGCTGACCAGATCGGCCAAGGCTTCCTCCGCCAGCCAGCCGCTGCCGACCAGCTGCAGCTCGAGACGGTGCAGGCGCTGGCCACAGGCGGTCGTGCCGAAGTTGAAGACCCGCTGCTGGATGAGCCGCCACTGGTCGGGTGGCAGGAAGCTGCGACGCCGCTGGGTGCGAGTCTTCGGTTTGGCATCCGTCCAGTAGTGGAACAGGAGCACCTCGTAGCTCCTGGCCCACTTCAGGCATTCGAGAAAGGCGTCCATGGAGCGACGGTTATGCTCCTGGCTAAGCAGCAGTCGGCCAAACCGCTCTAGCAATTCGGCCGTGCGGTTCATCTGTTCGTCGACCTCCTCCAGATAAAGATGCAGATGCTCGGTGAGGCGGGTACCCTGCAGATACTGACAGAGCAGAGCGACGATCAGCTCTCGGGCGAACTCCTGGTTCGCGGGCAGAATGTCTGTGGGTGGAGTATCCTGCAGGAGCTCCATCAAGGCGTGCAGCAGGGTCTTCCAAATTACCATTGATGGCTTAGCCTTGAGCAGCCCCACCAGAGCTGAGAAGGCGGCACCGGCCGAGTGGCTAGGCCAGAAATGCGCCAAATGTTTGAATTCATCGTTCGCTGAGGTCTCTGACGAGCCTGTCGCTGGCACGCATTCTGCAAAGATCAGGCTGATGAAACGCTTCTCTTCGGGGTCAAGGTCGTCGCCTTCCTCCGGCTCCTGCTCGCGCTTCCTCTTGCCGGGCACCCCTGTCGATGGCAGCTGGTATTTGGCCAGCCAATCCTTGAGCGACTTGAGCAGGTTCATAATGAAGCGCTCGGACCGACTCAGACGCCGGAACATGTCCAGCAACAGTACAAGGTACGCGGAATACAAATGCTCCTCCTCGGCGCTCCTCTTGGGGGCTGTCATCATCCAGATGGTGATCTGATAGCTGCTGGACTCCAGCAACAGCGGATTCAGGCGCAGTGCCGAGCAGAGCAGCATCAGAACTGGACGCAGATGATGCTGCTTGTGCTTCTTGACCAGCTGCAGCAGTTGCTCCGATACATACACAAAGGCACTAGTTTGTTTGCCATTTTTCTCTGTCTCCATCTCCGACTCTTTCTTCGCTTTCGCCTTTGTCTTCGTCTTTAAGACAACCGTTGAAACATTCTCGCCATCGGAGGACGCCTCCGGATTGGGATTTGTTTCTTGTGGCTGTTCCTTGGCCATGGGAAATTGCAGGGATACGTCGTATTTGCGCAGTGTCTCCAGCATGTAGGCAACCAGTGTCAGGCTGTGCCGTGGCCCGTCGACAGCTCTCTCTTCGAGTACCATTGTAAGGAGTTGGGATAGAAGGTCGGTATCGTAGCGGCTATTCAGAACGCTGCACTCGAGGAGCAGCAGCACCACGTGCAGGGGCTGGTTGGAGATGCGCGATAGGATGAACTGGCCCTGCATCTGCTTCTCCAGGCCAGCCATCTCCTCGATGCAGGACGACTTCAGGTTGAGCATCAGCTCCACCAAAGGACGCACTGTCAGCTCATCGTAGCAGACTCGGAGCTTGCGTACCTTTTGGGAACGGCGGGCAATCTCGGCCAGCTGCTTGATCATGGCCACAACGATTTCTGCGTCCGTTTGCAGCTCCTCCTGCGCAACCTGTCCTTCAGCTCTCAGCTTGAGGCACCTTTGCTGGCAGTCAAAGAGTGTGCCATAGCAGCGGCAGATGAGTGTGTAGTCGGCTCGCAATACATCCTGGAGTAGATCGAAATTGAACATGCTTTGCAGCAGCTTGAGGGCTGTATTGTCCTGACATTTCGCGGGATCAATGGTGTTCAACAGAGCCTGGACCAATGAGGCTTTGCAGTCCTGGCTGACCATGCCCGGCTGCGCACGCAGCTGGAACAGTCGCATCAGTTGTGCCACCGGCAGCTCGTTGCCGCGCAGGGATGTGGCCAGCCATTCTATGAACACTTCGTATTTGTTGGAGTACGTATAATCCACAGATTGCCACAAATTCAGGCCAAACTCGACACGTTCCGCAAACGGAGTTGCCTCGTCTGACAGCCAGGCTATGCATTCTGCGCAAAAATATGGACCATTATGTCTAAAATCCCGTAATTAGCGACTAAAACTCACCTTTGCCTGAGCCCATGTTGTATTTTGTTTACTAACCAAAAGGCGCACGTGTTGCCGCCCAACCAGTGTTGGGAAGCTCTTCCGAACAGTATGACCAGATTCGAACATCGAACAGCTGTTTGGATTTTGTTTTCATAAATATCAATTTATTTGAGGCTTTCTTTTCGTTATTTTTTTGTTTGTTTTTGAAATCGTCCCTTCTTCCTCTGATACCTTGTAAATACAATAATCACGATGATACTGCACTGTACAAGGCTGACACAGGGCCCACAAAGCCTACTATTCTCAAAAATCATCAGATCAGGAAATGCTCTGAATTCATATAATTCACTGACGAGACCGCTGTTACGACGATTTAACTGCAATCTCCGACCACCGCCTGGAGCACCACAGCAAGCGAAACAGAGAAAACCAATCCTGAGCTTGTGGAGTAGCAGTGCCTGTGCCGGTGTTGGCTCCTGTGTCCCGAGCCTGCGACGTGGCCTGGCACAAAGCGGAAAGGTGTTAGTCAAAAATGTCAAATCTGTCCCGGCGCAGGCCCGTCTTAAAATGGGCAAGTCGGAGTTTGGGCGTCTGCTCAATTTGGTCGCGTCGGAGAAATGGGTGCTCCTAGGTAAGTAAGCCCCTAGTGTCCTGCAAAAAAATACTAATATTTGCATTTTGCAGCGGGAATCGCCTGTCTAGTGGTCTCCTCGGCCATCACCATGTCCGTGCCGTTCTTTCTGGGGAAGGTCATCGATTTGGTGTTCAACAAGAGTGGCCTGAATAAAGGGGCCCTTGACGGTCTTCAACAGTTCTCCTTATTGCTCTTCGGTATCTTCGTTCTGGGCGGTTTGGCGAACTTTGCGCGTGTCTATCTTTTTGGCAATGCCGGTGAGTAGCGGAGATGCCAAATGCAAAAGGATGAATTTCCATCCCTCTCTCTCCTCCAGCTCTGCGCATTGTGCGTCTGCTCCGCTCGCGCCTGTACCGATCGATGCTCATGCAGGAAGTGGGCTGGTTCGACACGAAGGGCACCGGGGAGCTTATCAACCGACTGAGCAACGACACCTACATGGTGGGCAACTCGCTGAGCCAGAATGTCTCCGATGGCCTGCGCTCCTTGGCCATGATTGCCGTCGGCAGCGGCATGATGGTGCGTCCCCGTCCTTTTTCTAACTGCTATGTTAACAGCCTCATCCTAATACGCTAACCGATCTGATTGCAGATTTACACGTCGCCACAGCTAGCCATGGTCAGTGCGCTGGTTGTGCCGGCCATGGCTGGCATGGCCATTGTTTATGGACGCTATGTTCGACGCATTACTAGAACGGAGCTGGACAAGTACGCGGAGATAATGAAGTACGCGGAGGAGCGATTCGGCAATGTGAAGACGGTGAAAACGTTCTGCAGGGAGCAACAGGAAGTGATCGCCTTCGATGAGAAGCTAAACGAGGCTCTGAAGATTGGCTACAAGGAGACACGGGCCAGATCCATTTTCTTTGGCCTGGTGAGACCTAACCCTAGTCCTAATATTCTCTTCCTCTCCTTTTCTGACATTCGTGCATTTCTTAGACGGGATTCTCGGGAAACTTCATCATCATATCGGTGCTTTACTATGGCGGGACCCTGGTACTTGAAAATTCGCTCACCATCGGCGCCCTCACCTCCTTCATGCTGTATGCCGGCTACGTGGCCGTGTCCATGAACGGCCTGTCAAATTTCTACAGTCTGCTGAACAAGGGGATTGGCGCCTCGGAGCGCATTTGGGAAATACTCGATCGGAAGTGCAGCATACCCCTTGATGTGGGACTTCTTCCGACCTCGAAGCCTGTTGGCGATGTCGGTTTCCACGGTGTCAACTTCAGCTTCCCCACGCGACCCGACAGCTTCGTACTCAAGGACTTCTCGCTGAACCTGACGCCCGGCCAGACTACAGCTATTGTTGGTCGATCCGGAGCGGGTAAGACGACGATAGCCCTGCTGCTGCTGCGACTGTACGATCCCCAGGGGGGGAGTATCACGATGGATGGAATGGATCTGCGCACCATCAATCCCCAGTGGCTGCGCAACAATGTGGGCGCTGTCAGCCAAGAGCCGGTGCTGTTCTCCGGCACCATACGGGAGAACATCCTGTACGGCGTGAATCCCGGCGAGGACCAAAGCGAGGAGCTGCTTCAACGCGTGGTTGAGGAAGCGAATATCGGACAATTTACCAACAATTTGCCCGATGGCCTGGACACGCTTGTGGGCCAGCGCGGCATGATGCTCAGCGGTGGCCAGAAGCAGCGAGTGGCCATTGCCCGGGCGTTGATAAAGGTATGACGTTGACATTGAGGATATTATCCTCAAACAAAACTCCAACCCATCTACTGCTATTTAATCTACCACCTCAGAATCCCACCATACTACTGCTGGACGAGGCGACCAGTGCATTGGACGCCGTCTCCGAGCAGCTGGTGCAGAATGCCCTAGACCGACTTATCAAGGGCCGCACCGTGCTGACAATTGCCCACCGTCTGAGCACGATCCGGAATGCGGACAATATTGCTGTGCTGGATGGAGGCCGTATCGTGGAACAGGGCACCTACGACATCCTGATGCGCATGGAGGAAGGTGCCTTTCGGGAGCTGGTGGCCACCCAGGCGTTTGGGAGTCATCCCTCGTGATTGGATCGACGATTTTAAACACTTTTGGGGGTGTCGGATTAGATAAGATGGTGTCAGATTAGATGAGTGGCCGCACCACACGGCTGGCTGGTGGCTGGCGCTCTCGGTTGGCTCTTGGCGCACTCAAGACTCGGTGGGCTATGTGTTCAAATATCCCAATGTTTTATTTAAGCTAGTAAAATTCAGAATGACCATGTTAAATAAGATGCCTTTTAAATTGTATCGGATATTCCTTTAATTCAGGTGCGCAGCAGTGCTGGAAAATGGAACGAAAACCAGTGATGGAAAGCGAGGCAGTCCGGCACAGTGGTATTGGTTATGTTATCGTTAAGTTTTTAAAATTTTTTATTGTTTTCACATTAATTTCCTTTACTATATTTTCATCTTAAATCTAAATAAACAGGCACAAAAATAAATGCAATAATTTCTTTGTATCTAGGTTCTATATACGTCCTGTGCATATATCTAGAAATTCAATACGTGGAACAGTTACGCCTCGTCCGCCTCTCAATCATCGTCCGTACTACTTCATCGTGGGCATGGCCACGGCTGCCTGGGTGTGGTTCACGTCGGTCTCGCGCCACAGCTGGGTGACGGTCTTGGTCTGGGTGTAGAACTTGATGCCCTGTTTGCCGTAGAAGTGATGGTCGCCGCGGAAGGAGCCACGTGTGCCGGTGAAGGAGAACATGGGCAGGGGCACGGGAATAGGGACGTTGACACCGACCTGGCCGGCATCGATCTCGTTGACAAACTTACGGGCAGCCGCACCGTTGGTGGTGAAGACGGCGGTACCGTTGCCATAGGGATTGGCGTTCACAATGTCGATGGCATCGTCCAGATTGTCGGCCTTGAGGATCACCAGGACGGGGCCAAAGATCTCCTCAGTGTAGCACTTCATGCTGGGGGTGACATCGCTCAGGATGGTGGGTCCCACAAAGTAGCCATCCTCAAAGCCGGGCACGCTGATCTTGCGCCCGTCGAGGATGAGCTTGGCGCCCTCCTTCACTCCGGATTCGATGAGGTCATTAATGCGCTGGCGACTAGCGGCACTGATAACGGGTCCCACATCGGTGCCGGGCACATGGCCAGCATTCACCTTCAGCTTCTGGGCACGCTCCACCAGATCGGGAATCCAGCCCTGGGCATCGCCCACAAACACAGCCGTGGACAGAGCCATGCAGCGCTGACCAGCAGCACCAAAGGCGGCGCCCGCCAATTGGTTCAGGGTGTTCTCCTTGTTGGCATCGGACAGGATCACGCCGTGGTTCTTGGCGCCCATGTTGCTCTGCACACGCTTGCCGTTCTTGCCAGCGCGCTCGTAGATGTACTTGCCGGCCTGGTCGGAGCCCACAAAGGAAACGGCCTTGATGGCGGGGGCATCGCAGATGAAGTTGACTGCATCGTGCTGGCCGTGAATCACGTTGACCACGCCCGGTGGGCAGCCGGCCTCGTTGAGCAGCTCCATCAGAAGCATGGTGGCTCCCGGCACTCGCTCAGAGGGCTTTAGCAGCATCGTGTTGCCGGTGGTGATGGCCACGGGGAACATCCACAGAGGAATCATAGCGGGGAAGTTGAAGGGAGCAATTCCGGCGGTAACACCCAGTGGCATCACCAGCGAGTATGTATCCATGTCGCGTGCCACATTGGCCACCGTCTCGCCCATCTGCAGGGAGGGAATGCTGCAGCAGTGCTCCACCACCTGGAGTCCGCGCAGAACATCGCCCTCAGCATCGGCCAGGGTCTTGCCCTGCTCCTTGGTGATGTTCTTGGCCAGCTCGCCCATGTTTTCCTTGATCAAAGCCTGCAGCTTGAACATGACCGCCTGACGGGTCAGGATCGACTGGTTGCTCCACGACCGGAATGCCTTCTTGTTCGATTCCAGAGCCGTTTGCATCTCATCCTGTGTGGCCTTCGGCACACGCGTCACCACCTTGTTTGTGGCCGGATCGTGCACATCGATCCATTCCTTCGTCTTGGACTCTACGAATTTTCCATCGATGAACAGCTTGGTGGTGGGCGCGGCCGAGGAGTAGGCGCGCTGTGTCAGGTAGCGGGCCTGCAAAGGGAATATGAGCATATACTATAGTCTCACAGCGGATTCATTTGCCAGAACTTGATTTTTATCAGAATTTCCGAAACGGATTGCAATCCTAACCTCAACTTGTACCGTGGGGAGAGGATTTCTGCTCGGCTCGATAACCTGATAGCATGGGCATGGGGGTTGCCGTGCCACGCCTACGCTTATCAGTGGGCCCACATCTGGCGGCAGACATGCGTTTTCATGGCTTTTCGAGCAATTAAATGCCACAAGTGATGTGAATGGAATTGTTCGCCAAATACGCGGCTTATCGCGTTTTATTGTATTTTATAACATTTCAAATGTTCTGCTAATTCTTTCTCTGCTAATTGTTTTTGCATTTTGCGATCGTTGCTATCTTCTCCGCTCTGTTGGCCGTCTGTTGCTGAACAGCAGCGGCATTACGTAACATGTGTTGTCAATTGGCATTTCTTTTTCACGGCCACACACACACACGCACACATACACATACTCGCAATGGCACACAGAGCTATAAAGTGAGAGTGGCAGGTCAGTCGTTCACCAGAATGGCTGTTGCACTCTTGCATGTGCATACGCATCATCCATGCATACATATGCATGTGAATACTTATGTATGTAAACGAATGCAGTGCTGCTACAACTGGCGCTTATCGATAATGAAATCATTTCCCCCTCTTACCTCAGCACCGATTGCACGCAGGAAGGCCATCCTGGTTGGAGACACAGAGATGTGGGTGGATATGGGCAGGAGTGAACGAAAACGGGCCGCTTCTCAGTCAGAGGTTTCTGGATCGAGATGGAGATCGTGTGCTGTCCAAACGGTGGTTCCACTAGAACTGAAAGCAATTGCTATGAGGCTGTGCCAAGTCGAAGGGGCCCGAGCGTGTGTATGGTGTGATTGTTGATATACGAGCAGTGGCTGAGGGGCTGTGGCAGCGGGACTGGACAGGGGCAGGCCGTCAGACCGCCGAAAAGACTGTCAAACTGGATGGTGGTTTGCTGATGGCGAGCTACCGCTCGGGGTGGGGTCGGAGGGGCCGCCTCACAATGTGTTTAACGATAGCAGGCGCACACACGTAGACACCTACATATGGCTCAAGAACCTGGCGGAGCGGCTGTTGTTATTGTTTTTGTTATTCGTTGGGGGCTCGAGCTTTCATTGTGTTGTATGTGTGTGTGTGCGCATATGACGGAATAGGCATGTGCATGTGTGAGTTTGTTTTTGCGATGTTTGTCTTTTTCATGTTACCCTACCTTTCAGAAGCATTAACTTACTCGGAATGTTGGATACCTTATAGTGTCAAAAGACCATTTGAATAATAATTTCCCTTTATGGTTATCAAAATTAAGGAAGTACATATTTTTAGTTGATAAATTTAATTGTGAAAAAAAGAGCTTTTAGGGAAGCCCAATATTCAAAGGGAAGACAGCCAAGGGGAAAATTAAGTGTTGTTCGAGAAATGAGAGAGCATCCAATATTCTGTTCGTCACAAACAACAATTGGTATTTATAACATGATCACAACTACAAGTACATATGTATAAGCATACTATGTATGTATTCTAATTTAGTGTGCAGACTATGGCACGTGTCGGGCAGTTCAACTGTGGGTGAAATCAGCATAAATTAAAATTAAATATTAGACATATGTACATATGCACATATGTATATTTTATTAAAATAAACATTTTTGCAAAAAAAATACCAATTGCAGAAATTAGGAATTAAAAAAAAAAAACAAAATTAAGACTGTAAACATATAACGGTAAACAACACAAAATCATCTGGCGTTGACTTAAGCACTAAAAAATCCCAAAAGCTCCTCAATAAATTCGATTATCAATAAAAAAAAAATTGGATTGCTTTCTTTTAGGCGCAAATCGTTTAACCCACATTAAAATTCCTGTGAAAAACAGCAACACAATCCACAAGCCAGGAAGCTCGTGCTGTTGCTTTTCCTTTTCATTTTCCGCTTTCCACCTTTCGCCAAGGTAAACAAAGTTGCGCCTGGACTTCCTCTTCCTGGTCAACATAATTAAAACTACTTTCGCTATTGGCCAGTGTTGTCGCCATTCACAGGACACCCGACATCAGCGCGGATTCTGAAGAGAGCAGGACTCCCCAACATGTGGAGCATGAGTGTGTGTGTGTGTGGGGCACGAGCGTATAAATAGCCGAGCGCCCCACAGGATTCGCTTTTTCGCTCGGATGCCACCAACTCAACAGCAGGCGAGCGCGCTCCCACCAGGCGCCTGATAGAAAACCTATTATTTTGCGCAGCTAACGAGCCTTTTCGTTGCCACATTGAGATGCCACACCAGTGCTAGGGGACGGGACGGACACCAGCAAAGATGGAGACCGCCACGGGCTACCAGGATATTAGCGCCCTGGAAAAATCGGTATGTACATTCCATATACTCGCAGATATCTATAGATACAGGAAGTGTGAAACGAAAATCCCACTGCAGGTGGCCAATGCTGGCTCCCAGCTGTACACGATGGCCCACAAGCTACACGCGGTGGAGCGCAGCCTGGAGCAGACCACAATGGAGCAGATGGACGAGATGGAGGTGATGGAGCTGCTCGAGTCCATGACCGAGGTGAAGAACGAGTACCAAAATCTGCGCAAAGACATCCAGGAGGTGCAGCAGCTGCAGCGTGACGTCAGCACCTCGATACGCTTTCAGATGCGCAGCATGCAGCAGACGTTCCAGATGCTAAAGAAGCGGATTGCCACCTCCCAGGAGCAGAAGCAAAAGAAACAGCGGCAGCAGCCGCGCACCAACACCACCACCGAACTCCCCGCCATAGTAACGGCCAATGAACAGTAGGCGGGGGACCCACTAGGACTGGGGCTAAGGGTTGGGGTTGTGGCCAGGGCAATTTATGAATATTCCATGGGTTTTATTGATTGCCCAGCTGCTAGTTAGCTAACCCCAAACAAAACCCCAAACAAAGCCCCAACCCAATCCCAAAGCAAAGCAAACTGCTGAAAGAAATGTGTCAAATCTGGTGGAGGGAGTGGGACACCACCGACCACCAATCAAATGCAATCAACTGAGTGATGGGGGCACTGGATACTAGATATTGATATCAGAAGCAACACCAAGCATTTAGACTCGGAACAGGAACAGATCCTCTACTTTATATACACGGAAAACACCTACACACCAACACACCACCAGAGAACGTGTATCCTATATCCCTGTTAGGACTTAGTGTAAGCGCAAGAGCACTACTTTATGATGCAAGGAAAACCAAATGTCTGATACCATTTGAATGAGAATGCACTTTTTCAAAATTTGCCTTAACATAATCGTATTGTATTGTACTAATTTTTGATACGACACGTTTTAAAGTACATACAAAACATATATATGTACATACTCGTATATTAATTAGTCTTAGGCGTATCATTCTCATTTCTACTTAATGATACACAATTGCAACCTATTTTTGGCTAGTTTGTTCGTTTTTTGGAATATTTGTTAATAGATTGTATAAGCCAGAATTTAGAAAATTAAACACTTAGAAGGCTCACCAACGCGAGGGCTCATTTTAAATGGTCAACAAAAGTGCGCTCAGCCTATCGATTAACAGATAACATACACTGTGCATGGCAATGGCGCCTATCGCAAAAATATACCGATAATACATCGAGTAAACCAAAAAACTCGTCGAGTGGGTTCAAAGGTTTGAGCTTGTGGTTCAGATTTTTCAGGAGGCGATCCTCTGCATCGGTCTGGGGCATCAGCTATTGCATCTTCATATCCTGCTTGACGGCGTACAGCGCGTCGAGAGTGCAGATCCCCGCCTAGGGTTTCGAGCTTAATGTTCCGTATCTGAAGTGAGCCTGTTTAAAGCTCGCGTCCCCTCTTTTTGATTGATGACATTTCTATTAGGTAAGGGAAATGGCTCTTAATGCTGATTAAGAATTCGTCATATGTAAATATATAAATTTAATAGGCTCAAAACTGCTGTTCCTCTTTCTCAATCTTCTTTGGGTTCGATTGGCCGTACAAATTTGGAATTTGCCAAGAATATTTCGACCAGTGCAGCAAGGATCCCGCGCTCGATGCCACATCCACCCCATCCAGAACAACAACACCTGTCGCCATATGCATATTATATTGGCCGATTCTAACCCAGTCAGCCCGAATTAAAGGAAAAAATGTGTCTTTTTCAGTCAAAATGTTCACAGTTCACATGTTGTCTCCATCTGCGATTCTTTCGCTTGCACGTATATTTAGCGTCTAAATACCATCGCTGGCCCTGGCTATCGCTGGTGCATATTGGCCTTCAGTATGTATTATTTATATATTGAGATATTCAGTCAGCTCTCAAGTTGTTAAAGTAGCTTTTGGCCGCTTGAACAATCTACATACTGAAGGCCACTACAGGTCCTGACGTCTATGAAGGCCCTCAGGGCACGCTATCCCAACGGCCTCTAGTCAGTTCCTTTCACAGGACGCTCGCAGAAGTACCAGGCGGGTTGAGTAATAGGCAAATAACTATTCGTAGTGCTGGTGTAAAAAATCAGAAAATTATGATACATGTGTTTTCCGATTAAGTGATTTCTTAGATGAATTAAGTAGCATGACAGTGATCCACATAATCGAAGTCATGATAAATATGTAAAGACATACATATGTAGATGCACATTCAAAAGTAATCCATTTGGGTGGGGAACTGCAAGGACACAAAAAGTATTGGTCTGAATAACCTCAAAACTCTTCCATACTTACTTCGAAAAAGAGAAAGCATATAAGAATGGACAACATTCTGAGTACGGCTGTGACAGACACTCAATATCTCAATAGATAAATATTTATATACTGAAGGACAATATGAACCAGCGGCAGCAAGGGCCTGCAATGGTATTTCGACGCCACTTATCCGTACAAGCGAAAGCCCCGCAGATGGAGACGAAGGATGGGGCTTTAGAAGATCGCGCCATAGAAGCAGCTCCATAACTATGAACATTATGACTGCACTGAAAAACAACAACCTTTCGCCTTTTATACGGGTGACTTGAAAATGTAATCGGCACCCTCTTTTGCCGTTTACACTTGTGAGTAAATATTTTTCAGACTGGTGATGTGGTTCTGCATAGGCTATGTAGTCTAGGTCCTTCGATTGTGACTGTTCCTTCTCCTCCACGGCCCTCGGCCCTCCAGTGTTGGGCCCAACTTTGAATTTGCTACGCTGCCAGGCACTTACCTTTGGCAACCTACCTTTGAGTGTGAGGGTCCTTTATTTTCTTTCTGTTGCAGTAGAGAAGGGGAGAACGAATAAGTGGCCGCCCAACAAGAAGGGGCTGTAATACAAGGAATTTGTAATTTTTCCTCACCTGGACTAGCAGCGATGTTCGGTGGAACAATATTTCTAAGGTTCCCAGGATTCGGTCAATCGGTCAAACATTTTCTCAATTCTATAACATCCTTTCCCTAGGGTATGACAATTAATGTTGCCGGTAATCATTGTTGTCAACCGGTTATTACCGATTCATACCCTATTCAAATAAATACCGATATATATTTGAATAATTAAAATAATTCAAATTTGTCATCCAAGGCTCCGTAGGTATCAGGATCGAAATAAATATACACAAGATACTAATAATGTACTTGAATATGTCTAAAGAATATCAATTTGAGAAAAGGTCTTTATAAATTACGTTTCATCTTCATATAAAATTAACGAAATAGGGTATACAAATCATGTCTTCAAATATCAGCAACATTGCGACTGTTTTTTTGTTGAACTATTTTGTTTAAACCCTGTTTTAGTTAAAATAAAATAAAAGCAAGGACTAAAAACTTGCCAATTAAGTATAGAAGTGATTCATCAATCGTATAAAACTGTCTGGGCATGGCTAAATGTGCTATATAGCTAGTAATATTCCACGGAAGATCAAAAACGAGGAATATGTAAAATAGAACGTGAATTCGTAGGTATATTTACGGTCTATTTTTTAAATGAGACAGTATGCTTCGGTATATTTCCGAGGTTCGGACGGTATATTTTAACGATAAATCCGCGGTCACACTGGTTGCGTTCGCGTAGTTTGTGTTTTGAATGTGTATATGTGTAAATTATTAATATATAGTACAAAAATTATTGTTTGTAGATAATATGTTTTGCTCCTCGGGCGTTCAGTCATTTTGTGGCGTGTGATTTTGGAGTTTTGGTGCAGTGACAGCGCGGCAAACGAATCATCCGCCAGCAGGGCAAAAGCACCTGCAGAACAAGTTGTTGTTCCGTGTCTGTTCTGGTTTGTGTGCTATTTTCTGTGTTAGAGTGAAATATTGGCAATAATTTGCATATCAAAGAAAGCTGTTAGCAGAAAGCGAGCCACAGGTGCAGCAGCACCTCATCCAGCGTCTCTCCATCGTCTGCGCCTGCGCCCCCGCTTGTTGTTGCTGCTTACGTGTCCGCATCGGCGGGTCTAGATCGGATCGATCTGCTCTCCAGATAGCAGATAATATGCGCGTTGGCGTTTTTGTGATTGCGTGCCTGGCCCTCGTCGCTGGCTCGCCGGCCCCCGCCCCCGCAGAGTACAGCGAGAGTGCTGCGGTTCAGGTGATCGAGGAGACCGAGAGCTTTCTGGCTCATCCCCACTATCTGGACAACGATGAGATTGGAGCTCTGTTTGGCCAGTTGGCCAAGGACTATCCCCAGTTGGCCCAGGCCTACAAAGTCGGTCGCTCCTTGCAGGGCAGGCCACTGCATGCCCTAGCGCTAAACGCCCCACCGGCGAACGACAAGAGCGGGGATCTGCTGCGGCCCATGGTCAAGCTGGTGGCCAACATTCGGGGCGACGAGACCCTGGGTCGTCAGATTGTCCTGTATATGGCCGAGTATCTGGCCAGCAGCTATGAGACCGACGACCAGGTCCAACGGCTGCTCAACACCACAGAAATTCATTTTCTACCCAGCTGCAATCCGGATGGATTTGCCCTCGCCCAGGTGAGTCATACTACGAACCCCCGTCTCGTCCCCGTGCCCATCTATGGGTAGTTCTAGAAGAAAGTTGCTTGTACCACAATCCGCTTTCAAAGCCAAAACAGCTGTGGGGAGCATTATAACAATAGCGAAAAGTGAATGTAAATCGGATAAATTGTTACCCCGACTCCACCCCAGATCAATCCATGAATCAACACTCCCCACCTCTCTCTCTCTCTCTCTCTCTCTCTTTGTATCTCTCTCTGTCTCTTTGGTTTCCGATGTGCTTTGTTCCTCTGCCCCGCTGCGTTTGGAATCTGTAGTGGAAAGCCAGAGACTGTTTCTATCTATATGAAATCCGCTCCCCTTCCTGTACTATAGTACCATAGGTGACCCAGTTTTTCTGGTTCAAGTCAGTTGTGATCTGGCTATTAGCATCTGAAAGTTTCGTCTGATATTATCTGAACACTGGTCCATCATTACTCTCTGGTACTCTCCACTCGATGGCCCTCTGAATGTCTAATCCCAAGTGTTTGGGCTTCTGCTTTACGAGTGATCTTCATTTTAAAGCTCTTCAATTGAGTCAAGTGGTGGTTATTGTGGGGCTAATGTACAGGGGTAGGAAAACACTTAATTAAGCTAACAACAAAATTAAATTTAAGAAATCTGTTGTGGATCAAATGGGAGTTCCTGAAAGCGGGCATCATTGATTCTGAAGTGGTTTTCCCTAGATAAATTGTAACACTCTTAGATTATTCCTATAATTGTTCAGGGTCTTGGTGTGTTGGGTTCATGTGAAGAATATTGAGGACACTGGACAGTATATTTCAGAAAATGCTCTATTAAATGACTGTTTTCAGTCATTTTGAAGTGATGTTAATTTTTTAAGTTGGTTTGTGTTTGAATTCCTTAAATTAAAGGTATCGCTTCGCTAGTGAGTCAAATATCGGAACGATCGCGGCGACCCAAACCTTTTTTATACATATGTACATATGTATCTAATAGGGATACATAAATATACATATGTACATGCAGGGAAGCTTTATCTCTGTTGTTTTCCTTTTCCCTAGTTCAGCGGGGGGACGTCCTTGCACCCAACTGCTTCCATCGCTTCCACATGACGGGGTACATTAAAGCGCATTAAAGGGCATCAGGAAAAACCCCGCAATAGAACAAATTTCTGGTGCCGCAACAGCTTGGTAATTGTTTAGTCTGTGCTAGCACATTTCCGCCATACACTGTTTATTCCCATAGTATGTATTCGCATCAACACACAAAATATTGAAAATTCCCCTGACTCTGTTGGCTCTCTTTTCATTGCATTAACTCTGCTGTGAATCCCTGTAGCGAACAATTGTCAATATAATTAAGGAGATTACGTACGTAAATAAAATCGATGTATTTATATATTTGTATCCCTCCTTGCTGTTGTGCTGCAAGTATCATGGCATTTTCTGTGAAAACGAGGCGGACGCGAGAGCTTTACAAACTTGGAAAGTTCAAGATCAGCTCGTGAAGAGCGGAGAGCGAGCAGACCAAGAGAATAGGCAGCAAGTAAAAGCGACTGGGAAATACCCAATACCCTGTGGATTTTGGTTACATGGTTCTTGAATCCAGAAGCTCCCACAGACTGAGAAATTTTCATAGCTAGCAGATCGAATGCTCGTAAAAAATATATGTCCATATATAAATATTTATGGCGCTATAGGGTGGCAAACATTGATCTTCACGAATGAAATATACCTTTTTACTCTACGATAAGTCGGACATAGTAAACAGTTATGATTATCAGCTGTCTGCCGGCTGAACACCTCACACCTCTCTCCCTCTCACCCTCTCAATCTCTCCCTATGCGCGTGTCCACTCTCTTCTCTGTTGAGCTTTATTGCTGCTCAGAGTAAGCTTCAAACTGCGTCATATTGAAAAAACTTTAGATGTAAATATGTATGTGTGTACCGTGGGCCACAGGGTATTAAGGGATATTTCAATGTTTTATCAGATTTTCAACTAATTTTAGTTAATCCAAAGAGCAATAGGTATTTCGGGCGGACACCTCGAGTGGTGGCAATTTTCGTGTCTGATTAGATTAGACTGTTGTTAAACAAACATGTATGCCAAGTGCTTCGATGTGGATGTTGGGTGTGGGTGACAGTTTTACGGCCTGCCCCTCCAATAATCTGGTGGATAGATTTAAGGCCAGCCCCGGCCGCTGACGTCATTGTGTTGCAATTGCAACACAGCGGCCGTAACTGTGGGAGCAGCCCGCAAGGGAGGCAGCCCGTGCAATTACCTTTAAAGAAACTGGTTAGATGTCACAACAACAACAGCTATACGGCAGTATGCCACCGTTGACGCCGCGGCGTATGGGCGATGTGTTGTTTTCGCTTTGGTTTTGGTTTAGTTCATTTCATTTTCCTGCAATTGAGACACTTTACAAGTAAATGCAACCGGTTCGTCGTCGTTGTGATTGCGCTTATGTCTGTGTCCGCTGCTACTATTCCTCCAGCGAGAGCCACGCGAATTTACGAGTAGTTTGTCGATTTCTGTTTGATGCAGTTTTTTTATATTTCTAAAAATGTGAATATCTAGAACCATGTGATGCAAGAACTTATACATGTTTCTTTCTTCGATATTGTAAGAATTCTGTAAATTTCCATAAAAAAAAGATGCTCCAAACGATCCTTACTTTTAATTGCATAAAAGGTTAAATTTGATCGTTCCATAAAAAGTATAATAGTTGAAGATGTTGATGGATTCTAATAGATCCACTAGAAAGAACATATTTTTTTTAGCATACAAATTTTGATTATTCTTTAAATTGTATCTGGTTAGATAAGAGTTCCTGATTCCTGATGGAAAATACTTGATTATGTATGTACATATGTATGTTATTCTCCATCGATGTCTAAATGTCATGGATACGGTATTGATTAGTAGCTTTTTCAATGATTGAAAAAAGGATTACCTTGTGGAATCTACCCTATTTTCACAAATTTTTCGATTGACATCCGAATGGAATTGAAACGGATTAATTATCGTAGAGCATGCAGGCCTCGGTGTTAATTCCAGCTGTGCCAAGAAGAAGTGCCAACAATGTGGTATTGCTGCGTGATTGGGAGAGAAGCTTGAAATAGAGAAGCTTTTTGCCCGCTATCACCGCCGCCCTCCACTGTCACCGATCCCATTCACTCAGTGGGAATATAAATTTCCCTGAAATTGCGCTCTACTGATAAAGACGGCCTTAATGGCCCGGGGAATTTTGTTTATCGATAAGGAAGGGGCATATGGAAATATGTACAAATGTATGTGCCGTGTGTGTGCGTGGGCGTTTGAACCCACGCCAGGGACACTGGCAATGGGCGGTCTGGCTGGCTGTGACGTCAAAAGAGAGTTATTGATTTCATGCTAAAAATATCCTTTTCGCTGACGTGCGACGCAAATTTGACTGTCTCTCTCTCTCTCCGCCTTGTCTTCACCATCTTTCTCTCGTGCGCACACTCTCTCTCTCTCTCTCTGCTGTGGCTTGGCGGCGACTGCGCTCTCACACGCGCCGGCGCCTCGGCTTTCGTCTGGCAACGCTATTCAACACTCAAATGAAACAATAATAATCATTATTGAATCCGAAAGCGACGACAAACTATTAATTTACACTCAAATAACAACAACGGTTCGTGACACGGTATCAGAAAACTGTGGAAAATACATATACATATATAACGGCAGAAGAAGGAAAACTAAAAAAAACATTCGGCTCTCAAGCTCTCTGTGGCGTGTAATTTCCCTGCAATTAGCGCGCGCTTTGCTTTGCGCTGCTCTCAGCCGAGTGTGCTGGCGTCGACGCTGGCAGAGGAGCGGTAACAGGCACAGCGACAGCAGCCCCATGGGCGCTTAAGGCCAATCAACGCAGCAAATTTTCAAGCAGTTCATTTTTCGAAGCTGAGCTGCACCGACCACCCGACGACGGAACGGACAACGACAACGACGACGACGCCGACCCCCCCAGACGACCAAGACGAGGACGCGCGGGCGGAGGTCTCCCCCCGAAAAAGCAGAAGAAAACCAAATAAGAACTTTATCTGGAGCATCCAGCGTTCAATTTGCACGCCCGTGATAACCAGCAATTGAGGTCATCCCCCCGTAGCGGCTGCGAAGACGGGAAGACTGCCGTAGAAGTGGAGGCGAGTCCAAAGAAGATGCTGGTACAGTGGATTGTGACTGGCCTGGCTTTGGCCATGGTCGCCCAGCTGGTGCCCAGAGGACGGGGCTACATCATCAAAGAGGAGGAGAGCTTCCTGCAGCAGCCCCACTACACCAGCCAGGAGCAGCTGGAGGATCTGTTTGCGGGCCTGGAGAAGGCCTATCCAGAGCAGGCTCGCGTTCACTATCTGGGCCGATCCCTGGAGGGCCGCAACCTGGTTGTGCTGCAGATCTCGAAGAATACGCGGCAGCGCAATCTGCTCACGCCGCCCGTCAAGTACATTGCCAATATGCACGGCGACGAGACGGTGGGACGGCAGCTGCTCGTCTATCTGGCTCAGTACCTGTTAGGCAACTACGACCGCATCACGGATGTGGGCCAGCTGATGAACTCCACGGACATCTATCTAATGCCCACCATGAATCCCGATGGCTATGCTCTGTCCCAGGTACGTTCGCTCTACAGTACGCGCGGGCGGGTCACCTGTTTGCATACATACTGCCACTGTGTACGAGTCTCTTTCGGTCGCTGGGAAAAATCAATAATTGTGAAATTTCAGAATACAAAGAGGCAGAGAGAGTGTGGTTTAAAGTTTGCGGGGGTGTCGGGGTGAGAGAGGCGGAAGAAGTCATCTCTCTCTCTCTCTCTCTCTCTGTGCTGTCGTTAAATTCGCACTTTTTATCCGATTGCGCTAGGCCCAAGCGCAATCCCTTTACCGCCGTCTCTCTCTCCGCCCACTGCCACGCCTGAATATTCACAACTGTTGACATATTGCACACACCCACGTTCGCCAACATGCATAGATAATGGTTATCATTATCTTCTGCAAAGCAATGTATAGTTTGCTTTTGGTTGTTGCTTATGGATCATTTTACCGTTTCTGGAACGTATGGAATGATTTAGCAAAGGTTTCGGTTAGTGCGTAGATACACGGGAAATTTAAATTCATTCAGAATGTTGACTCAAAGACAGATAGGAAGAGAAAAAGCTCTGTTATTCGTTGAGCAGAAGCTTATTCCTCGCTGGTTTAGCAAATAACTGTTCCAGCTTCTTCCTTGAGTTCGAGAGAGCGAGAGTCACCTGCATAGAGTTACCACCTGTCCCTCTTCCCCCTATTCATTCTTAATTGGAGTTGAAACTTTCTGAACTTGCATATGTGTATCTGTTTGTATGTATGCATGTATGTAACAATGTGTCTCTGCTTTCTTGCACAGTGGAACGGATAACCCACGTGTATGTGTGATCGGTGATCTGTGGCGTGACTGGGGTAGTACATAATTTCCATTCTGGCTGAACATGCTAATGACATTTGCCATTTAATATGTCCATTAAATGATATGTGTAATTTGTTGATTATGCAATGGAGGAGGCTTCACTCCAATCCATCCATCAGTCCTCCCCGATCGCCTTTTGCTCGCTCGGTTCATGTGCGTTCAATCAGATCGTGCAGCAGCTGCTCCAGTTTATAAGCTGTATAGTGAGGGGAGGGCGGGGGAAATAGCTGCGTTCTGATTTGATAATTAGCGTGTTATTCGATTGCGCAACATCGTTATCGAATATCGATTATGACTCTCTCTCCGATGGGTGCGTGGGTGAATGGTGTAATCAGAGAGAGCCCCGACCCACCTGACAGACATGCCAAGCAGTGCAATATTTCGGTCAGGACTGACCTGAATGACAATCAAGACACAGAGGAGAGAGAGAAAGAGCGAGAGTGAGATTGAGAAACAGATATGAAAGAGAAATCCACGCCTATGCTAATATTGCCCCTCTTCCCCCCCCTTCTCCACAATTTACAGGAGGGCAACTGCGAATCGCTGCCCAATTATGTGGGGCGTGGCAATGCGGCGGGCATCGATCTTAACCGCGACTTCCCCGACCGTCTGGAGGAGCCCCATGTCCACCAGCTGCACGCGCAGTCCCGCCAGCCGGAGACGGCCGCCCTAGCCAACTGGATAATCAGCAAGCCGTTCGTGCTCTCGGCCAACTTCCATGGCGGAGCCGTGGTGGCCAGCTATCCCTACGACAACTCCATGTAGGTTTCGGGTTTGATCTCATCGTGGGTGAGATTCCAGTTTTCATCACACATCCCTCTCCTCTTTTAGAGCGCACAATGAGTGCTGCGAGGAGAGCCTGACCCCGGATGACCGCGTTTTCAAGCAGCTGGCGCACGCCTACTCGGACAACCATCCGATCATGCGGAAGGGCAGCAACTGCAACGACTCCTTTGCCGGAGGCATCACAAACGGCGCCAACTGGTACGAGCTCTCCGGCGGCATGCAGGACTTCAACTACGCCTTCAGCAACTGCTTCGAGCTGACCATCGAGCTCTCCTGCTGCAAGTATCCGCCTGCCAGCACCCTACCCGCAGAGTGGCAGCGCAACAAAGGTTCGCTGATGCAGCTGCTGAAGCAAGCCCACATCGGCATCAAGGGCCTGGTGCAGGACGCCAATGGCTATCCCATCGGTGATGCGAACATTATTGTGGCCGGCCTGGACGAAAAGCCCATTCGCACCTCGAAGCGTGGCGAGTACTGGCGCCTGCTCACGCCCGGCCTGTACAGCGTGCATGCGGCTGCCTTTGGGTGAGTGGCTGCCCCTTTTTCCCTTTCCCTGTGGTTCCCTTTCCAGCTCCCGTACTGATTTCGTTTCCCTCTGTCTCCATCCAAACTCCAGGTACCAGACCAGTGCCCCGCAAGAGGTGCGCGTTACCAACGACAACTTGGAGGCTCTGCGGCTGGACTTCAAGCTGCTGCCCGTCGAGACGAACTTTGATGGTATTAGCAGTTTATACAGTCCCTATTTTTTCTAGAACTCTCTCATGCGGCGTGGCGGTGAGGAATGCCCAGTCACCGCCAGCACCAGCGACAGCTATCCCCCCGTCTAATATGCATATGTACATGCTAGCCAGTCATTTGAACCGATATCAATGCATCAATTGTCCATGAATGCCCCCCTGATCAACCCAGCACCTAGTAGTCCTGCTCTCTCTTTATATGCACCGCTCTAAGCGCTCTACTACCTACTGTCCGTATCCAAACTGTATCTCGAAAACACAGCAAAGCACTTTCATTTATGTATGTATGTATGTATTTGACTTGGGCGCTTCTCTTGGCCCAAGTTCGATTCGTTGGCTGCTCTAAATATAAATGGTGTTTTTACCGAATCGAGCTAGGAGATCTCGGAGATCCCCCAAGGATTTATGTATATTTTGCACTGCATTCCATGGGGTATTCTGTTTCTCTTTGGCTTCATCCTGGAATCTCTTTGTTTTGCGCCACTGTCATATTATGTTTCGTTCATTTTTCCTGCACCGCACACACACACACACATATGCACACACACACACGCACTGATTGATTATACTTCCGAAAACCCGATTTGATTTGTATATAAGAAAACAAAAACAAGCAGTCAAGAACAAAACGAAACCAAAAAAGAATTTAAAAAAAACGACAACACAAAAACAAGGATGCAATAAAATTAATCAAATAAGCGAATTGTACTTAGGAACTTGTAAAGAAATCAACCCACTTGAGGTCATCGAATGACCCTATCCACAAAAACAAAGGAGGACGAACGATTTTATATGGATCAGTTCTCCTGCTCCTACTCCTGCCCATATCCCGTACCTACATATATACAAAACATATTATGGTGCACTGTAGAGAATGCACGAGGAAGCGACGATCAAAGCATATACCTAAAACCTATGCATATACTATGAAAACTTTATTGAGATATCTCTTCACATACATAATATCAATATCGATTGTATGTGAACGAAAAGGACTTGTTCAACAACAGATTTCAATGCATTATAATTTATACATAGATATATATACGAGTACGATGTGTACAATGAGAATTAAAAAAACCAGCCCCATAATACACAACATATAATAAATCGTATGTACACGAAATATAGCGAAAACAACACATAATGGTAAAATATTACCATTGTAGGAAACGAAATGGTCTTGTTCCAAAACAACAAAAATTATAATATATATATATATTCGATTAAGTGTGTATGAGGGTAATTACAATTTCCCAAACCATACAGCTATCTATATATATATATATATAAAAGAAAGATCTATCCATTATACGATTAATCTATCTGTCTATTAATATCCATATATACATATATATATACACGATTAGGTGTATACACGAAAGATGATGGATGGTTAATTCTATCGCAGGTGAAACGTAGAGAAAATTACTACAATACATACTCTATGCATTATGATCTATCTGTCTATTATACGAGCATGTGTGGGTGGATAATAACGAATGGAAAAATCCAGCCGCACAACAAAACTATCGCCTATAGTACATACTATATATATATACATATATATTCGAGTATACTTATAATGGGAATGAGATTTAAACGGTTTGATCGGGTGATTCTTGGCAAAGGCAGAATAAAATGTGGATTTTAGCTTTGGTGTGTTTTATTTTCACCTCCATTCACCCCCACCCCACACACACCACATTGCGAACCCTCACAGAAATTTTGGTTCATTAAATAATTATTTTTTTCGTTTCCTGTTTCGCGATTCTTTTCGTATGATTCTCCTTATGATCTACGTGATCCTCTCTGCCTGTCAAAGATGTTTGCTGAAAGTAGATGGAAATTATTTTAATGAACTCTAATGAAATTTTAATTGAATAATCAACTTAAGTACCTAGTCGGCGCGGAACGAAACGAAATTAAAGGAATGAAACATTCACTTTTTAAGGGAATTGCAATTTCTGTTTGAGTGTGCCAAAAAGATTGTAGTTGGAGGAAGTGGTGGAAGGAATGTGTAGATATATGTATGTGTTGAATATATGTATGTAAGGGCACATCCGATGACGAAGGATTGAGCATTTGTTTGGCATTTTACTTGGATTTTATTCTTAATAAATGTGAAAACTATGACAAAACGAAAATAAACGAACGAAATTATGCATCTGCATCTGCTTTCGCCTCTTAGACGCACTCCCAACAGCTTTCCATTGCACCGACTTGTGGCTAACTCTCTGTCCCAACCCCAACCGCAACCGCAATCCTCATTCCCATCCTCATACTCTGGCATGGCTAATCTTACATATATAAACTTGCACACTTGCACACACAGATATACTTGAACATGTCCCTAATCCATGTCCAAATCCACATCCGTAGGCAACTTCCGGAAGGTGAAGGTGGAACGCGCTGAGCCGCCGGAGGCAAGGAAGGAGCAGTTCGACGGCTTCCTTACCCACACCGTCTTCGAGCACCACAACTATACGTCCATGGAGAGGTGAGTAGTCCACGCTTGGCTTGGGCTCGGCATCTCGGAGTCCATCTGGAGCCGAGAACCCAACCCATTCGATTCGAATCGATTCCATTCCATTCCGTGCCGATCCAATCCTTTGCAGCTACCTGAGGCAACTAGCGGACAGCTATCCCTCGCTGACGCGGCTCTACAGCATCGGGAAGAGTGTCCAGGGCAGGGATCTGTGGGTGCTGGAGCTGTTCGCTACGCCAGGATCGCATGTGCCCGGCGTGCCCGAGTTCAAGTACGTGGCCAATATGCACGGCAACGAGGTGGTCGGCAAGGAGATGCTGCTGCTGCTCAGCAAGTACCTGCTGGAGCGGTATGGCAACGACGAGCGGGTCACCCGTCTGGTGAACGGCACGCGGATGCACTTCCTGTACAGCATGAACCCAGACGGGTATGAGGTGTCGCGCGAGGGCGACCGCATGAGCCGCTTGGGACGCGACAATGCCCACAATATCGATCTGAATCGCAACTTTCCGGACCAGTACGGCACCGACAAGTTCAACAAGGTCACCGAGCCGGAGGTGGCGGCGGTCATGAACTGGACTCTGTCACTGCCGTTCGTGCTCTCGGCGAATCTGCACGGCGGCTCACTGGTGGCCAACTATCCGTTCGATGACAACGAGAACGACTTCAACGATCGGTACTCGCGCCTGCGCGACGCTAGCATCAATGGCCGCAAGCTGAATCCCACCGAGGACAACGCCCTGTTCCGGCACCTGGCGGCGGTCTATGCGCAAGCCCACCCCACCATGCACCTGGGAAAGCCGTGCGAACTCTTCCAGGACGAGCACTTCCCCGACGGCATCACCAACGGGGCCCAGTGGTACAGCGTGACCGGGGGCATGCAGGACTGGAACTATGTGCGCGCCGGCTGCCTGGAGCTGACGATCGAGATGGGCTGCGACAAGTACCCTCTGGCCCGGGAGCTGCCACAGTTCTGGCACGAAAACCGCGAGCCGTTAATCCAGTTCATCGAACAGGTGCACCACGGCATCCACGGCCTTGTGCACAGCACCATCGGCACGCCGATTGCCGGTGCTGTCGTCCGCCTGGACGGAGCCAATCACTCCAGTTTTAGCCAGACGTTCGGCGACTACTGGAAGCTCGCACTGCCCGGCCAGCACAACGTCACCGTCCTGGGAGATAACTATGCACCGCTGCGCGTGGAAGTGGAGGTGCCGTCATCAGAACCCTTCAATATGCGCCTGGACGTGACCCTCATGCCCGATGACCCCCAGCACTGGGCCTCGGCCAACGACTTCCGCATCATAGAGAACGTGGTGAACACCCGCTACCACACGAATGCCGAGATCCACTCTCGCCTGGAGGAGCTGGAGAACCAGAACGGACAGATCGCGAGCTTCGGCTATGCGGACAACGAGTTCAGTCGATACTTCAACTACCTGAAGATGACCTCCGATGTAAGTGTACCTCTCCACAAACGGGACTCTCCTTTCCTTAATATAATTTCAATAGAAGGCTTCTTACTGTGGCTGATCCAATTAGCTCCGTCTGTCCATAGGAGTCCTGCTATGGCCAGGAGTCGCCCAGTTAGAAAGCTATGGAGATCTCGATAGTATATAGTAGATATAGTATACGAATCAGTCGGATATAGTATACTTACAAGCGTCCGATAGAGAAATTCTACTTTTCTTTGGGAGATATCGTAGCCAATGACTATATATCCAATATCTAACATAGGAATCGGCATTATTATGATGAATCACTCTCTTTCCGCCACAGATTGGTGAGCCCGAGGAGCACAAGTACAAGCTGCTGGTGGTTAGCTCCATGTTCGACACAGCTGCGCCATTGGGCAGGGAGCTCATGCTGAATCTCATCCGTCATCTGGTGGAGGGCTACAAGCTGCAGGACGCCACCGTGATGCAGCTGCTCCAGCGCAGTGTCATTTACTTCCTGCCGCAGACGCAGAAGTTCCCGAAGGTCTTTCACCTGTACAACACCAAGTGAGCGTGGCGTGGCCTCAGACTGAACCCCATCTGAGCTTAAGCTAACTCTGCATCTCTTACAGCTCCTCTGTGTGCGATCCTGTGCTGGGCGACGAGCTGGCCGAGCGCTTGCTGAGTCCCGAAACGGAGCCGGGCCGCGACATGCTGCTGCAGTTCTTGCACAGCGAGCGCTTCGACCTGATGCTCACCTTCAGTGCGGGCAGCTCCGAGCTGGACTTCCCGCACGGCGACTCCATCCTGGAAAAGTTCGCCCACAGCATCCAGCGCACGGAGTTCAACTACTCGCCGCTGCAGTGTAGCGCCTCGGCCACCAGGCAGCGGCACCGCGAGACCAGCGATCGGCTGACGAACCTCCTCTACAAGATGTACAACCTGCCCATGTACACACTGGGCGTGTCGTGCTGCCGGATGCCCGCCCACAAGCAGATCGCCTCCGTGTGGCGCAAGAACATCGACAAGATCAAGAACTTCCTGGGCCTCGTCCAGACGGGAGTCACTGGCCTTGTGCACAACGATGAGGGGCAGCCGCTGCGCGAGGCCTTTGTGCGCCTGCAGGAGCACCAGATGGTGTACAATGTGACCCGGAATGCGGCGCGCTTCCAGCTTATGCTGCCCAGAGGGCTGTACGGTCTGGAGGTGACAGCCCCCAACTACGCGTCGCAGGTGATCAAGGCGGAGGTGCAGCAGGGCCAGCTGGTCGACCTGGGCGCCATTCGCCTGCACCCATTCACCCTCATACGCGGCGAGGTCGAGGAGCTGCCCAGCAATAGTCAGGCTCATTCCGTGACGGGTGTCGGCTCCAAGTTCACGACGAGCATTGTCGGCGTCGTGCTGGACGAGAGCAACCATCCCATTCGCAATGCCAAAGTATCCGTCATCGCTCCCGCTGGGCTCGAGCGCCTACGCAACTTCACCAACAGCCTGGGCGAATACCGCCTGTCCGCCGTGCCCCTGGGCACAGTGAGCCTCAAAGTGGAGGCACCGCGCCACTTCGAGGCCACGAGGCAGCTGCACCTGGCACAGGGTGGACTGCCCACGGAGAATGTCGTCTTCCATCTGAAGTTCAACGAGCATGTGTTCGGCCTGCCGCGCTTCCTCTTCATCATCTTCGCCAGCGTGATGATCATCGTTGGCGTGGTTGTGTGCGTGTTGTGCGCTCAGTTCTGGTTCTACCGGCGTCACCGGGGCAACAAGCCGTATTACAACTTCTCGCTGCTGCCGCAGAAGACCAAGGAACACTTCGACCTGGAAGAGGACGATGCGGGCGATGACGGTGAAACAGAGCTGTTCCGTTCTCCTATCAAGCGTGGGTTCCTACGAAATTTTCCTCCATTTTGGCTCTAAATCTGAATGTTGCTTCTTTCAGGTGGCATGACCATTCAGCCGTACTTCGATGAGGAGAACCTGGAGCGGATTCTGCACACGGACGAGGAGGATGACGAGGACGACGACGAGGATGGGCCGCGCATGGAGCCCGAGTTCGATGTGGCCGATGACAGCGGCGATGAGATCGTCATGTTGCACCAGCACGGCAAACCGCGCCGCCACTAAGGACATGTCCACCTTCTCGTGATCCTCAACCCCCTGGTCCCGATCCAGACCACCCACAACAGTAGCAACAGCAGACACCACACAACAAAACTGTGATTCAAAACGTTTTCAAGAAAAATCCAAGCAAGGCATTGCTCTTTTTTTTAATTTAATTTATATACAGCTGCGGTCAACGTAATAGTAGTGCCAGCCAGTTCTCAAAAGGTTGCATAAAAGAGAAAATGTTCTTTTATACTAATTGATGATATATTAGGCTCAAGAATTCATGACATTCAGAAACGCCTGGAGTTTGCGTAGACTTTTGCAGAGTATAATTCCACGTTGAGAATTCTGTAGCCTCACTACACTATCACTATCTTTTAACACTTAAAAGGAATGTAACTTTCAAATATGGTAGCGCCAGCGTACAGTTTTTAAAAGTCTAGTTTTTTTTCACTAATACTCTTTCACTTACACTCACTCACAGATAATTCACGTGTATTGAATACAATTGAACAGTGCGTAAAAACTTCTATCTCTTATAGATTTTTCGATACTAGTATAGGTAATAGTAGAATGTAATTCTAAATCATTTTCAAAATTTTGGCGTACATTGGCTAAGAGCTTACCGTCTATATAAGCTATACCATTTGGACCGCGATGAGGCATTACGCTTCTTAGTATTTCTTAGTTAATTCATAATTCATTGAATTGGACTTATATAGATGGAAAAATCTTAGCCAATGTACGCATTTTTCCACGAACATCCACTTTAGTAAGACGCTCTTATCTGTTGTAGTCCCGTGACTAAAACGATTCTGAAAAAGAATCAATCTTAATTGAAAATTAAGTATGATATGTATATTAGAAACAAACTATTTATCCAGAGATGCTTAGACGAGTAATACTATAAAAAAGAGACTTAGAAAATGACAAATGACTGGACAACGCCGCAGCTGAGTTTGATTTTAATTTAGATGCCCTTCCTTTCATTTAAGACCTTCAAAGAAACACACACTCTTATTGAGACCGCAGCTGTAGCTGCATATTTATCACCCATTTGCACTATACATATGACAGGTTAAAGATGGGTGTTTAGATGTATGCACTCGTATGTAGTATATGGCTTACATATGTATGTGCTGTAAATGTAACTAATAATTATTCGATATACATAATTTATGGAAATGTATTCTTGGCCGCTTGCGATTTATTGTTAGTAAAATGTTTGTAATTATATTCGCATCACAATGCGCCTGCAATGCCCAGCTTTAAATAGAAAATGTGACCAATGCGAATTGGCGAATCTCTCAATGCCCCCCTCCCAGCGCCGCAATGTTCCGAAGAAACCCCTAATCGTAATTGTAATCATAATCGCAACTTAACTTAAGACTGAGAACTACTTATGCAATTCTAACCAGAGTAGAGAAGACGCAATTTTAAAATAGCAGCAAAAGAAGACACGAATCTAGCGAAATAGTTCAAATGTATATTTTGAAGATGTACATAACATATATTATTCGGTGCCTGCCAAACACATTCCAGCGACTAAAAGATACGCCTTCAGTGTGCAGTGCGTTTCACAGCAATATGAGAGTTGGACAATTGTGATTGTGAACAGGTTCTTTGGAACCGATACGTAAATTTTGTATTTCGATTTTTGTAAGATTTGATGGCCACTATATTTAATCGTTTAGCTAACTAAATTTAATCTGAAATTCGTTTTAATTGTGAATTCATGCATCCTATGGAACCTATAGAACATATTTGGCCCCATGCGAGGATTGAGCTTTAATTAAACTATTCGATTATTTAAACTATGCCTATATTTTTCCTTTGTCCTATGCTGATCACTTCAAGATATTCCATTTGATCCAGAAACTGTTTAAATCTCATTTTGCTTGTCCTACGCACTGTATACACCAGATACGACCTGATCTAGCTGGTCTTTCTAGCTTCAATAAATGATCCGTCTATAAATAGAAATTCCCTTTAAAAAGTAACAGAGCGTACGGAACAGAACAGTTAACAGCTTTTAAAACAATTGCCTTGATACCCCTACCTTATCGATATGATATATTGTATACATAAGCCCCACAATGTTAACAAAACCAAATGCAAATATAATATACAGATAAAAGCATAGATATACATATATATACATAAACATATACATATATATATATATATATAGCTGTGGCACTGCACGATCTTAAATACTACTTTAACGAGTATAGAGCACACACAGACAAAGCAAGTACGAGTAGAAATCAATGGAAAGAGCAATATTACGAGAATATGGCGAGAAGATTGTACGAGTATGCGTACATTCCCTAAGGTGCAGCATTTACTTATATGATTATACTATATTGTATTGTATGTACTTCTATCGTATACATATCCAAAATAATGGCAATTATAGCTATGTAAGAAATTCTCTGAATAAAAGCATAAAGTACCTACAAAGCCTACAATGTGCCGACCTCTACGCATAGTCCGCACCAAAATCGGAATCAACACAGATGTGTTAGCTAGCTGTAGCTGATATTGGTCGTTGGGGTTCCTGATCAGATGAATCACATGGCACTTCATAGCGGCGATGCGCACGCAGAACACTCCCATGGAGAGACCACAAAGAGAGAGAGAGAGAGAGAGAGAGAGAGCCGTACCATTGTCATTGTCATCGTTGTGGTTGTCGTCAGAGCCAGGATCAAGGTTATCTGTACCGCCTTATCTATTGCTGGCACAACATCCAGCTTCCATCGCAGCTCAGTTTAATTCCATTCCATCCCAAGTCTTGGCAACCTTCACGCGGGTTAGCACCGATCTGAACTGTCGCCAGGCATTATCAGACGCTTCCCTAACATGATAGTTCTCATCTGGCAACATTGTGGTCGTCGTAGTCGTCGTCTCCGCCTCAGTTGAGCGGTTTTAAGCGAAGCGAGCAGACTATCATGTTGGGGAGTCGAAACTTAGCCTCAAGGTGTGTGCGCCTGGCGCGCTCGAAGACCACCACCAGCAGCAGCTCCAGGGCTAAGGCATCCGTAGTGGCCGAACAGAGTCTGGGCATCATCGGGGTGCCCTTTGCCAAGGGCCAGGGCAAGCAGGGCGTCGAGCTTGCACCGGACCTGCTGCGTCAGAGTAATCTGCGTCAAGTGCTCCAGAGCAGTCACGGTGAGTAGAGGCCCACACCCAACCCAAAACAGAAACACAAGAAAAACCACATTGAAATTGAAATTGAATTGTATTCTGAAACTTTATTGGCCTTGGCATTGACGTTGACGTTGATTGAATAGATGGACTGGTGATCCGGGACTATGGAAACCTGCAGTATGCCGTGGATGAGACGCTGTTGCAGCAGCAGCGCGTCCACTACCATCACATCCGCAACTACGCCGACTTCATGGCCTGCAACCGGGCCCTGATCGAGCAGGTGAAGATAATGTTGCAGCAGAACTCCCAGTTTCTGGCCATTGGCGGGGACCATGCCATCGGTTTCGGTGAGTACTCGTTGTGAATGTCTGGGTCGGCCTGGGTCTGATCCGCCTTGATCCACCCACCTGTAGGTTCTGTGGCCGGTCATCTGCAGCATACACCGAATCTGTCTCTGGTGTGGATCGACGCGCATGCGGATATTAATCTGCACAGCACCTCGCAGTCGGGCAACATACATGGGATGCCCGTCTCGTTTCTGCTGGAGCAGCTCCGCACCACCTGGCAGCATGCGTGCCTCGACGAGATCGCTCCCAACTGGTGAGTGCCACATCTCATCTCTCCATCTATGATCTCCACCTTCTCTCTGAGTGTGGCATTGATTTATTTATTGGATCTCTTACGTCTAAACAGATGAGGGCTTACGGCTATGGTATGGCTATGTTTAAGATTGCCTTTCAGTTGGGTCTCTCTCTGTTTTCGGGGTTAGGGGTGGTGGGAAGGGTGGGGCATTGGCGGGGGGTTGGCGGCAATCGCGCCTTATCACAGTTGGCTTAACGGTCTAGAAATATTTGTTTTTAGATTTAACTTTTTGATTTTCTTTCACTCTCTCGTTTTTGCTTTGATTTTTTGTTTTCGATTCTTTGCATTTTGATTTGTTTTTTTTTTTCTTCGTTTTTTTTTTTTGTCTAGCTATTTTTAGTTTTTCTTATGTTTTTTGATCTGCGTTTGCCTCAGTCTTTGGTATAGTTCCTATCAACCTTTCATCGTCTTATTCATAGAGTGCTTTATAATTAAATATTGCTTTTTGTTTGGCAGTTTAGTCGTTTTGCTTCCGAGCTTGGAAAATTGTGGGCTTCAATTCAATCTAAATCGAAACAACGAACAACGAAAAACAAGTAACAGAAACGAATATAGAACGAAATCCGAAATCGGATCCGAGATCACCCAAAGTCAAACAAATCGTGTGGGGCTTAGGGATTCCCCCGGAAATCAAACAAAAAGTAATTCGAGCTCTAAGATCGATTCGGCTGCGCTTCGGTCTCTGTTCTATATAGTACATATTCTTGTATGTGGAGCTCTAAGCTAGGTTCAAACGACTATCGGAGTACATTTAAGGCTAATACACATACATGACCTCAACGGGATGGTGTCGGAGGGGCTGTGCTGCATGGATTGGGTTTCGGGTGGGTGATGGAGATGCTACTCAAAAAAACAAATCAAACCGATTGAAAAACACCGAAAACTCAAAGTCAAATGTTAAAATGATCGCCTTCTTCCGCGTTTTTTACCATTTTCTTTTGAGGAGATAACTTCTTAAATTGAAAATCAAACTGAATCGGGGAAATATAGGCATGGCATGTTGGTATTCTTATAGTACAGGTAAAGAAAGAGGCAACTTAAGAACAGATCACAGATCCACATCACAACGAGCGGACAATGCGGAGGAGAAACGAAAATCTAAATCGAAAATCAGACTTATATATGTACATGACGACACATCACACAGATCTCTCAGAAAAACCAAAACAAATACTTAGTTACCCTCTTTTAGGGTTAGTCTTTTCTTCTAGTGGTTCGAGGTCAGGATTGTGGATCGGGTGTGGGTGTGGGTGGTAGTTAGTGAATTGTGATGTGGATGGTGCATTGCTTGATCAAAATCAAATCTAGAAACTAGAAAAAGCTCTCTTGGAAATGGAAAAGTATCTGTGATTCGGGTTGTTTTTCATCTGAAGTTACAATAAGTACGTAATGTAATGTGTATCTATGTGTGTGTGTGTGTGTGTGTGTGCGTGGGTGTGCTCTATGCACTATGTATGTAGGGTATGTCTCTATGTACATCATATGTACATACATCAATCGATGGGGAAGTGGGAGCGGGATGGAGTATGGGATATTCGGTGGTTTATGCATTAAATAATTACAATCAATATTAAAGATTAAAGTATCAATGAATCAATAGAATTACACAATCATTATCGGTTTTAATCAATTAACCAATTAACTAATTTAATCGAAGAAGAAATGTGTCAAGTGTTTCTTTTTTTTGTTTTTTTTTTTCTTTTCTTTTTGGTCTTTTTTTTTTTTTTTTTTTTGCATAAATTCAATTGAAAATCGAACGAACAACAAGAACACACGCCTGAAAATAAATCAAGAGAAAGAAACAAATTAGAAAATGCTTTATAAAAATATATATATATATTTTTTTCTTTTTTGCTGCTGGTATTTCTTGTGTTTCAGCTATTGGGCTACAAATAGATTAATAAAAGGAGAATTGAAACCATTGAGTGAAATCATCAGTTACGTTCTTTTGAATGCCGACAAAATGTTCATTTTGGGGGAAAAACGTGTGCCAAAAATTGTACACAGCAGAGTTCTGCTCGGATCAGTTTTTGTTCGATTGAATGGTTCTATGAGGTGGTGGGTGGGTGGCTCTCTGCCCCATCTTCTGCATCGTGTCTGTCTGTTCTTCCTCCGATTTTTTTGTCTCTCGAAATTACTTACCGAAAAATCAGACGAAACAATAAAAGTATGTGAGGTACAACAATACAACAATAACAACGGCAACAAGAAACAACGAACTGAAAAGATCTGAAAACGAAAATCAGCTACGAACACGAATCGATACCCTGGGAGAGATACTGGCGCGGATGGGGAAAGTAGTACGGGTACGAAATCAACAACTCAAATGTCAAAATCAGATCGGATTCTCCTCCTTCTAAGCCATTGTCATATATTGCGATATTTAGCTTCCGGCTCATAGGTACATTGGGACCAAGAAGCGTACTTTCAAATTACACTGAGCGAAATCATAAGAGCATAAGGGCGAGGGTCAACTTTTTAGCACACAACCAAAAACTGAAAACAATTTTGGGAAGAGAGAGAGAGAGATAGTGTCCGTGTGGGTGTGTGTGTGTGTGTATGTGTCTGTGTGTCAATGTGTGATGCACCGCAAAAAAAATATTTATGTGTTTGAGAAACGAATACCAACGAACAGAAAGGCAAGGACAAAGATGGGACCAGAACAGACCAGAGCTAATGAACGGAAAAATGGAAACGCAGTGGAATAGAAACGGAAATCGAAATGGAACTGAAAAAGAAAATAAGAGTCTACATTTGAATGGAACTTGAACAGAAACATAAATCCACTTAGAAACGGACAAAAGAAACGAAATTGAACAGAGCTTGAAGTCAAAATTGAAGAGCAATTTAAGAAAAAGAACCAAGCAGATACCAATACGATTTGATTAGCTCAAAATAAATGCTCAAAAGTGAAAAAAGTATAGTAGAAACAGAGTTCAAACTTTTCAAGAGAAAAGAGATTGAAAGGAGAACATATAAGAACACATAGAAACAGAGTTTCAACGGAAATGGAAAAAGTATAGGAACCGAAATAAAGAATGAGACACAATCGAAACAAAATAGAACCTGGGAAAAAACCGAACATATTTGAAGGGGGAACGAAACTCCAAGTGAAACCTCAATTAAAGAACAAAATTGAAAATAGAATCGATCAAAATGAAAATTTTGGTGTGTTCTGATATATAAGTACTATATAGAGAGATATATATATATGCAAAAAGCAAGAAAAACTCATAATTATATATTTTGAAATACATTTATAATATTAATATCTTCTTTTCTCTTTTGCTTGTATTCATTTTTTGGTTTGTTATTTTTTTGGTTGTTGTTTGGTTTGGTTTTGTATTGTTTCCATTTTGAAATATCATTTGAAATGTGTGATAAATATTATTAATTAATCGATATAAATATGTTAATAAAATAAATTAAATAGTTTCATCCTCATCATCATCGTAATCATAATAATCTTTATATATATATATATTTATATATATTTCATTTTTTGTTGCTGTTATGATTATTAACGGTATCATTTGTGTAATCGTATCGCTATCGTTATCGGCATCGGTATAGCCCGGCGGTAAGGCCCTTCGAAAATGATAGATAAACTTCGATCTAGATGTGAAACAAATCAGGTTGTCAATTGTTTAAAAAAATTACAAAAAGGTACAGACACAATTAAGCAAAGATACAAAGATACAGACTTAAAAATCATACAATCAATTACATCATAGTCCGAGCGAGGCGCAACTGTACTTCCGCCGCAGGCGTTCAATCTCTGCTCTCTGGCTCTGGCTCTGGCTTGACTCGGCTCAGTCGCAGTGCCACTAAACTAAACTAAACTAAACTAAGAATAAGAATCGAGATTCGTTAAGCATAATGGCATTACACAAAATTATAAGTACGAGTATACCCCCGTTTTGCACACAAATAATATCGCATCTTCTAAACCGAAAGAACAAAACATCCGGAAATCGTTTTAATTGGAATGCATTTGAGATTGGGTTCTTTGGGAGTTCCTGCCTTAGAGAGAGTGTCGCGTGCTAGTCGGGGGATTATGCTAAAACTAGGCCTAGGACTAGTACTGGGGAATGTCTTTGTCTGAGATCAATGGGTTCCGATGGCTTCTCAGCTTGACTAGCTCTGTGTCAGTTTGTTGGTGTGTGTGTGTAAAAAGAGAGACAAATATAGGTGAAAAGAAAGAGAGAAAGAGCGTATATAAGGACTGATAGCACGCCCTTTAGGCTGTGGTCCAGGTTCAAGTCCAGTGTTCAGGGTACAGTCCACTCGCATTTTATGATAACATCTCGGTAGTTTCGGAAAAAACAAATGAAAAAAGAATTTTCAGAAAAGAAAGGCAACGAAAATGATACAACAGAAATAAACGATAAATAAATAAATATTGAAATATTAAAATATATATAAATAAAAATAAGTATGCGAAAATTTTCATCAAGTGTTTCATTTATTGAAAATTTTTTCGTTTTGGCTTTTTGCTCTTGTTACGTGTTCGGTGCGGAAATCAAATGAAATCATAAGTGTAAACGTAAATATAATGGATATAATCATAGTCGAGCACGGTTCCACAATTAGAGTTTGCTTTAAGTTAAATCAAAAACCATAAAATACATAAAAATGAAACTGAAAAATAAAATCAAACTAAATCATAACATAATCATAATTGTAATTGTAATTGTCATTCGATTTGATGCTAGTTCCGATTCATATGGATCGTACATCGCGTATAGGTACATTTCTAAAAGTACTACTTGTTCTTTTACAAATCGAAATCCAGCTTGAAACAATGTTAAAATTTGAATTTGGATCAAGAAAACATAAAATTATAAAATACAAAATTAAAATTAAAAATTAAACAAAATATAAATTTTATAGAAGGGCCAAAAGAGGGAGAGGGAAAAAGATATAGCTGGAGGAACGAGTGAATTGAAACATTGGTCCAGAGTTGCATCTGGTTGTGCCACATAGCGGTCTCGCTTTCTCCTCCATCTTTCACCATATTCTCTCTCCCGCTGCATTTTTGGGTTCGTGTGTGGGTGTGTGTGTATGTGTCAAAGTGTGTGTTTGTATGTAGAATTATCCTATATCCTTCATCAGGTTCCTCTTCGCTTTGGTCGAAAATCAAAGGAATATCGAACTCAAATTGCGTTACATTAAATTACATAATTCATAAAAAATACAATAAATAAGTTTGTTCTGTTTTCCGCTCTTGTTTCCGTCGGTTCTTTCTCGTCGGTTGTTTGTTCGCTCACTTAAATACGTAAAGAAAAAAGTATGAGAGGTATAAATATAAATAATATGCATATCCGATTGAACAGACATAATGTACATAGAAAATTGGCTTACACTTGTAAAAATTACACGCAGAAAAAAAAATGATTTCTAGTATAACTTGATCTTGTTGTTTTATGATTTTATAGAATATTAATGGGGTTTAACTGCACGATCGTTGCCGATCGTCCGATTCCACCTTTCGTATCCTTCACATTATTTTTTCTTATTTTTTTTTTTTGATTTTTCTGATCCCCATTTTTCTTCATTTTTGTTTCTTTTTTACTTACTGAAATTATAATTTGTAATTGTTAGATTGAGATGCATGAAATGTGTTGCTGTTGTCGTAAGTTGCAATCTATTGCACAAAAATTACAATTAATTAAATCATTGATGACAAAAAAATAAGCATACATATAGATAAGGTAAGGTAAAGAATGGGTTAATTCAAATATATATATATATAGCAAACACATATACAAAGATATATATAGATACATATTCACATATATGTACGGGTATATGAATACGAATACAAATTTTAAAAAATCACGCACATTATTCTTCAGTTAAAACGGATTTCTTATAATTGCATTGCACTTTCCTCTATATGACATACATACTATATATTCATATCTGTATTATGCGACGTGTGCTATATAAATAAACTAGCAGATTGTTTAAAAATGTATAGCAGGGCAGACATAGCAAGCAAGCAAAAAATCAGTAGAAGAGTGTAAGGACTTAATCTCATTACACTACTTTTTTGCTTGCTCTCTACTGCGCTTTGAGGGACGAGGAAGTGTGGGCTTGGCTCAATCAATAAATCAATCATTTCGCTATGCTTAGTTTTAGATATAAATTGTCTTAGTACTTTTGGTTTGATCTTCAATTTAACTCTCTCTCTCTTTCCTATCCTTTACTGCTGCCTCAAATATTCTTTCAAGCTTCTCTACATCCACTTTATGGTGCTCCTCTTCCACCATCATCATCTTCTTCTCTTCATTCTCTTCTGACTAGATTTCTTGTTGCAAATTTTGTTCAAACAAACAAAGAAACAAAAAAAAATTCCTTTTCTTGTTCGGCCTACAGTTACAAAAAAAAGGTACTATATTTAGGGATATATGGTAAACATATATATATATTCTATAGAGCTAGGTAGATTAATCATAAGCAGAATTCATTGGCTCCACCTCCTCCTCCTCCTTGCTAGGGATTCGGTTCTGTTCGGTTCGGTTTGGTTTTGATCAAAACTTAAGTTAATAATTTTCACTATTCGGGGAGAGAGAAATCAAATTCGCGCACTCTCTTTGGTTGGGGAAGGGGCGGGGGCGTTTGCGGGGCTGGTCTATAGTTTCATAAAGAAATCAATATAGATCAAAACACAAAACATTGTTATAAATATGCATGGTTTGGGTTGGGGTTAAGGTTTGGTTTGGTCCGGGTCTGGGTCTGGTTTATGTAGGATTTTGGATGAGGTCCGTTCTTGTCAGGATATGGGTTCGGTTCTGTTCATGGATCTGTTCGGGGTATGCGTATGCAGGAGCCTCCATTTCCGATTTATACACAAAGCAAACAAAGAAATCAAACAAAACTTAATCGAAATACAGAATTCAGAATCGAAATCATATATGGCTTACAATATATCTGTGTGTAATTGTGTTCTTCTTGTGTGTCCACTCTCTCGCTTAACAATCAACAGAAGCAAACAAAAGTTCTCAAGTGAATAAAACTGATGATAAATCAACGCAAAAGTTTTTGGGGGTTTGGGGTAGTACGGGTGGATGTGCTAGGGGTAGGGTTCTGATCTCCCATCTCGTTTGACTTCTATTAACTTTTCGCTTAACTTACTTTGCTAGAGAAAACGCTTTGCTAATGCTTTTGTTTACACCTATGTCATACATAATTTTATCCGTTTCATTTTCTTTGTTTTCAACTTTTGTCATATAAAAATGGTTTTTTGTTGTTTTTGTGGTGGCTGTACTTGTTTTTTAGTTTTTAGTTTTTATAGTTTTTCATGTTTTGTGCTACGCTTTTGTCTTTTGTTTAAACGCTAAAAAAACTGTGTGGTTTTAGCAAATATTCGACGCTTACTTGCTCCTTGAACTATACATTAGATAAAGTATGTATGTATATATATAGGTTGCACGTATCTATATCTATATATCAAATATATCATATATCCATATATCCATATAGATGCATGCACACACTTGACATAGTTTAAGTATTAATATTCACTAACAATTATTTACTTTAGTAAAACATTTCAAATTTGCGCATAAATTATTGTATTACTCTTGCTTTTCTTTCTTGCTTTCTTCTTTCTTTTTTTAGCCAAGTTTTTACAGTTCTAACTGCTATAATGTGTGTGTGTGTGTGTGTTCGTGTGTATTTGTTTTTGCTTGTGTGTGTGTAAAGGACACAAATTTAGCTTGATCTGGGTCTGGCTTTCCTCTCATCTTTCACATCTCTCTACTCCCTAATCTCCTCTTTAAATGTCAAGAAACACACAAAAAAAGCACTAAAAAAATTTGTAAATTTTTATACACATTTAAATATGTATGTATATGTAGGTGTATATCTATATGGTAGACATATAACTATCATGCGATTAGATATATATATATATATATATATGTATGTATGTATATATATATATATATACGTATATTTAGAAGTATTGAACTTTTTGTTGCACATCGCTTAAGTATGTAGCTTTTTGTTTCTCTTGTAATACTGTAGCAGCCTCCATGTTGAGTATACATATACTATATAGAATCTTCAAATACTTTGCCAGAATCTCCCTGCAGCCTCAAGCCAAACCGATGTCCTTTGGACACACACACACGCCCTATATTGTAATCATATAGCCTAGACACTGAACTCTATTAGTACCTTCTCGATATTCCTCGCTAATGGTAGAAAAATTTTAGAGTGTTACTAACAGATTTCTTGCCTGTTGCCAGTTTTGGTTTTTTGTTTTGCTTGTTTTTTTTTTGTTTTGTTTTGGAAGATTTCATTGCTGTTTTACTTAATGTTAATACATTTTTAAAATTGTTTGCTTGTTTTTGTTTCCTTTTGCTAGTTTGGAGTTTGTTTTTAGAATTAAATGTATTTTCTTCAAGTTTTCTTTGGGGGCTTTACTTCGTTTTGTTGATTTCTTTGTTATGCTTTATGCCTTCTTCTACTCCTTCTTTTCCTTTCTACTCGTATTACTCTCTCTCTCTCACTTCAGCTGTTTCGTTTTGTTTTAGTTTATGATTCTTTACTTAAATGCTAAACAAGAAGAATTTTGCTATTGCAACGGTTTTTTTGGCGGATGATTCTTTGGGATTTGGATTGGATTTTTTGGGGGATTTTTTTTACGGGTTGCAGGGTGTTCAGGATTTACAAGGTTTACAAGGATGGGCCGCCCCTTTCGTTGTGTCGACGCTTGAGAGAGAGTCAGTGTCAGTCCTCCACCTCCTGCTACCCTTCAACGAGGGCTCTCTTGCATTCACTTTCTTTCTCTTTTCTCGTTTTTTTTTTTTTGTTTTTTGGTTTCGTGTGTGTTTTACACATACTCTTTGTTGCGCTTAGTTACCGTTATACCATGCATATTTATATATGTGTCTTGGTGTGAGTGTGGTGTTTGTGAGGTTGTGTGTGTGTGAGGGGGGCGGGGGGTGGAGGCGGCGTAAGGGAACTGCGGATGTGGGAAATATAGTGTAGACTATATGTAATTTCGGGCCTCCCATCCTCGCGGATCGGGGATCATCTCCTACTTAGCCTTGTTGGTCTTAAAGCTGACCTGAAGCACCCTATTGCCCATAGTGTAACCATTCAGGGCGCGGATGGCCATTGCCGCCTCGTCGTAGTTCGTCATGGAGACGAAGCCGTAACCCTTGCACTGATTCGTTGTGGGATCCTTGACGATCTTCACGGATTGCACTGCCCCGAAGGGACCGAATAGCTGCCACAGGGCCGCCTCCTCGGTCTCGGGCGCCAAATTGTAGATGAAGATGGGATAGGCGCCGCCCGGTCCACTGGCCAGCGTGGTGGCTGCCGCCGCCGCTGCGCCCAGTCCGTTAGGCAGCATCACATCCAACATGTCGCCAGCCATCGGCGAGAATCGTGCCAGCCCCTTGTTAACCGGCGTGTGCATCGCGCCACCGATGCGTCGCACCAGCTGCGGATTGAGGAAAGCGGGCAACTGCGGCTGTATGATCTTGCTGGTGCTGCCGGGCGTATTGGAGAATTTCACCACAATGGGATCCGTGCAGCTGGAAGGCGTTGTGCCGTTCAGGGCGATTATGGCCCGAGTGGCCTCCTCGCGCTTGTCAAAGCGTATGAAGCCGACACCCTTCGTCTGGGTGTCGTTGCCGGCGTTCTGCAGGATACGCGACGTGATGATCGCACCGAAGGGGGCGAAGATAGCCTCTAGCTCCTGCTGAGTCATTGTCTTGGGCAGCCCAGAAACATACAGATTGGCGCCCTTGATGGCGTCCGAAGAGGGCCGGGCAAAGGAGACCTTAATCGTTTTGTTCTGCAAACGGAGCCCATTCAGCACGTTGACTGCCTGCTCAGCGTCCTGCGGCCGCACGTAGTTGACGAAGCCATAGCCCAGGCTCTGGCCCTTGCTGGGCGCCTGCGGATTCAGCGGGTCGATGTAGACCTGCGACTTGTCACGTATCAGCTTTACGGACTCGATTTCGCCCACGCTGCTGAAAAGCGAGCGGATCTCGTCCTCCGTCATCGTCTGCGGCAAGTAGTTGACAATCAGGTTTGTGCGCGTCTCCGTGCTTCCGTTGCTACCGTTCTGCGGCACTCCGGCATTGCCGTTGGTGTTCGGCGGAGGCTGCGGCTGGGGCACCACCGTTTGCTGGACCTGCTGCTGCACTTGCTGCTGCGCCACCACTGCCTGCACTTGCGCCTGCTGCGCCTGCTGCTGCTGGACTTGCTGTTGCACTTGCTGCGCCTGCTGCTGCTGTGCCTGCTGTTGCTGGGCCACGGCCTGCTGCTGCTGCTGGAGCTGCTGCGTGACGGCGGCGGCGGCCGCGGCCACCGCTTGCTGTGTCTGCTGCTGCTGAACTTGCAGGATCGCCTGCTGCACCTGTTGTTGCTGCTGGAGCTGGGCGGCGGCGGCGACAGCGGCCGCATTCTGTACCGGGGCGGCGGCTGCACTAGTGGCTGCCACGGCCGCAGCAGCGGCCGCACTCTGCATCAGTTGCGCCTGTGTGTCCACTCCGCCGGCGGCTCCTGTGTTGGCCATCATAAAGTCCACTGAGCGAGAGGCAATCGGTGGGGTTGAGTTGAGTTGAGTTGGATGTGACGATGGGGCGATGGCGGGACCAACGCAGGGGAAGGCGTATGGAAAGAGTAGTTAAATGTCAAGATTAAACCATTTGCAAGTTGTGTTAGTCGTTCTACAGCTACAGTTTAAGTACGGGGTTAGTTAGTTCTACTTATTAGTTCTACATATTAGAGTGCCACCAGGGATGTAAATCGCTTTAAGGCGTGTTTTTCAGCCCTGGTCCTGGGGTTAGCTCTGGGGTTAACGGTTAGCTGAAGGAGCTTTGCTCACTGGCGCCGCCCAGCGGCCCACTTACTTGTTCTATCTATCACTTCTCTTCTACCAGTCACCCACGCACTCACTCACACACTGACCCGCTGCTGCTCAGAGGCCAAAGCACTCACAAACAAACACAAACACACACCTCGCCGCTGTGGAAAATAACTTTTCTAATTTTTGCTTGTGCTTTTTCCTTGATTTTTTCTGTGTTATTCTTTCTTTTTGCCGTGTGCCTCGATTTGGTTTTGCCTTTAGCGTGGTCTTTTCTTTTTGATTCAATTCTGTTGCTGCTGCTATTGCAATTGCCTCTCCTTTCCGTTTCGTTTCTTTTCCGCTGCAAGAACAGATCCGCTGCGTACCAGGCACACGATGCTACTGAGCGCAGGAGCAGGTCCTGACCAGGCTCTTTCATTCAATGCTCTTTCTCCCCCTTCTGGATACACACACACACACATAGTTTTATATATCCCTGCCCAACCCAGTTATGTAATACGGGAGAGAAGGAAGGATATAAAAGCGCACCCCTTAATGAAAGAGAGGAAAAGTGCCGAAAATTGTGTTTTCAGCGAAAAATGAGCAACCGCTCGTTCGTTCGTGCTCGTATAGCCCCCACCCACCCTATACGCTCTTGACCCGGTGTGTGTGTGTGCAGGCTGGCGCAACGCTGTTGAAACCAACCCTTAGAACCGACCAAGAAGCAAGTTGTAATAATTCTATTGCAAAAAAAAAAAACAGGAAACTTGCCGCTGCTTAAGGGTTAAATGCACGCAGCGAGCATTACCACCCCACGCTGTTACATTTACATGGATGTGGCAACGCTGTAACAGTAACGGTAACGGTAACGACTGTTGCTTACGGAAGTTCAGTCTCAGTTCAATGAACTATTTGGTGATCGGAACTGATCAGAAGATCAATCGAACCAATAGTTCACATTCGCTCATTGCATAGTTCAATATTTCAATTCGCACCTTTTCTTGAATGAGGACGAAAGAGTCAAAAGGTCAAATGAACGCACAAACACACACACAGACACAAACTATCTTTTCAGCAATTTCTGCACCGCACCCTTTCAGCAATTTGTCCTTTTTTCTTACTTATGCATACATATTATACATACATAGAGAAAGGAAAACCCTCTCTTCTTCCCCATCTTCAAATACTCACTTGTTTTCTGTTTAGTTGATTACAGCCGGGTCGTTGAGGGGTGTTGGGGATGAGGGAGGTATTCCACGGGCTTGTATTTGGCTGCTCGATGGCCAGATAATTAAGGAATTAATATGCGCCTTCTATTTCTCTCGCTGGTCTTCGAATCCTGGATTTACGCGCCTGCGCTCTACACGGCGCTGCCTCCTCTTGTTCAATCTCCTTCTTCCTCTCTCAAACTGGTCCAGGCCTCTCTTCCTTTTTTAGTTTTGTAAGACCAATAAATGAGCGCTGGCCTCCTCGAAGTCGCCGTTGTTGCCGTCTGATGTGAACAAAAACAAAAAAAACGGTAAAGAATAACAAAACAAAAGAAGCGGTACATTGTTTTTGTGTGACTTTGCTTGATCGGTAATCGATTTTATCGATTTACAACCACACCATTGGGAGGGGGGAAACACATATTGGGAGTACGAAAAATTACATTTCACTCGAAAAAAATTAACGTCGACAACAAATGTATATACAGTATGTACATATGTATGTGCATATATCGCGGTACAAATATTTTTGTTGTTATACAATTTCTGTTCCACTAAACGGATGGATTGCTATTTTTGCTATATTTCAATACTAATGCTGATTCTAACTATCGCTCTCTTACTCTCTCTCTCGCTCTCTCCTTTGCTCAGTGGCTGCTGCACTGATTTTCATAGGATGTGTGTGGCGGGAAGAGAAGAACGCCGGGAACAGTGGCCATCCAGCTTCCCCCTCCCACACACACTCCTTTCCAAAATACAATGTATGGCTGCCTCAGCTGCTATTGTTATTATACATACATACATGTGTATACATGCATGTATACCTATATGGCTGCGTGGGTTTAAATTAGTTTTTTTTATAACGAAACAGTATGGCACGCACACAAACAGCGAGTCAGGCACGCAGAGAGAGACACCACTCACACACACTTACAAGCACTTGGTATCTATAAGTTTTATTTTGTGGTTGTTGTAACTAAAGCACGCGCCTTGCTTTTGTTTTTGCCTTAAATTTGAGAAACATTTTTTTGTTCTGCGTTAATCTCTGGATTTGCGGCGGGCACATGGATGATCCGATGCTGCTTGAAACTGTTCTAGTTTTAATTTCCGCGCGTTTTCCACGCGTTGCGTTTGTATGTGTACAACTACAGTACATACATGGGCGTTTTGCTTTTTATGGCAACCGGCGTTTTGTTTACTATTAATATTCTTCACTTTTGCGAATGCCCTCACCTTCCTGCCCCGACACACACCCACTTCAGTTAATGGACAAAATGTCTACTACTTTTAGCGTTTAGTTTTTTGTTGTTTCTGGCTCCGTACAATGCTCCTTGCACCATAAAATCGATATGCTAGCTGCGCCCTTTTCACAGCACTAGCGGGCGTTCGCTCTCAGCCAAACCACACAAACAAACATGCGAGGCAAGACATGCTAAATAGAAGGTAAGGCAGTACCGGCTCTCCGGGGACCATAGCTTGCTTGCCCTCACCCACCGTTCTACCATCTATTTAACATACCCTGACGAGAAAGAGAGACACTGGGAGAGAGAACATTTACAGATACACAGCACACTGAGCGATGGCAGCGTCACATTAGCAATAGATTTTTACACCACTACTACTATGTAGAGGGAGCGAGAGGGAGAGAGAGATATCTATCCAGGCGCCCCACTGCCCAAAAACGATCACTCTCAATCCCAATCTCTCTCTCTGTATCTCTCCCTCAACTTCTGACGCTACCTCTGTTTTTGTTGTATGCCAAATTGCACATTGTTTAAATTTTTAAACTCAGAAACACACACTATCGGGAAAAAACCATGGATATATACATGCATATGTACATATGCATGTGTACACTCGAATATGTGTATAATTGCACAATTATGCAGCGCCGCACGTTCATTTTGGCAAACAATTTTAACAATTTTTCGTTTAGCAATTTGTTTTCTTTGTAGTTGCCACAGTTTTTGTTGTTGTTTGATAGAACCCGTTTAGGTTGCACAAGACGAGAGCGGAGTCCGGTATCCAAGAGATTCTTACATTTCTTTCTGCTGCTGCTGCTGCTGCTATTGCCACGGGATTGGGTGTCCGTTCGATTTCGTTAGTTACTTTAGATTGGAGATTTCTTGCTTGTTAACTGTAGTTCTTCAACTGTTATTATTTTGCACTACATTCGAGAAAAAAAATCAATTGCAAGAAGAGCACACATGGAGCACGAGATTGTTAGGTGGCAGCGCGGAGCGGTCGGAACTACTTTTCTGAAATCTGGAAAATTCACGTTGCTTCCTCGTCCGCGGCGCCCAAAAGATTGAGGCGGCAAGGCCAATTTTGGAAAATTTATATTGCTTCCTATTCCCTGGCGCCCAAAAGGCGGCAAGCAGTGTATTTATCGATAAAAATACCCGATAAAAATAAGTAAAATACTTCTGACCCTCAGAAATATACCGAAATATACTTTCTCGTTGTCAAAATATACTGTAAATATACCGGAAAAATACCATTCATATTCCTTGATTTTGATATTCGGCTTCAAATTGCTAGCTATCTAGGACCTTCAGCAATGTATTTACATACATATATTGTAGTATGTAATACATTTTAATTATTTCATTATTACATATAAAATGCTCTCCCGCCCGAGCTGCCGCAAGTCGGCCTATCGATATAATGATCGATCAGTTTTCTGGCTAATGTTACATTTTGCAAAGATTTTATATGTATTTTTATATATTCTCGAGCATACAAAACATGTGTTTAGGGGAGATCGGCCAAGCTGGAAATCAACGCTCTCTAAGCGTGATCCAGTAAGGTCGTCAACCGTTTTATGATGCACGCGACCATTATGCTTGCCAAATAGAGACGAGCAGCAGCAGTAGCTAAGGGCTGTTTGGCGTGAGTACGTTTTCGTTTTTGCAATGTCGGCGGTACGGGACTGTGTGTGTAGCAACCACCAACGCTGGCAGCTCTGGGGTTGTTTCCGCCCTGCTTTAGAATGTTACACCCTCTACCACCCGGCCAGGACCCAGTTCCAAGAGGCAGTTCAATTTCAACTCCAATCCAGGCGTGCGTGCACGCGTATTGCGTGCGTGTGCTTAATTCAGCACTCTCTTGCACACACACACACATCCTCCTCCCCCTATGTACTTCCTGTTCGTGGCCCCCACCCATTTCCATGTGCTGATTTTTATGGTCGCGCTACCCTGTTTTCAGGCCACGGCTAGCCTGTTCCTGTTCGAATTCACGGACTGAACGGGCTCGCGAAATACAATAAAAATTGTCCTGCTCCTGGGGGGTGGTTTTCGCCCTTTTTTGGGCAACGACGACGAGGGCGAGGGCGACGGCGATACCGGAGATGCGGATGCGAACTCAGACAGATCGGCGTCGCAAGTGTTTTGTTTGCAAGGAATATAATTATGCATGTATGTATGAGTACATACATATGTATATCCATATGTACAAAAGCACGCCGCAACTTTCCCCGCAGTAATCAAGATATACATACATACACTTTATTTAATACATAGGTTTTTATCTAATTCAAATGCAGAGTGCACCACACGTGTTTATAGATGATATATTGTCATAAAACCTTGTCCTCTACGGGGTAATTTCAAGCTTTCTAAACTTAGCCGTTTCGACTGTGCGTTGATCGGTAATGCGTATATTTAACAGATACATTAGAGTTTTTAAGAACGTGTAGTTCTTATTTATGGAAGTTTTTTGCTATTATTTTTAGTAAAAAATAAAAATAAATCATTTTCTGTGCATAAAAAAAACATGTCCAGAAATTAGAACAACCCGAGGACAACCAACAAAGTGTTTTTTAATTTGTGAGATTCTACTGTATATATATGTATATTCAAATATAAAACATAAATTCAGCTTAGTTCCGATCTAATATCTAATTTTTCTGACACAAGGCGACAGAGATCACAGAGATAGCTAATAGACGTCACGTGCTTGATGTTGGCTCTTTCTCTCTTGAACTACATATCCTCTACACCCCATATATGTACTATATATACACGGCTCTATCTCGCTCCAGCGCAGCTTCTTTTACCGGTACCCAACTCCTACCCTACCCCAACCCCAAACAGTAGGCAATAATTTTCGTGTCCGGTGAAAAGGGTTGCCTAATCCGGCCAAAATAAAACAACAACAGAATATTACAACAATGCGGGATTAAAAAAGCAGAACCAACACAAGATTACAATAATGCAGGGGAGAATGTAAAGGCCTGGGGAGGGGAATGGCCTCAGATGGGAGTGGAATGACGTGACGTGAAGTGGAGTGTAGTCGAGTGAAAGGGAGGGACACGCACATACAAAACAGCCGTTGCATAGGGAATAGGTAGGCGTGGCCCACCCTTAAGCGAGTGCTTTCGTATAGCCAAGTCCCGGGAATGCGCCCAAAAAGTCTAGTCTAGGAGACAGTACAGCTCGGGGCAGGAACGGGAACGGGAACAGGAACAGGAGCTGCCATGATTCATCCGAGAGCATATTCATATGCATATGGGCAATGCAACCCCCTGGTCTGGTCTGGTCTGGTCACCCATTTCTTTTATATATGTTTGTGCATACATATATTTACATAACGATCCTCGGGGCGCTTTTAACTTTGCACGTCTCACTGCACATATGTACGTGGTACTACTCGTAGGACCTCAGCAGATCCGATACCGATCCCTCCGCAGCTGATTCGGACAGATGCACTTTTTCCCCGAGACTAATATTAATAATCATAGAAATTACCATAAGACACAGGGTCAAAGTCCAGGAACAGAGACTCCGAAACCCAGAGAGACGGAGGGAGAGACGGAGGGCGAATGCAAGAAAAAATGAAATGGAGGGTTGGATGAAACGATCGCAGGACATTCGGGGACACGCTGCATGCCATTTGAATCGTGGCATGTGTTTCTTTTTCTCTCCGTCTCCGTCTCCTTTTTCCGTGTGTTTTTGTTTCTGTTGATGTTGTTGTTTTTGTTGCCGTTTTTCCTTTACAAATTTTTTCGGCATTGTCCTTTGACTCGATCTGCAGTCTGCTCCCGTTCTCATGCCAATGCCAATGCCCATTCCCATTCTGATTCCCACTCCACTCCCCTCCCCTCCTCTCCCCTCTCAGAATCCGATTCGGTTGCAGAGCCCAGGGTTGGGCTGCCTGCCCGCCACCTGGCTTACTAATCAGGATCACGAATGCCAAATGACAGTGCCCGGGATGGGAGGGTGATGGTGAAGGAGGAGCAGAAGTAGGGGGAGTTATTGCCCCTTTGACTCGGAAAAATAGGAAAAACTAAGAAAAGTCTAGGTTATACTAAAAAAATTTTCACTCATCATTTATTTAAAATTGAAAGTTCTTTGATGCTGGAAAAAGAAGAAACAGGAAGGGTAACAATTTAGCTTCGGAGATCCGTAGCTTCTTATATCCTGATATAGCAATCCGATTCAGATACGTTTTGGTAAAGTTTAATTTTATTATCTTCAAAAACAAAAACTTCGACCCATCAATTCTATGACAGCTGCATTGATGCATTATGCAATTGATAAAATTTGTTGTGCTCCAAATCATATACATACATACATAAAAAGAAGGACATCCTTAAACAGGAGGTATTTAAATACAAAGTTAGTGAAATGAAATATAATTAAATTTTCTTAATACAAGGGGGCAAGACCCCTGCACACTCGCTCGTCCACCAATCCCCGTCTCACTCGCTTAAGCAACAACAAATATACCCTCGAGGCGTAACCCCCCTTATCAAGAATTTACAACGTGCAGAAACTATTTGGCGGTCGGACATTTACTCTTAAAGACATAGACTCTTTAATAAATTAATTGGAATCAAATATAATCATATAATAGAGAGGGCCACTGAAATGACGAGTGTCTTTGCACAGAGGCATAATGGTAGAGGTTGCAATTACCCAAAGACTATACACTACTGTGTTGCATATAAGCGTATGTACAATATAGTATAGACTATACAATACTGTATGGTATATACGACTATGTACAATATTACATAGCCTTTGGATTAACTCTAGTTGAAAACATTAATCAAGAGCCGCCATGAAGACGTGAAATGAAATTTCAAAATATAAAAATGTATTGCATATGTATTTTTAAATTATAAATATTTACTCTTGAAGTTGAAACGGAGACTGGATTTAGTTCTTGTTTTTAGCTATTGTTTAGTTAAACAAAAAACGCATATCACTATAGCGTTTTGGCCCTTTATATGTGCATTTTAAAATAAAAATTCGGTCAATTAAACTAAGAGGTATGCAGGAGACTCATAAAGAGATCAGCTTTTCAAGTGTAAAGCATTAGAATAGGACTTAGATTACAAACAAACGAGTACAAAGGAGAGAAATATAGACAGTTTTACTGTAAAGAGTAGCATGGAGAGTAAGGCATATGGGGATCCCCTGAATGATCGTCACCGCCGCCTGACCTAACCCAACCTCACTTTTGCAGAAAAAAAGGGTGGTGGCTTGGCTGCACTTAGTGGACTTCTCGTGCTGCTTCCTTGGATCTTTCATATTGCTTATTCTTCTGTTTCGGTCTGCCTATTCAACTGGAACCCACGACTATTTGTTTACACACCGCTCGTCAGCTGTTTTGAGGTCTCCCCCCCATCCACCCCATTCTTTGGTTCTCATCCCGATCCCTATGCCTATCCGTATGCCACCGATCGATGATGTGTGACTCTGCCTAATGCTCTTAGTTTTTTTTTCATTTTCTCATTCTTCTTATTCGTCTTGTTTGTCATTTCAGTTTGCCGAAGGATCAGTTGGTTTACATTGGACTGAGGGACATTGACCCCTACGAGGCGTTCATATTGAATAAATTTGGAATACGCTACTATGCTATGGATGTGAGTAGAAACCAAATACCGAATGCCGAAACCAGCTAGGAAGAGAACGAAAACTGAGAGAGTGTGAAGGGAAAGGGAGCGAGCGACACCTAGGTAGAGGAGGTAGAGGAAATGCCCACGAGTCGTCCTGCCAGTTGTTTTTGTAAAATTTGTAAAATTCCGGTTTCTATAGCTCTCTATCTCTAACTCAGGATCAAATGACACGATCGTGCGTGACTGCCCCGAGAATTACATAGCATGTCCTGGTGCGCACTGACCTGTGTGTGTGTGTGTGTGTGTGTGTGTATGTGTGTGCGTGAGTGTAATGTTGTAAGCTTGGCATTTATAGGGGTTGCCCGAGCAACATATCGACAAGACAGACACCCTCCCTACCGGGTCCTACCCCAACCACTAAATCTGCCGCCCCACTCCACCAGGAAACCAGCGATGCCAACCTCGTCCATCCTATGCCATCCCCCGTTACAAGGCTCTGGGTACTTCCGATCGGTATAGATTGGCAATGGTGGTGGTGGTTATAAGGCTACATGGCTATATGTACATATGCCCAAAAACGTGCGCAGCCACATCCGTCGTTCGCATCCTTGTCAGCTCTCGTTGCCCATTATTTATGGCTCGTGCAAAATCCAAGTCTGAAGTCTGTTGAAAAATGGTTTAATGTTCGCTCCCGATATCCAGAGCTGCAAATTTATTATGGCCTCATTATATTCGATCGATGGGTATGGGCGTACGGAATGGGGAGAGGCCAGTGGTCTTGCAATTGTAAATGGAAGCGGGACTGGGACTGGGCTAATGGCTGCTCTGCTGTTGGTACAGTTGGCCATAGAATGCTGCTAATTGAAGAGCCAATCGTGTGAGAATAATGCTGATAGCGTTATCTGTTTGGCCATATGTAAGAGCATGCCTCTCAATCGCTGCCATTCTCACTCCATGTCGCCATTGAAAGATTTCCGAGCTTTATTTGCACTTTAGCTCAGAGCGACCTTTACACTTGAAAAAAAAACGTGACATTACTAGAGGCTGGAAAGAAAAAAAATTACACAAAAAAAACATCAGATTCCAATTCTTACTGCGCAGAGCTACGATTTATAAATAGGAGTTCCCATAAGAATAGAAAGGCTGGATATATCCAGAATTGAATATAGTATATTTCCTGTGGTCGAAACTGCATCGTTCTTTGCGTTCTTTAAGCAATCATCATCAAAGCTTTTATCACCGCTACCTCATTTTCTACAAATACCCTGAACGCCGTTAGCTCTCTCTCCCTTTCTGTCGCTGTCCATCGAAAGCTTCCTCTTTGCTCATAGTTATTTTCATTATTTCTCTTTTTCTGTGCTCTGCAGACAATCGATCGCGTGGGTGTGCCGAAAATCATCGAGATGACCCTGGATGCTCTGAATCCACAGAACAAGATCCACGTTAGCTTCGACATCGATGCGCTTGACAGCAACGTGGCGCCCAGCACTGGCACAGCCGTTCGCGGCGGTCTCACGTTGCGCGAGGGCATCAGTATTGTGGAGGCGTTGCGGGACACAAAGAGGGTGCAGGGTGTAGACCTGGTGGAGATCAATCCAAAGCTGGGAAATGAACGCGACGTACGCACCACCGTCGACTCCGGCCTGGAGATCCTCAAGAGCATGTTCGGCTATCGGCGCTCTGGCCACTGGAGTAACATCGATACGGGAATCCTGGGAAGCGATTGAGGCGGATATCCCGCACACAAGAAAAACATCTTCACCATGAACTTATCCATATTTATGTACAATAATTAATGTTTCATATTTCGTTTGTTTTTTCGGTTTTTTTTTGTTTGCGAGCTTAATAAAATGTATTAAGAGGAGAAAGAGAGATTCGGGAGTTGCATAGCCTAACGTGGGGATGGGGATGGGAACTGGAGGTTCGACCTGGGCCGATCCGATCTAGAGGCCAGGCTTGGGCTGGGCCGTGGGCAGATAAGCCGAGATGTTCACGTTGGCCATCCTGTTGGCCGTCTGCAGCAGCTCGTTGATGGGCACCGCTGGCTGTGGCGCGGCTGTAGCAGCCAGCACCGGGTCGACAGCCACCGCTGCACTGGACGGGGCCTTGCCCAGCCGCTGGTAAAGGTTCGGGGCAAAGGTTCGCAGTAGGCAACGTCGCAAGCAGAGCAGCAGGGCGTTAATCGAGCCCGAGATGACAATGATACCCGATATAATGGAACAAAGGCGAATGGCAAAGGTTACCAGATGGTCGCGATCATTGCTCACGACTATCTTCAGCGCCGACCAGTCGTACTTGAAGTAAATGCCCGGCGAGCCATAGGAGTTCCGCTCGGAGTCTGTAAACGAAACGGGAATAGAAATTGGTAGAGGAAACATGTAGAGCTGGCAGAAATCAGTTTCGGGCTCACCTAACTTCCGTACATTCTCGGTTACAGCATATTGAAAGGTATTGATTGTGGTGAACGTCTGATGGATCTCCGTGGGCACCACCTTCAGAAAGTATTGCACTGTGGTGGCCTCTTCGTGGATGATGCTCTCGTCACCCTCCAGCGGCTGGACAATGCGCCGCGAGTACTGCCCAAAGCTGAGCCGATTGATGCGGTGTGTGAAGTTGGCCGGCATGCGGCGAAGCTCAATCACCCAGTGGTCCTCAAACAGCCCCACCACGGGCTGAGCGCCGCCCACTAAATGCAACACGCCGGCCACTTTGTTAATGCCCAGAGTTCCGTGCAGGCGGCAGGCATCAAACTTTGTCTCCGGCTGGCCATTGGGTAAATGCAGCTCTAGGCTGGCGGGCAGAGCACCTGGGGGCGGAGCCACTATGGCCGGGGCTATGGCCGAACCGGCGGTGGGGTCACCCTTCATGGGATACGGATCGCGCATGATGTCCTTGAAGAACACATCGGCTACCGAATGGAACTCCTCGCGCAGATAATGGTTGGTCATCTGAATGGACTGGAAGTGTTGGCGATCGTTGTCTGACATCTTCCACCACACGCCCTCACGCTGCAACGTGCCGTAGGCGAAGACATCCTGCTGCGTCTCGTCCATGAGGTCGACACCAGAGAGGGCGACGCAAGGCATGGCCACTGTTATGTCTACGTGCATCTGCACCTGCTCGTCCAGGGAAATGTCCGGCTCGAACTGGTACACTATGTCCGTTTCATGCCAGTAATAGTGCAGCTCCGTGTAGACCAGATATACTATCAGCAGGCGGCTTAGCAAGGACACTGTTTGGGGGGAAAAGGCGATAATGAGCTGCTAGTAAGAATACAAAAATCTTCAATCTTACGTGTCCCGCCTATTTCCGTGGTTTCTGTGTACTTCTCTGGTACTTTCTTGAAGGCATCCAGATTCCTTGCAAAATCCAGCAGATTGCTCTTATCACCGCGATACCGCAATGTTGCCGTCATTTTGCTTGGTTGAGAGACGAATGTGTGTCTGTTTTCAAGCCAATTGAATCGCTTTAATTGCGGCTCGCTGGCGGCATGATTGCCACGTACTCCAAGCTCGCGCCTCAGCCCACCTTCTTTTTCGCCAAGCCCCCACCAATTCCCGCAGGCATATGCGCTTGTGTGGGCTTATGTGTACCGTTTGTCGGTCCACTAGGACTATGGCTTGGCCAGTCTTATCTCGAGAAATTGTAATCTTATCAAAACCTATCGGTGAAATGTCACAAATAATTTAATTGCCGGTTACCGAATCAGCTGATTTGATTTAAGCCAGGGCTGGCACAATACCGTAGATGAAACCCGATAGCTATAATCGATGCCATCGATATCTGCTTAATTATTGTTTGGCATGCATGCCTATCTGATATAAACATTTTTAGACCTACATATACGATATTTTTACATATACGAGATTTTTATGGTATTTAAGTCATGGTTGTCATTAAAAATAAATAACAGCTAAGTTACGTCCTATCGCAAATAAGTGCCCTGTGCATCGATAAGTACAATCAAGTCTGTATATCTGATCTAACGACGTGAAACAACTAAAAACTAGTGTCAACTTGCTCAAAATTCTGAAAAGTAGTTCCGTTGATGATATATCCCACAATTCAGATCAATATTTTCGCCAGTCCAAAAAAATATCACCGATATACTATCGATTAATGAATATCGATTTATTGATATACAAATTTCATCCGTTAGCTACTACCACTTCACGATATGAAGGAATATGCTTTCCCAATAATGGACAACGAACGATTAGCCCGTTATCGACCAGTGGGCAGTAAAACGCACTCCACGAAAATTATGAAACTGTGGCTCAGGTGAAAGATTTGATGCTTTTTTCTTATTGGTGAAGAACTTAACAAACACCATGATTTTACCCGGCTTAACTCAAGCTGATCACCTGTGTAAATAGAGAGAGCTTAAGTGGGCTAAGTTCGTTTTTTATCGGTATATTAGTGGTATTTCTGAGGTCAGAACATATATTTTATCGCTAATTCCGAGGTCACACAGATTTTCTTGCCATCATGTCTAGCTTACACACCCTGCAAGCTTATACGTATTGTACTTATACTTATCCTTATACTTCTTCAATGTAGAAATCGTGTAGAAATGCCACTTAGAGCCATGTCCCAGACCACATAGAATACTAATTTGTGATCAGCTCGAATTCCTGATCGTTTGCAATGAAAAATCTCTAAAATGTTTCTCAAAAATGTCGAAAGCAAAGGCATGCAAGTGTTTATTTCGGAGGTTTTTCACACTGGCAATTCTATAAGGCTTATATGAAAATAAACAGTCAAACATTTTTAAAACGTATACATATTTCCCCTTCAGGTGGCGCTTTTGGTAATTACATAAAAATGTAGTTAATATGTAGAATATGTGTAGTTAGCGTGTAGTTACCATGTAAAAAAAATCATTTAGTGGAAATTTTTTTTGACCATTTTTGCTTAAACCTTATTTTATAAGCAATGCAATAAAGATGAAAACTTCAATCTAACCAGTCTTGTAAGAAATTAATTTAACAATCGGATTAAATTATAAGTTTATAGCTGAGGGTCAGAGCTAGCTAGAAGTAATCAACCGAATATCAAAAACGAGGAATATGATGCAACTTGAATGCAAATAATTCATCAGAAGATGTATGGTATATTTTAAAATTTGTGACGTAGTTTCGGTATTTTTCTAAGGCTCACACTGACAGTACTGTACATTCGCCAATACTAAGGCACTTAGCTCGTTTTCTTCTTCACATTTACTGTTTTTTTCGCGGCAAAAAAGAAGGGACTTTCGGTTAATAAGCTCCCGTGTTCTCAAAGGTGGACACTGAGGAAACGTTATTAAATTAAACAACTTGCAAACGATCCACAACCATCCACAATAATGGGTAAATTGGGTAAAAAGAAGGTGCTCGAAGAGATGAGCCGCAAAAAATCGGAGGCAGAGGCCAAACACAAGAACGGCGGTGGCGCCGACGACTCCGAAGATGGTCTCGACTCGAAGGACGGCAGCTCCGATAAGAACGACACCGTATCCTCGTTAAGCGGCAGCTCCTCCCAGAAGCAACGCTCCAAACAGCACAAACGCAAGTCCTCAGGCTCGGGCGCCGCCGTTGGCCACGATGGCGCCTCCAAAGTCGCTGGCTCCGCTGGCGGCACGTCCAAATCGAAGTCGAAATCCAAGTCCATAGATAGCGACTCCGATGACAGCGATGATCTTCCGCTGAATGGCAGCAAGAGTTCCAATTCGAACGAGTCGACAGGTGGGGGTCCGCCGGCCAAGAAGCCCCGCAAACAGGCCAAACCAAAATCGACGAAGGCAGCCACCGCTACCACATCGGTGGCATCCAAGGGCAAATCGAACAACAATGGCAAAAAAAAGGCGGCCGCCGCCAAAAAAGATTCAGATTCGGATGGTGACTACGAGGACGCTGTCGATGACGAATCCTTAGCTAAGTCCGATGACGATTTTGACACAAAGCAGCAAGATGTCGACACAGAGTTGGAGTACGAAGTAAGTGATAGAGTAAAGACAGTCGCTCTGCGTTAGAGTTTGCTTTAACCTAAAAAAATCTGTAAATTTCTAGGTGGACGCCATTATTGGCCACAAGAAGGTGCGCGGCGCCTCCTATTTTCTGATACGCTGGAAGGGCTACGATTTGGACTCGGACACCTGGGAGCCGGAAATTGATTTGAATTGCGATGATCTGATCGCGGAATTCCGTAAAAAAGTGAGTTTTTGCCTCTTTCTAACTCGAACCTTCTCGCTTAAACGCTCTGTCTCTTTCTCTCTCTATCGCTCTCTCTTTCACTCTCTCGTTATATACAATTACTATACGCCTTGCATTGTCCAGCAGGCAATATCCACTCAATTCGGACCGCTCCATGCCAAAGACAATGACGACAGCAAGATCGGAAGACCCAAAAAAACTTCATCGAATAAAACTGGTGTTGCCGGCAAATCTGTTGGCAAAAAAGAAGCCAGCAGCAAGCAGTCGTCCAGCAAGAAGTCCACCATCGATGATCCCGAAAAGGAATGGGTCGTCGAGCGTGTCGTTGATTTTATTGAGGACGCTGAAGCTGGTGGCCTATATCGCATACGCTGGAAGGGTTTCGGGCCCAAAGACGATACATGGGAGCCCGAAAAGAATCTGTCCTGTGGAGGACTGATCGAGAAATACAAGCGTGGCTTGGTGTCACAGCGTAACGTTGAAACCAAGGAGCTCCGTGAGGCGCCCAAGAAGACCAAACGACTGGTGAACGAGTGCTATCCACGCACTAATATAGCGAATCGCATCGAACGATCGTCCAAGCGGGCCGCAGCCAAGAATCGGTGAGAAAAGAATAAAAAAAACAACAGCCTCTATTCCTCGATTCTAATGCCTAATGTCTGATGCCTTTCGCACACAGCGTCTTTTATGGAGAGGAGTGAGATATGGCGTAAAGGGGGACAGGAAGGAAGATCGAAAGACGTTGCAGCAGAAATTCCCCTGGAGATCCATCTACAACCCCACCCCCTACACACATGAAGAATGTAGATGTAGATCTCGGGTAGAGTTTTTATAGAATTATTGATTTTTTTGTTTTTTTTTTTGACCCGCGCTGGCGTTCTTTGTGGCTTGGCAGGAAGATCCAAGCCCCAGCATACATCCCAAACACAATCCCTTCACCCCATTCGATGGACAGACCAGACACCACAACAAATAATTCAATAATTTAAATGGAGTGCAACACAGACAGTTTAATATCTATCAACTATGAGTAAAAGGCCACCGTGTGGAGGAGTGCCATGGACAGGACACACGTATCAGACACAGTAGCAGCACCGCGCCTGTTCCAGGACTGCGTTCGAAGAGTAAACTGGCACTAGTTTGTAAGATTTTAGTGCATCTGAACGCACTATCATCGTAGTACTACCCTTCTAAAGCATATACACCGGTGTTAACAGTGTATGCGCATCAGTGTAGTAGGGCGCAGTCGAGTCGCCTCTTAATGTATAATTAATAAATAAAATAATGTGTGTACACAATATAATACAATCCTCCCGTATTCGACTGTCAAATAAGTTGTCTAATTAGCAAAGTTAACGTATCTGAATGGAATTTCGCAGCTCTTTTTGATCCATTCGTCAATGAATTGTCCAATTTGGCAACTCTTTAAAGTTGAACAGGCAATTGGAAGGGTGGTTTAAAAGGGATTTCAAGTTTAATTTCTTACCATATTTGCGTACTTCCTTGCTCCCATTCGACTGCTTGCTCCATTTGATGCTCGACTCGACACGCACAAGCGGATAGCATAAAAGAGAATGTCCTATAATTGCTAACACATGCTCGACTCAGAGATCCGCTGATGGGACCTTTTTTTACTGCAAACAGAACAGAAAAAATACTAGAGAACTACTGGAAATACTTATAACCCAAAAATGATGTACGGAAAAACGGAAACCTAAGCATATCCCAGGACATGAAGTGTTTTCAGACTCTTGAATGCTTTTTGTACAATTTCTAGGTACCAGGTACAGGTAGGAACATCTTTTAGCTCTTCATCGAATCACAAAATATAAAGAACAATAAACAACATAAAGTAAGAAAAAAGGGTAAATTTTTAGCAATTATTTATAGGTTGAACCTTGTTTCTTGGAGTTGCTTAACGTTTATTTAACTTTTTCCTTCGACAATCTGTGAATAGGATTTGCTCTGAAGCCTAACCTAAGGCTTTTTGGGGGCTTCCTTTCCGGGCTCTTCTTCTTCGTCGTCTTCCGGCTCATCCCCAAATTCTACGCAACGTTGGACAGCGAAACCAGCCTCCTTAGGCTCTTCGGTTAATGATGTGGGCTTGCCCTTGGGCTCGCTAGCGAAGCGCCCATTGCGTGGACCAGGTGGCGATATCTTGTCTGCTTTCAGATCCCGCAGTATATCCTGCATATCTTTGGCGGTCAGATCCTCCTGCAAAAGACAAAGGGTTAAAGATATATTGTAATTATGTGCTGTCTACTGTTCACTTACATAGTAATCATCGTTGACCGCCACCATGGGTGCATTGACGCATGCACCCAGGCACTCCACCTCGGAGATGGTGAACTTCTTGTCCTTGCTGATCTCCCCGATGCCGATGCCCAGCTGCTTCTTGCATGTCTCGAGGATCTCATCGGATCCGCGCAGCCAGCAGGGTGTTGTGGTGCACACCTGAATGTGGTACTTTCCGGTGGGCTTGCGCAAGAACATTGTGTAGAATGTGGCCACCTCGTAGACGCGCATGTTTGGGAGTTCAAGGATCTCGGCCACCTTGTGCATGGCCGATAATGGCAGCCAGCCGTACTGGCGCTGGGCCAAATCCAGCAGCGGGATCATGGCGCCGCGCTTGTGCCCCTCCGGATATATGCTCATGATGGCCTCCACACGCTTCTTGTTCTCCGCCGTGAACTCGAACGGTATGTTGGGATTGTCCTCCGGTGTGTCGCGATGCACAAACAGATTGTCGCTGCGCTGGACACCGCTGGTGGCAATGGCGCGCATGCCGCCGCGCTGAAAACGTACGATGGGCAGGATGTTAAATGTTATTGTTTTTCTATGCCTAAATTATATAACCCACGGAGGCGACTGGCTATCCGTGTCACTGGCAGTGGTGGGGCCGCCCTGGGCTACTGCTACTTACCACGGCGGCCAGCGTCTTCGAGGCACAACTCGTCAGCATTTTAGCGTTTCCCAGTCGAAACAACTCTACGAAGGCAATGTGAAAATTTGCTGTTATATGAAAATATAGTCGGTTTTCAACAAGCACCGCTTACAGCTGTTTCAGTGCACGCTTTACAGCACTGTTCTGCGCTGCCAGATTAGAGCGATACGTGCGTTACAAATTATTGTCCACGTAAAAGCACTAAAAGCTTTTTGTTTCTTTTTTTATAAAACGTTACTTTTACCGTATTTTCTGGCATTAAATATAATAATAACAATAAAAACCACAATACCGATAGTATTTGCTAAGCGTTTTCCAGTACTGAAGAGGATAAATCGAGGCGGCTACCTATCGATCAAATTCAATCCTAACCGAAACGACGCCATTGCAACAAAACAAAATTAAAATAAACTGAAAACATGGATAAAATGCCGGCAGTAATGGCGCACATGGGCAATATGTGCGCCAGATATCCCAAAATAGGCCAGTCTATGCAGGAGTTCGAAGAAGCACTGCAGCACAATAAAAAACTGAAGCACAGCGTAAACCGTACGCAAGCTCCGCAATAAAATAAACACATTCCCGCACTTATACACACACACACACCCCCACAAACATTTTTTACTACACAGGACTACAGTTACAGCTAGAGGATCAGAAAGTAGATGCGAAACTGGTGAGAAAGGCGGCTAAATCCATGGAGGAGTGCAGGTTCGAGGCAGAATTGGCAGCGAAAATAGCGACTGCCTGCTATGGCCGTATCCTAGACATAGAAAACCATATGACTGAAGCACAAATCCAAGACATTCTGCGATTAACTGTACACCTTAAGCAGGGGGCGGTCATGGAGGAGATCAAAGACGTGGAAAAACGATGCGGCACCGTTCACGAGAGCCAGGCGGCCTTAGAGAGTCGACAAATTGGTAATATTCGAGTTCGATATGTGCAAAAAGAGCAATCACTATATCCATTTTCCATTTGCACATTTCAGTGCAAAATTTCCGCCAGATGCGGCGCACCATGAATGAGGCCGCAGATGAGCTGTTGCGTAACGAAAGGGAGATACATGCCATGCTTCTACAGTGGAGTAACAAAATTAAATCCTCCACATCCTATCGCAACAAGAAGATAGTCTATATACTCAAGTTGAGAAATGAGATCCACCAGGTGCGAGATGAGGTTGGTACCCGATCAAATGCTCAAGTCAAATGGAAGCGTTATCCATTCACATATTTCTACATCCACAGAAGATTAAGCCGCGCATTACAAATGTTCAAAAGTGGACGAAACCCGCAGAACGCCTTCCTGCGGCACGTCCCTCTGTAATGGCAGAGGCCAGCAACATGATTCTGCAGTCGGCCATGACTTTTATCACGGACTTTCTCAAAGGCGCCAAAAAACCGGAGTTCGAAGATCGCGAGGAGGCGCCACCAATGCGCTCCATATTGGTGGAGAAGCAAGAGGGCGAGCGCAAGCGCGTTGCAAGTCCCACCAAACTGGTGCACTTTGCACCGTCTCCGGCTGGCTCCGCCTCAAGCTACAACGAGAACGATGACGGAGCATTGGGATCGACATTCACCAAAGCAATTGATGATTCCCTGAAGGACTTTTACACGGACTTGGACTGGGCCACGCGACCAAAAAAGGCAAAAGTTACTCAAGTGGAGATACTCCCAGCTGTCGACATACGACTATTGGCCCCGCCAGAAATTGCCGCGAATGTTGTCAAGTCCACGTCCACGGGCTTTAAGGATTTTTCAAATTTATTTCCAAGCTTTGAAAACCAAGAACAGGAAAATGTCATGGAAATCGATAGTAAAGCAGAGACTTCGGAAGGAACAAAGAAGGAACCACAGACAGCAGTTGCGGTCGAGTCAGAGGAGTCTCAGTTTGTGCGTCCTTCGACGCCGTTAGGCTATCAGCAGGACTCAAATAGTATGATTACCCCGAATGGCACCTCCTTTCATTTCTCAGAATCCAACGGCGATAACAACCTGGATCTCAATGACGATTTCATGCTAAACTTTAGCGACGACAACAACGAGGATGAGACAAAGAACGGATATAACCTATAGCCCATGATTGGATCAACATAAGCAGCCACACCTTCTGCCATTAAATGGTTCACAATCGTAGAAATACATTGATTAACATAATTAGTGGGTACCAGAGTTCAAAATCATTTAAGAAACGAAACGATAATACATAAATCTACTATAATTATTTCAAATCAACATTTTAAAAGTTTCTATGAAACACAAATTTCTTTATTAATCTACCCTAAGTGTATTTCTATTTCTAATACCAAGAGCTTCTGTTCATATTTGATACAATTTTAATTAAAACACTTGTAAAAAATACTTTCAATCGTAATTAATATTTGATGTTATAATTTCTACCCAAATTCATCTTCGCGCCAATTATTTCAAACAACAACTATAGTCGCTTTTCAGCACTGAACGAACGTGAAACATCGATAGTCATTGATCGATATCGATGACCAGGCTGCTACGTTTTAGCGTAAATAAAACCACGAGTTCGACCCACAATCACAAATAATGGCTCGAGCACGGAAAATACCAGTGCGCAAGCATCACGGCATCCGTGATCCTCTCAAGCAACAAGAACAGAGGGAAAAGAAGTGAGTCCATTCCATCCCAATCCACCGTGGCATCCCAAATAGCACTGAAATGTTGTTCCTCCCCTACAGGCTGTCCAAAGTGACGAACAATCCACCTACTAAGAGCGATGAACAGCATGTCTCGTTCAAATTCAAGCAGTTCCAACAGTTGGCAGACGGGGCCAAGGCCGGCAAGAAACTGAAACTAGGCGAAATCGGGAAGGAGGACAAGCCCAAGTCCTCCACGAAATCGTCGGACAAACAGAGTGCCTCGAAAAACACACGCAACATTAAGCAGTTTGCCAATGAGACGGACACGGACTATCTGCGCCGCGTAAACCGTATTACCAATGCCTCGGTGCGTGAGGCCCAATACGAGGCCAAGTACGGAGTTAGTGTGATACGCAACCCCAAGACGGGTGAAATAACAGTCCAGAAACGGCCCAAAAACGAAATTGACGAGCTGCTCAAGCAGAAGCAGAAGGAGCAGCGCAACGCAGGGAAAAAGGGCGGCCGCAAAAAGACGAACCAAAAGCCCACCATGGATGCAAAGACCAGCAAGGAGCTAATCAAGCGCGCCTTTAAGGAGGCCAAAGAAGAGAAGTCGTCCGACGATGAAAATTCTCCGATTGTGGAGTACAAACGTGATACATTCGCCTTCGGAGATATTGTACACGCACCGCCATCGTTAAAGACACGTCCTCGCAAGGCGACAAGAGACGATACTACTGCCCGGCCCGGTCGCAAGTCGAATCTGCTGCTCAAATCCTTGTTGGATCCGGGGCAGCAGGCATCCGCCAGTCCTGAGGCTGATAGTCCCATAGCATCCAAACCCACCGGCACTCCCCACACCCCCAAGAAATCTCCCAAGGTATCCCTAAAGATGCAAATGAAGGGCAAGCGCAAGGATCTGCCCATCGGCATGCGGTCCATGCTGGAGACTGAACGCGAAAAGATGGTCTTGCTGTATCGGAAGCTGAAAGAGCATAAGGCTGAGAAAAATACATGATATTAATTCTTAGTTACAACTCTTTCAATTTTAGACTTTAAAACAATTAAAATGTTTTTTTTTTTTTATAATACTATATAATAATTATTGATAATTTTTGTATAAATATTTGAATGAATCACCCTTGTGCGGTAATATCGATAGCATCGATAGTGACAGAGCTGCTTTTTGACATAATTGGTTATGAAAATTGGTTTTGAAAATATCGAAAAATTTTATTTGTCAGTTTTATTTCGTTCATAAATCAGTTCCGTCTTTAAATTGTTCGTACAGGAAAACTTCTTCAAAATGAAAATACATTGCAGGCTCAGCTAGCGTAAGGGGCAATGGTAAGAGTAAATAGTGGTGCTGGCAAAACATAACGTTTCTTTCATATATCTATATGTTTGACATACAGGGAAACGATTGTTTTCTGCAAAATTGGTTCTTAATCGTTCGTGCACCACCCATTATTGGCTATTTAACGGCAGTACAGTCTACTTGATTTATCAGTACTTAGATTGCCTGCTTCACACCTGGAAACTTGACTGTTGGTTTGTTTGGCTGACGTTTCGGTCAAGCCCGGACCGGACTGTATTCCGCACCATATGTAGTATTGGATTCCACATCGGCTTGCTTGTCTAAGAGGAAGTCTTCAGCTGGCCGCAGTCCTGGGAGCAAATTATCACAAACATTTTGTTTTTCAAACAAAATTAAAGTTGATCTGGGAAAATCTTCAAAGAGGAGTTTTAAACGACCTGCGTTTAAAAGATTTTATATGAAGTTTTTCCCACATCAACTTTCAAAATGTTCTTCAGAAACCAGTGGCCAGTGGCCAAGATACTATCAATTTATACCTGCATCATGGGCAAGCCATTCAGATGACGATTATTCTCTAGTTTCTGTTCTCCTGAATCTGTTTAAGTTGTGAGCAGTAAGCAGGACCGCATGGAAACCCGTAAAATTACTTTTTATGCTTAAACATCTCTTTATTGGAGGTTAGAGAGATTGAATAAATGTTTTAAATCTATTGGTTTATTGGGCTGCTCTTTTCATTATTGATTAGGTTTCAAATCAGCTTGGAAAACAGTATTTTAACATTAAATAAAAGAAATGGAGTCTAAAAAGGTCCATAAACACCTAGTTTATATGTAGAATATGTGTCATTACCGTGTAGATAACACGTTCAAATTTACATGTTTGTTGGCCTTTTTTAAACTATGGTTTATAAACAATCTAATAAAAGAGAATACTTATAATTGAAATTCTGAGGTTTAGCTAGCTAGTAATATTCAACCGAATATCAAAGTCGAGGAATATTATTTCCGATCATGGACAGAGAACGATTAACCCATTGTAGACCAGTGGGTATTAATATAGAATGCAGGAAGGAAAAGAGAAGAGAAATGAATATACAAGAAAAATTTAAAAACAGTATTATTATTTAAGTTAAGTGGGCTAAATTAATTTTTTCCATCGTTATATTTACGGTATATTTCGGTATATTTCAAAGGGTCAGACCGTATATTGTATCGATAAGCCACACTGCTATGTGTTTCGTAAACAATTTTGTTGTTTTTAGCAAAAGGACTGCGTGTGTGTGTGATGTTAATTGAGCATTTTCGTCAGCGCCCGCGCGATCAACGTCACTTAGAAACTAAATTAGTACAAATGTGAACAGTCGTTTTTCGGTCTAGTAAGATGCAATATAGATATTGTGTTCGTGAGTTCCCTTAATTTGTTGTTTTATTGATTAAATTGTGACTGGAATACATACACACTTGCAAACATCATCGTAGAGCAAAAAGGAGCGTGAAACCAACAATTACTGGCGCGCAAATATACAAAAAAATACCTTCGCACAGATCCGCAAACACACATACGCACGTACATACATATATATATATATATATTGCTTATGTATATACGTATATTCAGTTCTGTCCAACAACAAAAGCCGTTGCTAATTTTTGCTTAGACGCTAAATGCTAAATGTCTCAAATATAGTACAAAGGAAATAAAACCAGCCAGAGACCACAGATTCACGCCCACACACACCTTCTGAAAGCCGCCGCCCCTCCCTTACATTTTTTACGTGCAGCTGGATTTGAAAAACAAAAAAAGACAGCTAATCTTTACGCGTCATGGCCTGTCGAATGGAGAATAACAGCAGAGCCAGCGGTAGTGGCAACGGCGATGCACTGCCCACATCTTCACTTAACGGTGGTAAGTGGTAGCGCGCAGGTAGCACCCATTCGCTTATCAGCTGTGGGTGGGCTACTGAACCCACTGAACCCAAGGCGTGTACACGCAACTAATACCCGCCCTCTCTATTTTTCTTTATTATTTTATTTTCAGCCATTACTGATAAGATGGCGACGATGAATCTAGACAGGTCTGAAACAACAACAACAACCATGCGTAGTAATGGCAAGCATAAACCACCGATGGAGGAGCTAGCACAACTCCTGCAGCAACAGGAGCAGCAATCCCCACAGGAATTGCAACAACAACCACAGCAACAGCAGCAGACACCGCAAAAACAGGCCATGTCTGCGGATGAGCGAAAGGCTACCAAGAAATCTCTAGTCATTGTTGCAGCAATATTCGTTGCCAGTGTGGCGACCATGTGCTATGTCTATGCAATATTTCCCGAATTGAATGAGTGAGTAAATGCATGATGCTGATGTGTCCAAAGCGCATTCGTGCACCTGCAATGTGTGTCTACATCTGTGTGCGTGTGTGTGTGCCTGTTGGTGTGTGTGAGTCTCGGTTGATTTGCGAGAGGGTTTTATTCCACACACAAACGGCATATAGAATGATTGCCAAGTCACGCCACCTCTCACACGCACACACTCTCACCAATACCCCCACTCGGATGTGGCCTGTTTACACCTTTTTTCTCTCTGTTTTCTGTTCTCTTCAGGTCTGAGAAGCAACATTTGAAAATACCGCGTGATATACAAGATGCTAAAATGCTGGCCAAAGTCCTCGATCGCTACAAGGATATGTATTACTTTGAAGTGATGTTCGGCGTAGTTGTCGCCTATGTATTGTATCCTTTTTGCAAACACACACATACACACACAAATCAGAAAAATCTTCAAAGAGATCTTCTGAACGGGCAATACTAATCGGGCACACGTTTCCGATTAGATAATAGATTTCTGCTGCTGTCAGCAATAACCTTGACCTGATTACTCAAAATAGTCGCAGTAGTGCTGTTGCCCCCAAAAACAGACAGAATGACCGCCATCCGACTACTATTCACGGTCAACCGTACATTTGTTTTGGTCGCCTTGATTATGCACGATCGGTTCGAGCGACGGGGCACGGCACGCATAGTCTGCATATTAATTACGTGTGGGCAGAAGACCAGGAAGCGCTCTGCAAGAGCGCACAACTGCACTGTGCTTCTCCATATCCATTTCCGTCCCGTGTCTGTAAATCAAAGTCTCCCTCCCTCTCTCTCTCATTTGATTGGACTTTGGTCATGTGACGCATTCTTTTGGCTTGCTCGACAACTGTTTTCACACACAAACGCACGCACACAGACAAAGTTCCAGCGAAATCAGCTGAGCTTGTATTTAATTCAATTGCGTTTTCAGCCAGAGCCCAGAGCTGAAGCCGCTCCAACCAAAGCCAGAGCAAACACCCACGTAACTTTATATGCGCTCGATTATATAGGTTTATTCTGTTGATTGCTTGGCAATTATTCAAAGCAGCAGGCGTGCGAGTGATATAGCTTGCTTTTGCCGTTATCGGGCATGCTCTAGAAGATGTGGTCCGATGGGGGTGCCATTGTCAATTGGCAGCGTCTGCCTTGACATCTATTTATAAACGGCACAACACCAGAGCGAGCACGCGTCGCCTCCTCTTAAGCAGCGGCAGATCTTTAATCTGATACACAAAAAAGATGTCATAGCATAGCATATGTATATCTAAGAAAACCTTTGTCGAAACTTATATCAGATCGTATGATTGGTTGGATGCCTTAACTCGCTCTTAACAATTTCTTTTCGTACAGCCTACAAACATTCGCCATTCCCGGTTCACTATTCCTGTCGATTTTACTCGGCTTCCTTTACAAGTTCCCCATCGCCCTGTTCCTGATCTGTTTCTGTTCGGCGCTGGGGGCCACACTCTGCTACACACTCTCAAATCTGGTGGGACGGCGCCTTATCCGTCACTTCTGGCCAAAGAAGACCAGTGAATGGTCGAAGCACGTGGAGGAGTATCGGGACAGTCTCTTCAACTACATGCTGTTCCTGCGCATGACACCAATTTTGCCGAATTGGTTCATCAATCTGGCCTCGCCCGTTATCGGAGTGCCGTTGCACACCTTCGCCCTGGGCACGTTCTGCGGTGTGGCGCCGCCCTCGGTGATCGCCATACAGGCAGGCAAAACCTTACAGAAGATGACCAGTTCGAGTGAGGCCTTCTCCTGGACCTCGATGGGGATACTGACGGTGTGTGCCTGCGCATCTCTCCTGCCCGGACTCCTAAAGAACAAGTTTAAGAAGAAGGAGGCGTAAATGCATTAACGGGGGCTAAGGAGGGGATGCACATGCCATACCCACATGCCCATACCATATACCGATTGACCCGAGCGCCTGGGACTGGGACACTCGACTGCGCGAATATACCACATCCAAGGATCCAACGATGCTGGCGTGTTGGAGTTTCCCAAAATGCTATTTCCAAAAACAAAACAAAAAATCCAAACAAAAATCATAAACTGTATTTATACACGCCGTATATTTTGTAATTAAACGATCGAAGGATCTATTTTTTAAACCGTCGGGTATATCCACTATGCTTAAGTCTACTACAAATATCTGTGTTTATTTTATGATAATTATTATTATTAATATTAATTAATTCTTATACACTTTTTTTTCTATATACTTACATACATATTATTACCACACACTTTTGCATCATATATTTCCATGAATTGTTTTTAAGTTAGTGAATTTTTGTTTAGTGCTATTGCAGTATTTACCCTAGAAAAGTAAAAGTAAATCAATTAGCGAAAATCCATTGAATGTTACGTCACACGTCTGTATGTTTGTTTTGTATGTATGTGCGCAAGTAAATGTTCGAAAATGATAACCCATTTGAAGCTCATTTGTAATCTATGCTTGTCAAAAAGAGGCGATGGCACCAACAAAATTCAAATTTGGAATTTAAAATTTTATCACTGCGGAATCAGTGCGTCAAAAGCTCAATTTCCACTTTTCGCCGCAAAAGCTGTTTGTATTTAAAGAGCATGTATAAGTGGTTGGCTTCATGTAACTTCCAACAGATGGCGCTGCCTGGATGTGTAGAGGTCGTGTAAAATGCGTCCAAGTGGAGTAGCGGATTTACATTTGTATGATCCAGACACGACGGTACTCGACGGCCAGCCAGTACGGACATGGCTATATCCACTCGGTTATTAACGCAGTTCAAGAATATATATAATTTATGGGGTCGGAAACGACGTTCCTTCTGGACTTTACACACATTCATTTTCACCAAAAATCTAATATACCCTATAATTATTTTGAGTATCGGGAATAAACAGTAGATATGTACATATATTATTGATGCATTATTATTTTTTTGCACAATTCCAGCCCTATTTAGCTTTAGATCGGATTATTATTATAGCCAAAAGTAACAAATAAATTTTCGGTCGCTACGCAGCGCCCGTCAACATGTTCAGACTGATTTTCTGTCTCTCTCGCACGCACTCTTTGTCGTGTCGCTTAATATTAGCGGCGTCTGCCGGAGGAGAGCCATACTGACTAAGTATTGGGTATGTAGAGTATGTAAGTATGTATGTATGTAAGTAAATGTAGAGTTGCGGTGTCCGCAGCAACTCACAACGTTCCCCCTCGTTTTCCTTGGGATGTTTTTCTCACTCGTCGCTGGACCCAGCTCCTGTGATCCGCCCCTCTACAAACAGAGTGTAAGGAGTGGGTAAGCTGGCCCATTGAGGGAGCCGTGGTTAGCAGCAGTAACGGCGGATCAACAGCAGATCAACAGCAGAGTAACAGCAGATTAACAGCAGATTAACAGCAGATTAACAGCAGTAATAACAGCAACAGATGAACAGCTGATGAGCAGCAACAGCAGAGAAGAAGAGGAACCGAACCCTTTGTTTCTTTCTTTTCCGGACACCAGTCGCCATGGGACCACTACCCCGAACGAGGACCCCAACGCCGACTAACCCATGGAAATTGACGACTACGCGGAGACATCAACACAACGCACCCCGACGCCTGAGGTGTACGAGCTATCTGCTGCCGAGTACGCCGCCCGTTGGACGGTGGCTCCGCCAGAGTGGACAACGAACACCGCCAACCGAATCCTGCCGACGCCTCTAATCCAGGAGGTACTGTGGCGACTAGAGCCGCGGGGTCGGACCCTGTTCGATAGCTGGTGGTTCGAGCAAAGATACAGGATCCACCGCCGCACGAGTCTTCGTAACTCTCGTCGGGGAAGAAAGGGGAGGGTGTAACGAACCTAAAAGGTTTCATGCCACGTTCAAAATCGAAGGCTACGGACTTCAAGAAGAATGAAAAAGCTGATGGCAATGAGAATGAGAAAACCACCGCAACTCGCAGGAGTACCAATACGAAAGGGGTTTGCTCAGTAAACTGAGAATAAACCACCGCAACTTGCAGGAATACCAATACGGGATTTTGCAGACCCGATGGCTTGGGAAATTGGGGAAAAAGTCGCAAAATGAACTAAGCGCACGCCTTTTATAGGCTGGAGAGTCGCAGTAGCCATTTTTCTGCGTCGCTGCGACTGCGCAATCATGTTATATACTGGCGTCAACACAGAACGCACAAGTATATAACATGGCTGTTCTGCGGCAGCGGACGGCAGCGCAGCTTCGGGTATTCGTCAAATTTCCTGGCGTCCACGCAAAATATAAGTATATGCATGCATACATATGTAGATATGTATAACCACTAACCATACAGTATATATGTAGATGTGCCAGTTCATACAACGAAAGCGTCACACACTGGCTAGCGCCAGAGTGACGTCATCATGAGAGAGAGAGCGCAGAAATTATGCAAACGCCGTCAATACATCATTGTTTTAGTTATAATAAACAAAAAAGTCGAGAACCGACGGCGTTTGCATAATTTTTATAATTTATAATAATCCTGTTTGAAATAAGGAAATAAATGTGTAATTATATTATTGTAATATTTTATATTTTGTGGTATACATCAAACAAATAACAGCTTTTATTTTATTTTCCGCGCCCTAGTGTACCATACCCCCACCCCCTGCCCATTCTTCATTTATTTTGTGGCGGTAGGTCAGACCATCAAAAGACCCAAAACAAGAACCAAACTCAAATTTCAGTTCTAGCGGCCAGCAATAGTAAACACACACACGCAAAGTACGTGAGAATGCATGTGCACCCATACACTAAAACATGCTGGTGGCAAAACGTTTTGTACAGAACCAGACCGAGAGAGTTCAAAAAATCTGAAAAAGCATACAATCACATATTTTTGTCGAAACATATTGCGTGTGTACTAACACATGCAAAGATGTTCTCTCTGCGCTCTCTCTCTCATGATGACGTCACTCTGGGGTATTGAACGCGCTAGCCAGTGTGTGACGCTTTCGTTGTATGAACTGGCACATCTATATACTGTATGGTTAGTGGTTATATATACATATCTACATATGTATGCATGCATATACTTATATTTTGCGTGGACGCCAGGAAATTTGACGAATACCCGAAGCTGCGCTGCCGTCCGCTGCCGCAGAACAGCCATGTTATATACTTGTGCGTTCTGTGTTGACGCCAGTATATAACATGATTGCGCAGTCGCAGCGACGCAGAAAAATGGCTACTGCGACTCTCCAGCCTATAAAAGGCGTGCGCTTAGTTCATTTTGCGACTTTTTCCCCAATTTCCCAAGCCATCGGGTCTGCAAAATCCCGTATTGGTATTCCTGCAAGTTGCGGTGGTTTATTCTCAGTTTATTGAGCAACCCCCTTTCGTATTGGTACTCCTGCGAGTTGCGGTGGTTTTCTTATTCTCATTGTCATCAGCTTTTTCATCCTTTTTGAAGTCCGTAGCCTTCGATTTTGAACGTGGCATGTTCTTGTTCTTACTGAAATTTTGAGGGCGAGGGACTCTTGTCAGTGTATTGAGCTACTCCCTCGCGTACTGGTACTCCTGCGAGTTGCGGTGGTTTTCTCATTCTCATTGCCATCAGCTTTTTCATTCTTCTTGAAGTCCGTAGCCTTCGATTTTGAACGTGGCATGAAACCTTTTAGGTTCGTTACACCCTCGCCTTTCTTCCCCGACGAGAGTTACGAAGACTCGTGCGTCGGGTGTGCGGCGGTGGATCCTGTACCTTTGCTCGAACCACCAGCTATCGAACAGGGTCCGACCCCGCGGCTCTAGTCGCCACAGTACCTCCTGGATTAGAGGCGTCGGCAGGATTCGGTTCGCCCAGATGACGGCGAGGCATTCCTTGTCGGTGGCCGAGTAGTTTTCTTCTGCCTTGTTGAGGCGGAGTCCCCCGCGGAGTGTAAACCGAAAGGCATTACTTTCCATTGGTATAATCCTCGTCTGGGTATCGTAAATGCCGTGGTTTCCCGGCTGTCGCGGGCCATTGGTATCTGCCAATACCCGTTTTTCAGGTCTAGGGTCGTGATTTCGCATTTCGGAGTCGCTCCAGTATGTAGTTGATCCTGGGTAGTGGGTACGCGTCCGGGATAGAACGCTCGTTTAGCTGCCGATAATCTACACACATGCGCCATCTCCCGTCATTTTTGCGGACCAGGACGATTGGCGCGCTGTGGGGGCTCCGGGACGGTTCGATTATGTTCATCGATGATCCGCCGCATGGCTGGATTTTTCGGGTAGTACCGCTGTTTTATGGGTCGGTTGTCCCTCATGACGATGGTGTGATCCGTCAGATCCGTCGTCCCTCGGAGGCCCGCGAGTGTTGGCAGTTCCTCGTCTAGAAATTTCCGTATTTTCGGCGCGATGTCGGGAGGCCATGGGTCGGAGATTCGTTCCGAATCGTCCTCGGGTGGGTCGTCGATTCCTGGGTCGCAAGTGTGGTCGGGGTTCTCGGGAGGATCGTTGTGTCGAATGCGCTTGGTGGTTCGACTTCGCGAGTGTATTCGCTTATGCTGCCGACGACGGCGGGTAGGGGGCTCGTGTGTGTCCTGGGGGGTGCTTGCGCGACGTCGTCCTCAGCGTGATGTACGAACGTGCGGGTCTCGATGGCGATCGTAGCGTTTGACCAACGGCTAGTTTGGGCGATGAAGTTCACCGACATGGCTCCAGGCGTGGTGCTGGGCCGCATGCCGGCGCCGTACGACGCGCTACCCGGGAGGCGTTCCATGATGTCGGGGACGATCGATGGTGCGTCGGGGTTCCGATGGGTGCCTCGTGCAGCAGTTTCCCGGTTCCTGCCTGAGAGGACGCGGGAGTAGCGGGTCGGTCGGTGTCGACGCGTTTGTGGGCCAGGGTGGCGGTCGGAGGTGGTACCTCGAGCGCCTGGCTGCTGCGTGGCGGCTGTCGTTACTGGGGCCGGGTTGTCTTCTGGAGGGGCGTCCTGGGTTCCTTTTCCTTCGTTGGTGGAACCGCGTCGGTGAGAGTCGTCAGCGTAAACCCTCGTTAAATAGCGCCACCTCCGATTCGAAGGCCACCAGATCAGCCAACGCCATGAACGCCGCACCTGAAGACCACGTCGGAATCAACGAAATCGTCGACCTCACGGAGGACACCGATTCGGAGGGGTCCGATGTCG